ACAGTTGGAGTAGAGCTGCTCCAGTTGTCCGCTCCTCTCCAGCTGTCTTTGTTTAATGCAGTGTATTGCAGTCTCATGTGGAGGATTGTGAGGCGTGGGAGCACAGCACATGTCAGGGAGAGAAGGGAGAAAGTTTTGAAATCCATCTGTGCAGCTATTTTTGATTTAAGCACTTTGTAATGTTGGATCTGTCTTACGGCATGGGGCGATACAGGCAGTCTTAAGATGTGATTGTATCAAATTATGGAAATTATATCCATTTAATTTTTAGAAAGTCAGTCTGTTCATGCCAATCATATACAAGTTCTAACCAGAAGTAGTTATTCCAGTTATTTTATGTCATTCAATTTTCCAAAATAAATAAATGAAATGAGCACTATGTAACTTTTCTGACAGAGGTACCTCACTGTTTCCATGGAGATGTTGTTGGTTTGCCTGCAATGTTGAAAAAGTACTACATTGAAGTATTTATCTCCCATGTGCTCAAATGGGTTAAATACTACCTTGAAAGACATACGTTCTGTCAACGGGCAGGGTCGCCTCTCCACAGATCTGACCTAAAGCTTTGCTTGTCTTTTTGAGATAAATATATTTAATGACATACTGTGGAACATTCCAAGCATTGCTCTAACATCTCATTGGAGATGAAGAGGTGGCAAAAAAAGTTAAATGGTGCACCTTTAATACATCAATTTTCTCCTACCCACACAGTAGTACCCTAGCCCAGAGGCAAGGCGGGGTTCAGCAACTTGGAATACAAGTGCAGAATGAGAAATGGGGACTGAACCCTCAAACATTCTATTATATTATTATTCATGAATTATTATTATTTATTTTTTTTATTAAATAGCCTTTGGGAAGTAAGCAAACATTTTGGCTATAGAGAAAACAGGAGCCAAGAGATCTAGTAGCATATCATGAGTGTTCTACTATAAATACTTAGACTATTTATCTTTGTTTTTTACACATTTAGATTATCACACTCCCTTGATACAGTATGTATAAAACCATACATCAATATATTACTCCCATATGGCCCCATGCTTTTGGGCAGTGAGACATTGGTTTACATGTCAGGGTTTACACAGGAAACAATGACTGTTTTCTGTCAGGGTTTTTGTCCAATTTTAGCACACATGTTTCCATGCTTTTTGGGGACATAACATTGACTTAAATTAAATTCCTAGAGAGACAAATCATAACCTTATTAATAGTCACTATTTGTCCAACCTTAAAGTGGGACTAAACACCTAAACTCTGCCCACAAACACATTCCAAATAAAGCTTCTAAATTGGGCAGTACCTGCAGGACTAAAGAAAAGAGTAAGGGGGTAAGGAGGGGAGGGGTTTGGAGGTATAAGGTACAGTGTATTTGGGCCACACTTCTAAATCGGAGTGTAATCAGGACAGTCCTGTGTGATGTCTCGTAGTACTTGCAGTGACTACTGAAGGCAGCACACACTCTTTTAACAAAAAGCTGCATATTGACCTACTTTAATTTTGTATTTAGTTCCACTTTAACTTTAAAATCATGTTAAAGTATTATAAAGTATTTACAGATTTCTGTCCCCATAAACAAGGCAGGTCCCCATATGTGTGTACAGATTTTAGTCCCCACAATGTGACGAATACCCACCCACAACCTCAGCCAATCATGTACAGTGTGCGGAGGCTTCAATGGGGGATGCTGTCTTCATCTTTAAGTGCCGTTAGGTTTGCACATAATGCTGTATGGTCTATACACTCCCCCCCAAACACCTGTATTTAAATGCCTATGTTACGTTTAGCTTGTATGGGGGTCTCTGTGCTGTACAATGCCTTTCGGATTGGTGAACTGATGCTGGCGTGTTTTCACTTCATTTGAGTGACGTATCTGTTACCTGTTGTCTGTTGAGCTTGTAGATTCCAATATAGTAATAAATACAGTATGTTAAACCAACAAAATGCCAGCGTCCAATTTGTAATTCACAAGACAAAACTCAGGGTGTATGATTCCAGCGCAGGTAGATTAGACTACACTTCAAGACTACTGTACTCACTACTGTATACTTTACACCATAAAAAAAGAAAAGAAAACTATCATCTACATAATTCAGAATTGAAGGTAATTTTTTGCTGTATTTTTGTACCTTTTGTCTTCCTCTAGGGAAAAGTGTGGAAAGAAATTGTATACATACCCATACATTTTTGGTGAGTATTTAGTATTAAATTGTAACATACATATATCTTTTTTATATACACACATTCAACTCATACTACATTCAGCAGTAGTATTGATTTTAAACTGCTTTATAATACAGTAGTAACCAGTCCATATAATTGCAGATCTGAAAAAATTAAACTACCTACATGTATGACAGATTTCAAGCCTTGGCTGTGGGACAATACAGGATTACTTGTGAATTAATTAAAGTACAACTCTGAATAACTAATTAGTGATGAGGGAATAGAGTTTTAAGATGGTTAAAGGTTCATTTAAAAATCATGAGCATATAATTTTGCTTGAAACTATATACATCTGGAACTCTCCCCCTCCACATCAAACTCAGACTCACTAAACACCTTCAAAAACACCTTTTCTTCATAGCCTATAACCCCCGCATTGAAAAGTGCTAATAGAAAAAACTATGTATTATTATCAGTATTATAAATCCGCACAAAAATAAAGATAAAGCCAAGTGATTTCAAGCCATGTAGATATTGTGTTTGTGCAGTGTACCGTGAGTGCTCCACCCTTGTGCTCTTGCCTCTGGTCAAACATGGAGCAGCCTGGTGGAGTCTGTGGTGCTGTGTAAATGACATCTCTTTACAAACCCATGTAACAGTGGATGCTCAAAAGGGGTGGGGCTTGTATCCTACTATTGTCATGTCTTCTAAAAATGTCACCTGCCCACAGCCATACGCACAGAGATGGCTTTGTGTTGTACATGTGTGTTAGAGGATACGCTGCAGTAATGACAAGGGGGGAGTTTTTAACTGACTATAGAATACTCAGGATACATATTTTAATTTGAAGAATAGGGGAACCCACAAGAGCAACAATTATTTTAGTAGTCGACAAGTCAAAACATTTTTTTTTGACATTTTAATTTAATAATACCACTGTCTTTGTTATAAAATGTCTTTGATACATTTTAGATCTGTAAAGTCCAGATATTGATTATTTGTATTATTATTAATTATTAGATGGTTAATTGTTGCAGACCCTAAAACCCAGTATCACTTTATTAATCCATCTAACCATTTTGTGTAATTTGCCTATGTGTTATGCACAAATCTGTCAGGAAAAGTATGTAATTTATAACTTAAACCCTGTGGTGACTAGTCCTGATCTGTGATTATTATTAGTTTATTTGTTTGTTAATATACAAACACGAGATACATGCTGTAAATACATTGAATTGTAGCCATGAGCTAATTTCCATCCTCTCTCTCATTCAAACACCAGTGTACATAGACACTGGAAGCACAGTGGGTGAGGTGTCTTGCTCAAAGACACAACAACACTATGGCACCTGGTATTCTGAGTAGCTGTTTTTGTGTTTATCATATACATGCAATACCTTTTGTTTCTAATAAAAGCTGGTTGCCAAATCTTAAACATAATACTATTGGTCCTAAATTAGTGCTTAGAAAGCAAGCTCAGATATGGAACTATAATTTCACTTCTACACCTTCTAGAAAAGTAAACTACCCCTTGAATAATTGTATTGCTGTATTACTAATTACTTCTTTATCCAATACAAGTATGGTTAAGATACTTGCCTAAATTTTGTCATACATGCTTGTAATAATATTTTTATTCTTGTCAGGCACAGATGGTTCAGAGGCCAATAGATAATTAATATAGTATTATACTTACACTATAAATATCAAAACATAAAGGCTGTTTCTGTTAGGGTTTAGCTGAACTCACAAATACGTAATCTTGACTTTGTTTCCAGTGACAACAAGCGCACCTGTGTGATTGCGTAATACCACAGTTGTTGTGTCATTAGGCAAGGCACTTCACCTACATTGCCTAGTGTGAAAGTGGTGTGTGCGTGAGTGATGGTAATGGTCGGAGGGGCAGATGCCACAGACTGGTAGCCTCACTTCTGTCAGTCTTCCAGGGCAGCTGTGGCTACAATTGTACCTTACCACCGAGTGTGGAGTGAATGAGTAATGCTCTGTAAAGCATCTTTGAGTGTCCAGAAAAAACGTTATTTAAAATTGATGCATTAACGTCTCCAGTTTCTGTGAATAACTCAAGTAATTACAGAGATCTTAACCATAAATAATTTTAACCATAAACCAGGTCAAAACATCTGCCTTGTTACCTTCTTCTCACTTTAATCTAAACAGATGTGGATAGAGTAGCCAAAATTTGTATTCTAGTAAGAGCATTGTTACATGAACATAATTATTACTCAAGTAGAAGTAGTGGTCCAAGAAATTACTCAGAAGAGTAACTTAAGAGTAACTGAAAGAGTAACTGTCAGGACGTAACATCTGAATTATAATTTAAAGTCAATGTAGTTTGAAGGACAAAACAATCACGCACAAACTCTGGTATTCTCAAAGGTTGTACACAAAAATGAGAAAAATTAAATCATATCTGAAGGAACAGTGCAAGAAACTTAAATGTACACACCATTTCATATTGTCATCATAAAGCTTTTGTCTTGTAGACTTGCTCACAGTGGGAAGAGTAACCAAAACTTTTACTCAAGTAGGAGTACTGTTATTTCAATTAAGATAGTAATCAAATAGGAGAAAAAGTATTCTGCTAGAAAAGTACTCTAAAAATCTTTCAAATGTCACTCAAGTAAATGTATGACTTTTTAATCCAAAACTACATCCCTTTCATACTGCTTTGATCACAGTTCCTGAGCACTTTCCCGGGATGCATCGGTAGAGTTGTGTTTGAAATGGGATGTGGGCGGAGTCCACGGGGTGGAGGAACCTGCCTGTCCGCTCGCAGCCCTGAGGGGGAGGAGTCTGTGGGGTGTTGGACTGCTGTTAAACAAAGACTTCCCCACTCTCTCTCCCTGACACTGGAGCCCCAGAGTGAAGCGCACAGCTGCAACTACTTCAACCACTTTTCCCTTTAACCATTTTTCTTATCTCTTCGTTTTGGATGGTTAGGTGATCTCACAAAGCTCAGCCATGTTAGGTTCAGCCTGCTGTCGGTCACCTTATGTTGCTAGCGTGAGGTAAAAAAAAAAAAACAGCTCCTGGAGATATGGAAAAGTGGGTCTGTGAGGAGCGCTCTTAGCCTTGTGCCATGGGGGGTTGCCATAGTTACCCCTCGGAAGCGGACGACACCACTCTCCAACCATCTGACATCAAAACACTGTGAGTACCTCTAGTTACTACTATACTCCTACGTCACTCACTGCACAAATTATCCAAAGTAGACCAAGCTTGCAATGAAGGTACTTTCTACAAGTCAACAGCTAATGGTATAAGATAGGAATGCGTTAAGATAAGACTGCATGCTTGCTACATATTTGGACGATGGCATCAGAGAAGGTAGTAGCAGGAAAAGGGCGATGAAAAACAGTTAGGGAGGACGCTGTGTGTGCGTGTATGTGTGTGTACTTATATGGGTCCAGTTGCTATCCAAATGTTTGCTCTGGGATGAGTCGCCTTTGTGGGGCTTCTGATGGTGGAGTGTAAGGTAAACACATGGTACAGGCTGGAGAGAGAGAGAGAGAGAGCTTTGTTTACACATAAATACTACTTTTACAAGAAGCCCTCCCTCTCTCTCTCCTTCTCTCTTTCCCTCTCTCCCTCCTCCTCATTTCCGTGCATGTGTGCTGAGGTGAGGCAGGAGAGGGAACACAGAGCAGGATGTTAACAAAAGTACTTCCCCCGATATTAAGCATAGAGATAGGAGGTACATCTACACTGTAAAATATACTACATGAGTTAACTACACTGAAGTGAAAGTACTGCCAATTAAAAGAATGAAGGTATGGAATGTAATGTAAATACTGCTCTAATTTTGGGGCAAAGTTGTATCAGGTTTACTACAACTTTGCTTGCTGTCAATAAATCCTACCATTAATAGAAAAACGGCAACTTCTACTTCTACTACTATCACCACCTTCTACCCTGTACTACCTACTACAACTAATATTAGTTACTTTCGCCTACTACAACCACGTACTACTATCTGCTACCACCTACTACTTACTTATTACTACCATCTATTACTACCTATTACTACCATTTATTACCTACTACGACTATTATCTACTATCTACATGTTTAGTTCTTCTTTCAAACTGAAAACACTCCACCTTGTGATGTCCTGTGGTAATACAGGAAGTGCTCCACTGTGTTTTTAAACTCCATTAGAATCATTTGGATGATTTCAGCCTCAGAATTCCCGATTTCTACCGAAGTAAAAGTAAAAAGTAGCTCTTAACTTAATTTTTTTTTTTTTTAATCTTTTTTTTTTTTTTTTTATCATTTTGAGCATTTTGAGCTTTGGAGATGTAGACAGGCTAATAATAAAGGATCACTTAAACATGTGTGAATAAAACAAAACAGAACTCCAGGTATGTTTTTAATGAGATAGCAACATGGCTAAAAGCTCACAAGAATCTATTTTGTGTAATACAGAACCTTTAATGAACAGCTGCTAAAACATTTTTAGTTACCAACAGTTCCCTCTTAAAACTATTACTACAAACTCATAGAGTAAAGCATGTGTCCCTGTGTCTATGTTTACATTCCTGTGTGAGAGTGCACTTCCTCCTCCCTCCTCTGACCTTTAGTGTGGACAATGCCGTGCTGTTTGGCCCCTGCTCCTCTCTCTCTGTCTGGCCCTAACAGTGCAAGGGCCCCTACACAGAGCACAGTGTTCCCTTATCACAGCAGCAAGGTCACTATGAGGAAAGGCAGTCTGAGAAACAGCTGTCAGCCTCCATTGGCTTTCATTGACTTATCTACAGTCAGGTTAGCTCACTACTTCAGGCCACAGCAAACAAATGGCAGTCCTTCACTTTGCATGGAGTCAAATACGGTGTCCTACTTTAGACAAAGGTGCATATCAGTATCAGCCTGCATCGTACAATTGTTATGACAACTTTACAGCACAAGCTACAGTTGCATAGAATGGCAATAGGTTGCATTCAAATGTCATCACAACATTCTTAAATTCTTAGAAAACTGAGCAGGAGGACAGGTGAGAATTATATGGTAGAATTTTCTGTTTAAATGTCAGATTGCAGATTTGTTGACCTGGTTTATGACTAATATCTCTGTAATTACTGGGTCTGTTCACATGAAACCTGATTCAGAAAGTGGTGCCATTATTCACCCCCAAAGATGGGATGAAATTCAGTGGTTGTAGTGAATTTTGTTGTAATATACAACCTACTGTATATTAATGGTATGCAGCCCTTAATGGTTTGAGCTACAACATAAACAAAGCCAAACCAAGGCAAGGCCAACTAAACCCATATATGTTAATAAAAGTTATATTAATGTTACTCAAGATAACACCTACTATATTAATGAAATGACGTGATTCTAACAGGCAATTCATTAACAATTATTATTTATGGGCTGCACTTTTATCCTCTATCCTGCTTCTATTGCCTATTTGGTAAATTTAGGCTTCCAATCCCCTCTCCAGACACCACGTCCTTGACCAAAATTTTGTAGGTTCTACAAGTTTGCCTATCATTTTTTACTTGTTTCAAGTTAGATGTTACATGTTGCGTTTAATGTCATATGGTTTCATGCAAAGCATTGTCTATAAGCAGGTGCAGTCTCTAAGCCAAGTTACAGGTTAGATCTCTAGAAAGGTGGCCCTAGCCTGCTTACAGTAATAGTGCATAATTTTCAAGGTATTTGTGTGAAATAAAAACACCTATAATTTAATACATGCAAAGCAGATATATTTAATGCCATATTGAAAAATATTGTAGGCAAAGCATTAGCCATAACATCTCCATGGAGGCAAGCAGGTGGCAGACCAGATAGTGTTAGATAGTGCACCTTTAAAGATTAGTACATATATAATTACATCACAGAGCTATAGCCAGTATCTTGCCTAGTTATTTTTCTCAGCTGTGAGACCTTTACCACTGCAGCCCAGCGCTTCATTAGTAGTAATTACAGTGTGTCCGTATTGATTGTGTTCATCCCATTAACTCAGCTTTATCTGGTTATAAAGTCCACTGCAGCATTTGTATCAAGTGGAGAGGGTCTTATCCATTGGTGCAGGAGGGCTAGTGAATCTGCTGACCACTCCATAGTGAAACCCAGCACTATTTCATGCCTTTTACTATCTTTTCTTACCCCATTAACTTAACTGTGCTGTGTCTCCTCAAGGGGCATTAACAACAATAACCTGGACGAGCGGCCGTACCTCCAGCCCCAGTACGTGTGCCAGAGGATCACCACTACAGACATGCACGCCCTCACTGCATTACCCCCTGGCGTCGACCAATCAGAGTGGCTCGCCAGCAACAGTGAGTATGGACATGGTGTACGTGGAGTTTACAGAGAGAAAGAGATACAATAGGTAATGTTGTGGTACTGTTGTGGCTGTCCTCAGCTGTGGCGTTTTTCAAGCACATAAACCTGTTCTCCAGCGCACTATCAGAGTTCTGCACCCCCAGCACCTGTCCCACTGCATGTGGACCGGGCAACACGTAAGTCTACTGCTTTATTTCAAGAACCTCCATGCACTTTTTATAGACTGTGTCACATAAAATTTTATGTGTCATGTAGTTAAACAGACGCTTGCTCGATCTGTTACTTGGCTCCTATGACATTACAAACCCTTATAGGCTCATTTGGTTTAAAGGTAGGTTCTGTAACCTACACACTTGGAAAAAACGTACTACAATCACAAACAACTACAAAATAATAAAAGACTAATGTTGGAACTAACCCTAAACTACACCTCAAGTAAAGCAGGAATAAGCCAAATCTACATTAGGACTAAACTGAACTCAAGCCAGGACCACCCAAGACTATTCACCTACAATATATGGAGGAGGACACATACATGTTAGACATGCAGCAGAGGCTGCACTACCACTGATTCATGATTGGCTGCAAGTGCTGGGGTTTAGGTAGTGACCATTCAGATCAGAGTTGATTTTAGTGGAACCCCAAATGTGAGGTTCATTCAACTTTCTGAGTGAATAATTGTCTTATGTGAACTTAACACAACATGACAGTATAAACAACTTTGTGCAACAATATAAACAACCCATCGCATCCAATGTTTTTTGTGTAAATCCACAAACTATATTTAAACTGAAAGTCTACCTCCTATCTGGGTAAGTCATATTTTTGAAAATGTGAAATTCTACAAATTCTACATATCCTGTTTGCAACTGAGATGGAATTCATCCAAAATGACAACTGTTAATATTCCAACTTTGTGGTATATAAAAGACCAAATAATATGCACAGATGCATATAGGTCACATATGGTCACACATAGGGCTTCAGATTGTCACACCAAGCACCATTCTACACAGACATGTTCATGTAATTGTAAATAAAAGGAGTATTTAAGATGGAGTTGGTGTTGATTCAAATATATGCTAACATTACTATTACTAGTTTAATGTTTTGAGTAATCAGTGATTTGTTTTGTGCCTGCCTCACAGGGTGTATACGTGGACCGATGAGCAGGGCAGGAAGCTAAAATGCTCTGCTCCTCTGTACATTGACTATGCTATGTCTTATATTCAAGACCTGCTGACAGACGAGGAGGTCTTCCCCACAAAAGCAGGTACATAGAGCCACATGCAGCCATGCTAGCACTTTGCAATAAAACCGCACAATGTTTGTTTATGTTTGTTTCAACTGTATTTAAGGCCATTTTGCTACCAAAATCAATCAATGCCAGCTTCCACAACAGTAGATGATGCATCTGAAAGAACTTAATTGCACGTTACATTTAGCGCAATTTATAGCTGAAACTACATCAACACTAAACAAATTATAAAGGTGTGTCAGGTATGTCTATAATGTACTGTGCGAAAAATCCCTTCAGCTGCTCCCATTTTTCACAGTAGTTGCTACAACAAACCATCCAGATGCTTCACTGCAAACAGCCACATTCTCATGCCTTGAGCGGAATTAAAGCATGTGTAAGATTAGGTGTGAGCTAATACGTATTTAACTTTTCTTTGATTGCAAAAAACAGAAGACTGTGTACACTGTAACTGCAATATGTAGGCCTCTTATGCAAATGTCAGTAGTGCCAATGCTTACTTTATCTTGTAATCTGTTCATTAGCTGTAATCTTGTTGATTCCATGGGATGACAGGGGCCAAATCAGTTTAGATCTCCACTTTAGTTTGTGCAGCTCTTGTTCCCTAGCTACAGCACTTTCCCCTCACATTCACTACCCACTCCTGTCATAGAAATGTGGCTGGCTCTAACAAGAAGAGCATCAGGCTTTACAATTTTTTAATTACTTGTGGTTAAAATGTTTTAAGATCTACAGGTCTACAACCAATCTAGCCAGAAAGCACACAGTTTGGAGCTCAAGCTTTTATATCTCACTGTAGTGGAAAATATTCATTTATTGATAAAGCTTAAGTTTAAAGGAACTGTAAGATTTAGATTTAAAATTTCATAAATTTGACTCAAGTGTGTCCCCAGATACAAAGTAAACATAGCAGGTAGCAGGTAGTCTCACATGAGTTTCTCATTTGGGTTGCCAACTTCAGTGCTGAAATTCAGTTTGTTTAAACCTAAAAGGACTCGTTCTGATCTGAATGGTCACTACCTAAACCCCAGCACCTGCAGCCAATCATTACTCAGTGCTAGTGCAGCCTCTGTAGCTCAGTGAGGGAATTCTGGAGGTTTTGAGCTTTCATATGATGCAAGGCCTCTCTATATACATACATAGAGAAAAACTTGTATGTGCCCTCTATCTGTAGGTTCAAGCACTGGCAACCCAAGTTCTGATTGTAGCAGCTTTTTAACACTGTTTTTTAATACAAAATGTATCTTAGTTAGCTAATGAAACATACTGTATATACTTAGATTTAGTAAAATAAATGTTAAATAAAAGTTAAATGAAATAAAAAATTGAGTTGCAAGTTTGGATCATTCGGTGTTTTGTTTTTGTTTTTTTGTTAACCCTAGCATCAGGCAATATAAAAATCTTACCACATTACAGGCATTACCAGTACCTGTTTGCATTTGTCTTATCAGTGTTACCTTCTCACCATTCCCTCCCCTGACCTTGTCCAGGCTCGGCATTCCCAAATGGCTTCATCTTCCTGGTGCAGAAGGTTTTCCTGCTACTGTTCCGGACCCTGGCGCACATTTACTGGAGCCACTACAGGGAGACTCTGGTCCTGGGTCTTCAGCCTCACCTCAACACACTCTTCACCCACCTGAGTGTGTTCAGCCTGCAGCACGGCCTGTTGGACCCCGAGGATACACAGCCCATGCAGGACCTCCTCTCTGCTCTGGGGCTGGGGCAGAGGCAGCACACGAGTGGCAGTTAGATCTGATCCACTCCTCAGAATGCTCTCATAGGACTAAATATGGAGCCTGTACAGAAGTGAGAGGACTTGTTACAATGCTTGTGTAAATACTGCATGTGAAAGGTGCATTTATTGTTTGTTAAAGGCCAAGAGACAGCCAAGGTCATTTCAGCCCACCCCATGTTACGACGTGCGAATAAACAGCACACAAATGGACAAGCATTATATTTAAGATACAAGATTAATTTGCTTTAATTATAATATTTTGTTTGTAATGTTTTTAAAATAAAATATCGCCAATGCATTTTTTGGTACAACTTTTAGAATAGCAATAAGTATGCCATTTTTATTTAATAAAAAAACAAGAATACGAATGTCTTAACTAAATATTACATGTTATAGTGAGTTTAGTTATTGATGAAATAAAAAACAGCACCATCTCCTGGATGCTATTGTGCTACTGCAAATCTGAGTGGAGATATAAGTCTTAATTTTAGGAAACTGCAATTTTTATTTGTAACTACAATGCTAAATTCTTTACAAATACATCTTAGATACCTGTATGTATGGCTGTAGTTGACTAAAGAAATACTTGGTCATTTAATCTGTCATTTTACAGATAAATACATATATTAAAAAAAAAAAAAAAACTCACTTCTCCTTTCTGCTGCTGTCGTAATTTGTCTAAAATGTTAAAAATAATTTAGACATAAATTGTATTTAAACAAGACAATATAATAGTTATAATTGGCAATGAACTAATAAACAAATTTGTAATGACTAAAGAAATTCTTAGAGTGCGAGACAACTTTTGGGGGTACTCAAGTCAAAAAAGGTTAAGACATCATCAACTGCTTAATTGACAAACTGACTAAAGGCCAACAGCCCTACTTGAATGTACACATACTTGAGAACAAGGCGTAAACAGTGATATGTGAGAAAAGGGTCGTTTCTACAGACACAGCTGAAGGCTGAAGGCTGTGTGATAACTGACACTGACACTGCTTTTGTCTGCTCTGTGCGGATAGACACCAATCATGGAAACTAAACCTCACTGAACTCATTACGTCTCCACATTTAACAACATTTCAAAATCGCCAAAGGGAGAAAGTATTTCACCTCTCCCTCAAAAGATTTTCAACTGGCCACTTTTTCCTAATCATTTTATATGATCAGAAATGGTAGTACCCGAAATTGTACTCAAGCAAAAGTGCAAAATAACTAACTTCAAAATAATATTACTCCTGTAGAAGTATCAAGTAACTGTTAACTGTAACATCTGATTCATAATTTGAAGTTAAAATAATTTGAAGGACAAAACACTGAATAATGCACAACAACTTGTATTTTCAAAAAACAGACACAAAATGAAGGAACAGTGCAAGAAACACAAATACTGTTAATAAATGTGTGCTTTAAAATAGAGTTTTAGTCACTTGTAGAGTTACCAAATCAAAACTTTTACCCAAGTAAGACTACTATTACATAAACATAAATATATTACTCAAGTAGGATTAAAAGTATGCCACTAGAAAGGTACTGAGACAAGTACAATTTCCTTAAAAACTTACTCAAGTCAAAATACCTGAGTAAATGTAACTGATGTAACTGAGCATTTACCCACCTGTGTATCTGATGCATGTTGCTTTCATTTTGAATACCTCCTTGCAGTAGTACATTGTTCTGGCAGTTCAAACGGCTAATGCATAATCTTGCGTCTTAGACACACAAGTACACAGGGAGGTAGCTTTGTGATATCTTTTTATTTAAAACCTGTAGAAATTTCCATTCAGATTATTCATTGTATAATGTTTGCCTCATGGGACACCTGTTGTTGTTGAGTGTATTAGGTGTTTTAGGGTTACTTATTGTATAAGCAGGTTTACAACCAGCTTAGGCCTGGTTCCAAAGCAAAGATGCCAGTGTTTCTAGGGATGTAAGCTACAGTGACTACAGCGGCGCCTGCCTAAATACCCCAAACTAATCGATGTCTGTGTCTGCCTGGGATTTTGGGTTAATCAAGTGGAAATACTTGGAATAAAGGAAAGCCCCAATCACACATGGTTCCCAGTAAATTGTCAGATACAAAATGCCAGAACACTCTGCAGTGACTCTCACACATGCACCACTCTCCATTGCATGGTCTGCTCTGTTCCCGTATAACCTGACCTCTTTTGTAGCATAACCAGAAAACCAAGCTTGTAACCAAAGAAACCACTAGCAATTATCTGGCTTTATTCACACATTACCATGTTCTGGTAAAATGCAGGTAAATTTCTGGATCAGACAGCATGCAGGAAAGGTGCTTAATACTGTAAGTACAAGCTTGGGAAGACAAGGAAATAAATGTGCTGCAGCAGATGAATAAAAATGTTTCAGAAAATCACACCAATGCCTTCTATTGTACAAAACCTACACAGTCAGGAAAAGTGAGGTTGTCTGGACTTGGCTGCAGATATAATGTGTCCAGACATCTGATCTCTGTGACTGAGGTGTTGAGGAGAGAGGTTTGAGATGAAACGGCTCTTTCACATGTGGAGAAAGTGAGCACAGAGACATGAGGAGATGCGGAGGAGAGTGCAGCTCACCTGGTAACAGAGCCAAGGCGCTGAGTCACACACACGCTACTGCTCAAACTTTTAATTAAGAGTCCAGTCGTCCACTTCCACGCGCAGGCTTCAATTCATCTGCTTCGGCTCACGCTGCTCCTGTGTGCACCAGAGAAGAGACATCACTTTTCACCCACATTCTGTCTGCTATGGAATCTTATGCTCATCACAGAGTGTAAGTTAGATCTAGAGCTCATTTTACTTCTGTTATGGAGAAACTAATTGTTAAAGTCCACTGAATTACTGGACTTTGATTGACAGATGGAGTTACTCAACAGTACTTTCCAACATAGAACCATTGACTCATTGAGAGATTTCACTACAACAAATCTCCAGCATAAAGTTACTCTACTTTACAGAGCTGCAACGCAGCATTTCCCACAGGTTTATGTCACTATGTTAATTGGATTGAATAACTTTTTGGAGTAAATATGTCACTTATCATTACCTCTACTATCATATTTATAGTAGTACCTTTATTTAATAATTAAATTATTAAATAAAGGTACTACTATAAATGTATGAAATATAATGAGCAAAGGAAATACCAATTTATTGTTCAGCTTCTTCAAGACTATGGGGGCAAAAATGACAATGTGGGCCACTGTAGTCTGCTCTACTAATGGGAAACACTGATGTTTTATCATTCAGTGACTTAATTTCAACCTTTATTTTGGTTATAAATTTATTTTTTAAATGTCAGTGTGCAATAGAGATAACAGCTTGATCAATTTTTAAAAAAAAAAATTCCTGACTAGCTGACTACTATAGCAGATAAAAATGAAATGGGGATTAGAGTAAGAATTATCAGCCCCTTGGTGCATTCAGTAGGTAACTGTAAAAGAATGATCATCATGCCATTTTTATATAATGCTTATCAACAAAATGAAGAGCATGTTTGAACTCCACAACGTTCACTGCATAACTTGATACAGCATCTGATTCATGCACACCGTATATTTTGCACCATGGCACCATTCATTGTAACTGAACTTTTAGCTTTATTCTTGTACTCCACTGACTGTCTATTTTCTATCAAAAGCGAAGAAAAACAATTCTTATATGAATGTTAGTTTTTACAGAATTATTATAAAGGTAATATTTTGGGCCTATTTTACAGGTGTCCTCACAAGTATTTAAAAGGGCACACGCCCCTGTAAGCTACTGTGTACACATGACAAATATTTATTGCCCTACAGGCTTCTCTAAAGGCCAGCTGTTGTAAACAGATTAATATCAGCTCTTTATCAATAGACTTGTACCTGTTGGTTTTCCATTTATTTTAATATAACGTTACCAAGGCCTCTTTGAGCTTGTCACTCTCAACTGGGTCAAGCCAACTACAGCCTTAAATAGACGTTCTTTGTGTAAAAGGAAACTAAATCCAATAATACAGTCCAAACGCTACAGTGTAAGGTCAGTATGACCTTATCTGGCCCAAAAGTCAGGCGTAATAGCTATCAAAGCAGGAGTGATTGGACAATAACAACAATATATGGGTGCTACTGGGCTCTAGGTGAAGACTGGAGTCCTTGGGGTTTAATTAGATTGCAGGTCCCACAGAGGTAAAAAGACTGCTGAGTGTGGGACAGACAATAGCCTCTAAGCTCTCTTCCTCCCACCTCCTTTCCAGCGTCCTCCTCCCTCCATCGGCCTTTATAAACCAGAACACTCGGGACATCAGAAACTATGGTGTGGTCCATAACAAGTGCGGAACTGTGTTACCTCCACGGATGAAAGTGTCAAGCTAAGGATGCCATACGTTCTAAAGACATTCCGGACGTTTCATCTTTGATTTTACATTTTTTTTTTTTTTTTTTTTTTTTGCTTCTGTGAAGTATCTGTCAAACTTTTGGTGCAGGCTCCAGGGCTCACCGGACCACGCCTCTGCTGACCCCGGAATGTGCGTGCTCATCTCGGCTTGGCTCTGCGTGCTGCTCGGTCTCCTGCCTCTGGAGATCCAGTCCCGGGCTTTGACTGTGCACACACTCTCACACAGTCACAGGTACTTCAACACCACTAAAAATAGCATAACATAAATTAATGATTATATAGTTTTTAACTTAAAAATATTATTAGAATAAACATTTCTTCCTCTCTTCATATCTGCATGCAGAAATAGCACGCGGCCGTATGCAGACATTAGCACACGCGTAATAAACTAAAGTTATTAGCAAAATGAAACAAATGCTAATGCTAATAGGTTAGTTAGCGTAAAAAAATCTAATTAATATTTTTAAATGCGCACTAAAATAAGTAAATGCACTACAGTATATAGTGTCTAGACATGCCATTTTTGCCTGTAACAAATGTGGTCCATTTGTTAAAACTAATTACATTTTTAAAGAACAGTGTTGCAGCCCATGGGGAGCTTTGGTTCAATATCCCTTGTTGTTAGCAGTCATTAATGTGAGAATGTGACCAGACGGTTCTGTGAGGTCGCCGGGAGCCTCAGGGGCCGAGACAGAGGAGACAGGGGCCGAATCTGAGGCTTTAGAGGGGAGTTAAACATCTGTTTGAGTCAGGGTATACTTAAATTAATATAACATAATATAGGTTTTTTTGTTTTTGTTTTTTTACTTCTATTGACTGTTGTTATAATAAGCAATACAGACAATTAGTAGTCTGTATGGTTTTGGACGTTTTATATGGAGTCTGCAATAAACTTACAATAAATTTCAAATAATAGTGTTGGAGAAATATAGCATCTTTTTTAACTGTGCAAGAATTATTTTCACTTTTAGAGTCAAACTTGCAACCACACTAGGAATCAGTGCAGCCAGTACTGCTCCATGCTGGATTTGTGAATGGCCTGTGCTGCAGCCTAAATCTTCCTTTTTGGGGTTAAGACTTGTTTAAGGTTCAGGCAGAATTAGGTTAGGGTAGTAGTAAAGGTTAGGGCTAATTGTAATGGCCAAGGTTAGTAGAGAATTACGTCAATGGGTGTCCTGGCTGTGTCCAAGCAGGGGCAGGGAAACAAGCCAGTGTGTGGGGGAGGAGAGGAGGGAGGAGAGGAGGAAGGGGGGAGAGGAAAGGAGGAAAAGAGGAGAGAAGAGGGAGGGTGGAAGGAAGAGAGAAGAATGAGAGGAGAGAAGAGAGGAGAGCCACACGCTGAGCGCTGGAGGACCATAGGAATGTGCAAGAAGTTCCTCAGTCTGAAGCATCATTACACACATGCTACTGTGAGAGAAAGGTCTGAAGAACAACCAAAACATCTGTTATATAATCCATATATATATAAAATCCATTAAGTTTAGGTTTCTGTTTTTTTGGTTACTGTTACTGTTACTGTGTGTCAGAAATGCACCAATACCAGTACTGGTACTGAACCAGCTCTAATCCACAAAAAACAATCATGTATTGGACAGGACATGTATCAAAAAAATCTATATCCAGGTAGTGTTGAAACGATATGCTCACATAAATTGGATACATTTGGAGCTTTCCGGAAAAGTTTTATAGCTTATATCATAACTAATAGACCTATAAGATCACCTGGTAATATCAAAGAAATTACCATTATATTAGCAGTAAGAGTATTTTATAGTATGATTGTCGTACTGGAATAGAGAAAAGTATCAAGCTTTTTCCTTAGTATTGAAGTCAAGTGTGAAATGTTTGGGGGTAGGGCAATCCGTTTAACATAATAAGACTATTCACCAGCCCAGAACATCCCATCAGGTTTGAACTTTTATTTATATGCAAGTGTTACTTATATAAACCAAAGTCACATAACATATATATTCTGTGTTCCTAGTTTTTGCTCTCATGATGATTTGGATACTACTTGATATTACTTGATAGATAACATAATTAATTTTCAATAAAACAATAGTAGCTTCTTTAATACTACGATGTGGTCTTATACTACTTCAGATTATCTCTTTAATTTTAGTACAGTACACTTATTTTAGCAGTTCACCAGTGTTATAATAACTAGCCATGCATTCCCATGTTCATAAACACTTGTTGCCATGTGCTCACGTTACTTACAAGTAACAACACTTTGTCACAGTTATGCTTGCAGTGTAGAGCAGCCAAACTTCAGTTCAAAAGCCTAACAGAATTACCTCTTTGAGCCAAAAGGACTGAGGCAGAGTGAATAAAGCAATGAACAAATTTTGTGAAACAGCCAGACGAGTGATCAGAATACCAGTCAGGATTAAAGCTTGGATCCAGATTATTTGCTGTATTTATCCCAAACAAAAAAAAATATTTATTCTTAGTTGCTTAACTTATTAAAAGCTCAAAATCTGCCCTGCTCATGATTAACTCAAATAAGAACCCATATTTGATTGGGAATGTCAATTTATACAATAGTAAACCATTCATACTCTCGTACCACTCAATAAATAGCGGCGGTATTTAGCTTGCTGTTGTAGCCGATAAACAATATTTGCAGATACCAATATTATGATTTGCATATGCATAGCATTGTAAAGTCTACAAATTAGCTTTTCATTTTGTAAAAAAACAAAACAAAAAAGTGTTTCTGTAGGATATGAAATAATTTATGGCATCATTGTGTAAACATACAGCTATATTTTTTACCTAATTGCTCTACTAAACCGTCATATATCATGAATTAACACTTATATTGGAACTGATATATCACCTACCCCTACTTCTGTATTAAACATTAATATAGGCCCTTTTGACTATGGGGGGAAAAATCATGATTATTTTAAGTATTAAGGATTAGGGACTTTTTTTATATTACCATGTTGCCTTATAGCTGTGTAATCCCACAGTTGTCTATGTGCTCTTATACTTGTTCAGATGCAGCACAAGATCATTCTAAAGTTATTCAGGAAAGGTTCATTTCTGTCCTGTGCATGTGACTTGTATCGATGCTTGTTCAATTGAATATCTCGTTCCATTACTAGTTTTAGTATCGATTAGTATCAGATTTTTGATACTTTTGATAATCCTAGTGATGCCAAAAAACATGGGGGGACAAGGGAGGACTTGTTTTTTTTCACAAGTGGCTTTGCTCCAGGTTGTGATTTTCTGTAATAGATTGCATCAATATTTGTAATCATGGGTTGATGAATTGTACAGTCCTCCCTTAATGTTTTTTGTGAATGTGGTGTCCTATTATTAGTGGGAGTCATTGATTAACACAGAGTTTAGAGATGAGTAGCTGATGCTGGTGTATTATATAAGAGTGAGTGGTAAACAGTGTCTTGTCAGTCTGAACCACTCTGATCTGGTTATCTCACGTGCTAGAAGAAACATGAGCCTATAGAGGGCGCTTCAGTCATCCCCAGAGCCATGTGAGGATCAGTAAGCGTAAGACAGTACAAAACAAATACTACTAAAATAATTTGTAACATACAGTATATGAGGGTTTATAGTTCCAGTCTTACTGTAAGTCTTACTGTCTCTGGGCTAGATCCTTAGCAGCATTTATTATCTACTCCTGTGACGTTATGTGGTTCTGACAGGAATCTATCAATATCAAAGAAAATATTTGATATATAATTGTTGTTTCAAAAGTATGAAAAATTTGAATGTGGAATTTATGATTTTATCATTTTCAAAAACACTTCACATAGTAGTTTGTAATATTCCAAGAATGCAAAGTGATATTTCTGATTATTGTTAGGATGTTCTGATGTAGCTTTATCAGTTCTGATTGCTGTTATTTATCACGCATGTAACTACAGAACAACTTTGTATAAAAGACTTTCTGGGCTGATCTGTAGTCTGACATCAAATTAGATGTTCGGTAGAACTGATATTTTGGGGTCAATATCCAATCCAGCCAATTTCACAGGATCAGTGCCAATATTAAATTCCAATATCAGAATTATTGTAAGACTATCAAAAAATATAAAAGCAATAGTTTGTCAATATTGCCCATCCCTATTCAGTATTAAAATAGAACTGATATAGAAATTCACTCCTTCAGCATTAATTCATGGTTATACTAAAACCTTTGCCAAGAAATAGAGTGAAAAAAGTTGAACTATGAAAGGTACATATATTGATATTCTCTGTGCTGTTCTCTTTCAGACACCTTGAGCCTCTTCAGCAGGACCCCAGCTCCGCTGCACCCCTTCTCTCTCCCCTCATGGACAACCACCTCCCACACACCGACACACAGCTCATCTGGAGAGCAATCATTCACAAAGACCCTCCTCCTCTGCATCACAACAACCATGTGTCAGCAGAGGGACAGGATGCAGAGGGGACAGCAAGCAGGTCGCGGGGGTCACGGGGTCGCCGCCATATCAACAGTGTGGTGGGGAGGGGTCAACTGATGCGAGTGGGCTGTGTCCTGGGCACCTGTCAGGTTCAGAATCTAAGTCATCGCCTCTACCAGCTGATTGGACAGAGCGGGAGAGAGGACTCCTCCCCCATCAACCCTCGCAGCCCCCACAGCTATGGATAGCACTATGGCTGATTATGGCTAACACACTACTGTACATTCACTGTGCGACTGACCGCTATGCCTTAGTCCAACACTGGTAGATGCTCTTCATCTGTTATGTCAAAAACCGTCTCACAAATATGAAATCGTAGTTCTGAGAGATATTTTTAGGGACATGTACAGCACCTAGTCCTCACTTACAGTATCCTTCAGACTATGAGAGCATTGTATACATAATTGTGTCTTAAAGCAGTTGGCTGTGTTTCTCAAACTGTAGTACAAGAACTTTATTTTATGTATGCTTTAGTATTCTATTCAATTTAGTTTTTTCTTCTGAATTATATCTGGTCTAGACATGATTTAGTGTAAGATTAGTCCACTTCAATATCTGGCTTAGCTTTCCAAGTACCACCAGAACTAGCCCAAGACCTATCTTTTAAGTATTTGTGTAAGGTTTGACAATCACTGCATTAAAGCTGGACTATGTAACTTTCCTGGTGGACGGCCTGTTACATGTTTGTCACAATGGAGGGGTTTTGAGTACCGGTAATAAAAATGTAATTGAATAAATGCAAGAACAATATATTTAATACCATACTATAGCAATAACATCTCTATGGAGACAAGTATTTGGCTGACCCTCTACCAGAAAAGTTACATAGTGCACCTTTAAAGGGTTTGATTGACAGACAGATAACACATGAGTTTTTCCCATAGATCTGGTTAAGATTATGGTGGCACAAATAATTTTTATTTGAATAATTTAATTCCATTCCATTTGTGCAGTATAAAAGTCATGTACTGCCTATTTAATCTTTTAAAAAACATTCATCATTTTGATGAGTATTTTGTTTTTTAAGTTCATGATAACACAGTGAGCAACAAAGTAAAACATTGTCATGCCATGTCCAGCCCAGGTTGTTTTTAGACTATGGGGAAGAATTTTAGACTTTGGTGGGCCTCTCTAGTCTCCTGTATTATTGAGAAACACTGCAGGAATACAAGTAAGACCTAATTTGCATATAGCTAAACCAATCAGCTTAAATGTCTAATGGCATTGGAAGCATGGCCCCATCCTGATGTTGTAACTTGGAGCTGATCCACTTGTTCATGTATTTAGAGAACAAAGAATCCTGGAGAAGCCTGTTAAATTTGGCCTTCCTGTTTAAGATCTGCGACGTCATCGCCTCTGCTAAACCTCATAATCCATTCTCTGGGTCCCGGCGCCTGTGGACAGTAGTGCAAAAAAAGATTAAGCCAAACCCGCTAACCCTTCACCTAAACAGGGCCAAAATAACCTAACCCTAATCCTGGAGCGTCTGTTGTGGGCAGCTCCCTGCTGTGCTACAGCCTTTCATTCATAACTCTGCCTTCAGCGCACAGAGGGAGCATCTCACTTGGTCTAGTGCTTATATTATACTACTGTAGTACTTTTACTGAATGAATTAGATAGACAACACTACACTTTCAGTATTTCCCAAAGGTCAATAGGACAACAAATTATAAAAGCACTTTATTCATCGTCTGTATTAATGACTTGAATTTTGTTATTTAGCGTACCAGTTATAATGTGAATGTATCTCTGTACTAATATTAAAAGAGCCCGTAAAGGAAAGTGTCCTTTTGTGAACATGTGTCTAATATTATTTTTATAACAGCTGCGTTGTGTAATAAACATGTTATAAATCTACTCTTTACCTGTGCCTGGCCTGTTTGTTTTTTGTCCAGTTTCTTTTGGATGGATTAAGGCATTAGGGAAAAGATATAGAATATTTTCAAATTATGCACATTTATTATAAACTAATGTTACATATTGTAACAATGATTTATAGGCACAGCACTTAATTGATCAATTAAATATTGTAATTTGTATCCTCATTTATTTCTGTAAGATTTGACATTGCTGGTGCCATAGAAACTGTAAAAGAAAAGTATTAAACATAACTCTCGAATAATAATGTGGGGCTCATAATGTATACATTAGTACTATCTTTTAGTTTGTTAAACGTTGTGCCCTCTAGTGTTCAGACTGTAGACTACAGTCAGTTGTAGGGCAGTTTACTTCCCTTTACTGTATTTTACTTGGTTTAGTAATTCAGTAAAGTGTTTGTTGTAATTAGAATAAAATTATTACCATTTCTCAAGTACTTTAGTACAAACATGTATTTGCCTCTGAGCAGCTTGTCCAGGAACAGGGCACAGCAGCAGTACAAAAACATAGAACATTTTCTACCAACATTTGCATTAATCCACTAAACTGTAGATTAGCATCAAAGTGCAGAAAAAACCTTTCACTTTCTGTCCTTTTGAAAAGGAGATTCTGGTGAAATTCAAACCCTCAGCACCACCAAAACACCATTACCCCAAAAACAGCCTCCAGATACCTTGTATTCAAGTTTCTCTTCCCTATGTATTCAGACTCATACAGTTTTTTGGGGGCGTATGTTTGGGTGTGCGTGTGTGTGGTCTAACTTCTGTATATATCTAGCCATCTCTCCAGAGCAGTAATGACCAATAGGAAGTGAGAATTTGAGCCACTGCCTGTTCTCCAATAAAATGTGTTTGACAAATAAGTATGAGGCCAGTGACCTTTTAGTGTAGAAAGGAAAACATCATTCAACATTTTACTTACAAAACAAAGGTTCTGAAATTCTATTCTTAAACAACATAACTATTTAAAATGTGTAAATAACTGCATTAATTGTACAAATTGGAGTAAAATTACAAAGGAAATCCAATTTTTGCAAATAAATAAAAAGTAGGTCAGTGTCTAGAGTTTGTTTGATTACCCCAAATACTCACTGATCTAATTCTCAGAAGTTACCAGCCTTATATAAACAACACATTTTTGATTAAAAATTTAAATGATTAATCCTAAATGATCAGCAAGTCAAAAGAACTGAGTCATACTACATTGGTACATGTTGTGGACTGGAGAATAATTGAAAAGATGACATTTGGAGGGGGCTAAGGCTCTCTCTACTTTAGTTAAAATGTGACGGGTCAAGCACATTATCAGCACCAGGTGTATATAAGGAACACTACATGAACACAGAGGTAGAGGAGGTCACCAGAGAGCAGTCACCATGAGGATCGTCAGCCTTGTATGAGTTTGCTTTATGGAGCATTATGTTGGCTATTCATTGACTCTGGGGTGTTTGAAAATGCACTCTCTTTGAAAGCAGGGTCCTGATCCATCTCTGGTTTATCGACCCAATTTGGAAGAGAAGAAAAAAGAAGAGTACAGAAACTATGAGGTAACGTCACATTTAAGACTGGTTAAATCCTTGTGTACATTCAAGTTGCAGTTTAGAGTTCAGTTTGCCTTTGTTATTTGCATAGCCATTCTTGTATTGCAGCATGGAGATTTGATTGATCGGGTTTTTAACACCTACAAACTGATGCACACCAACCAGACCCTGACGTTTGTCCAGCAGAAGGTGGGTGCACTCACACATTCAGTTTGGGGCAAAAATGACTTACACAGTTATGTGTCAGTGCATACATTTTTTTAAAAAGGGCATGTTGTTTATACATCATGTCACTGTTTATTTTGGCTGTAACAATCAACTATTTGTGATGAGCCAACTATAAAAAAAAAAAAAAAGTAATCATAATTGTATTTTGATCAACGTTATCGTTATCTAAAAAGACCTTTATATGACAAAGATAGTGACATTATCCGAATGTCACAAAAGAATTAACAATTTCTTAATTTCATCAATAATATCATCAATAATTTCATCAACTCATTTGTAAATATTTTCTATTTTGTAGCCTTCAGTCCACATATTTTGATCTCTATTTGATTCAAAATGTGTTTTGAAAATCTAAATTTACAATAGGATTGACTAGAGAGCTAATCAAAATTAATAAATAAATAAAAACTCACTAACCCTTTGACTGCGAAAATATTTTTTTGCAGTCCTTTTTTATACATTATGAAATAGTTGGGTAAGTGTTTTGCAATCGCAATCTCTCTCAGCACATAGAGTGGACAAGCTTCACCCACAGTAAGATGAGGATGATGGAGGCCATCATGTCTCTGGACCAGCTGGTGGACGAGTCTGATCCAGATGTGGACTTCCCCAACTCCTTCCACGCCTTCCAGACCGCTGAGGGCATCCGCAGGGAGCACCCCGACAAAGGTACAAAGGGTATGACCAGGGTACAAGATGTGATACTGTAGTCCACTCAGGGGAATAGTCAGAGAACAATCTGCATATGACCAGGTAATTGTGTGCCAAGTAAACAAGCATTTAAGCAGGAGACAAGACAATGTGGTAACAGTGTACAACCAAGGTATAAGTAGTATACACCCAGGGTAATACCAACAAAAACACAGGTTACAGGGTCCAACCAGGCAAGCATCCAAGTGATCCCAATCTAAAACTAACAGCCATCACTCTGCACAGACTGGTTCCAGCTGGTTGGCCTTATCCATGACGTGGGCAAGATCATGGCTCTGTGGGACGAGCCCCAGGTAACATGGTCTCCAAATTATTGTAACTAGTATCATCTAATACTAAACTCTTAATATTGTAAAATTATGATACTGTCAGTATACAGCAGTCAAAAGATTGGATGCACCTTTTCATTTCATTCATCTTCTTAACTTCCGTGATCATTTACATTGTAGATTCTCACCCCTCGTTTTGATCACTGCTTTGCACTATTGACAATTCTTAACCCTGCCATGATACATCATGAAGTGAAAACCATTTCAAGTGACTTAATTATAAAAATCATAGAGAGAAGGCAAAGGGTTTGCAGCACTGTCAACAAAACAAAGGGTCTATACTATGAGGAATCTGTCTAAAATATAAAACATTTGAGTTATTAGCCTACACCTTTTTTCATATATTTGATGTCTTCAGTTTGTGTCTAAAATGTAGAAAGTAGCAAACAAAGAAAAACAACACTAAATGAGAAGTTGTGTCTAAACTTGATTGATACTGTGATCGCATCCTTATTCACTCGTAATATTCCCATAACAATCCCCTTGATTTCTGCATTTAGTCACAGGGTAATTCTAAACTATTTTTAATATTGCTTATGTTTTTTTCTAATATCTAGTGGGCAGTGGTTGGAGACACTTTCCCCGTTGGCTGCAAGTTTCAAAATAATATAGTTTTTCGAGATACTTCCTTTAAACAGAATCCAGATGAGATTAACCCAAAGTACAGGTAAGCCTTTGCTGAACTCAAATCAGTTTTATTGTCCCTGGGGAAAAAAACAAACAAACATTATTTACTGTTGTTAATTTGAGTCCCAGCTGCATTGGCCCTGCTGCTGAAATGTTTTTGTACTGAAATTACTATATGAATTAAGTAGTAGGGTTGTCAGAAGTATTGAAAATCAAATACTAATTGATACAAAACCAATATCAAAACAATGTATGTTATCAGAACAAATATAAAAATTACCATGTCAAGATAAAGAAAGTACTATTATTTTGGGTATGAAAATGACATTATATAATTCCAACTTCATTGTGGTTAATCTAGTATTTGCAAATATAAATACTATTTAGAAAAGGCAAATCAAAAATAAATTATCGAATACTGTCTATCAACATAGATGTTTTGCCGCTTATAGGACTACTCACTACTAGGGTTGTCAAAAGTGTCAGAGAACATAAATGGATGACATAAGAACACATGGTAATATAAAAGAAAGTATTATGATTTAAAATCACATTCTATGATATCAGAATCCGTACTGAATATAGAGTCTATTCCTTAGTATAGAAATCAAGGACAACCAAAAGGAAGGCTTTAAATCCATTTAAATGTATGAATGTGCTGTCCTTTTGTTCAGCACTGAATGTGGCATCTATGAGCCGAACTGTGGCCTGGACAAAGTGCTCATGTCCTGGGGTCATGATGGTAAGACTCTCAAACACAGCATTAATCCAGGGGACTTCAAAATACATTTACAAATACATTTCTTGACATTTTCTAATTTCTTAACTGTAGAATATCTTTACCGGGTTCTGAAGTTCAACAACTGCTCCATCCCTGAAGAAGTAAGTCCTGAAAATTGTTTTCCTCCTTAATATAGAGAATTTAAAAGTTTGTAAAAAAAATAAAAAATAAATAAATAAAATAATTCTAATTTCCAGAATGGAGGCAACTGGAAAACTGGGATTAGCCTGAGAATAAGGTTGTCAAAAGTCTCCAAAAAACACAGATTAGTATACATCTATAACCACTATGGAAAGACTGAGGGATTACACAGATATAAGGCCACATGGTAGAAGAACACAAGAAAGTACTAGGATTTAATGTTCTATAATCACATTCTTTTGTCTATGTAAACAGTGTTTTTTATTATCATTGTGGTATAGGAATCAGTATTGAGTGAGTATCGAATTTGAAATTTTAATATCATGACAACGCTACCCCACAATAGTTATTTGTTTTACATGTACCGATATAAATCTATCACAAAACAAGCTGGAGGTAATTTCCACTGTTTAAAATAAAGAAACAAACTAACTTATTTTACTACTGTGGAAATTCCAAACTGTAGCACAATCATGTAAAAAATAAATAAAATTATAATTCGTAATGTACCAATACTGTACTTCACTTTGCCTCCATTTTCCTTCTTTTATGGAACATTCTGATGACATAGCATTTTAAACTGTTATAATAGTATTTTAATATATATATGGACTCTTACTTTATAAAAAATCTTTTAGGGGCTATACATGATCCGCTTCCATTCCTTCTACCCGTGGCACTCTCACGGAGACTACTTCCATCTGTGCAGTGACAAAGACCTCCAAATGCTGCCCTGGGTCAAAGAATTCAAGTCAGTAACAAATAAAATCATAATTACAATTAAATTATAATGATATTTAACATTGTGCAATTTCATTTTCATAGCAAATTTGATCTGTATACCAAGACCACAGACCTGCCAGATGTGGAGAAGCTGAAACCATATTACCAGTCGCTCATTGACAAGTATTGTCCTGGAATACTCAAGTGGTGAAAGACAATGATAAACATATATTATAAAACATGGGATCTTATTCTAATGCCACGTTAACAGTATTTACGTGTAAACTTTGTAAATGATCAAAAGCGCAAAGTGACAGTTAAATTGCACAAAATATAAAAAGCACTTTTTATTATGTAATAAAATGTTTTTATGAATCATTCATTTGTAGTTTTCTAGTGGGTATAAAAAGCATACAGCAACAGCAGAGTGACACCACACATAATACACAAAATATATAAAAGTACAAAAATGTAGTGCACATAATTCCCACATAACACATTTCTCAGTAGAATCGTAATTTTGGTTGGCTTGACAGAATAAGTTAATGCTAGGAAGACCTTGCACTCAATACCCAATATTTATTACATTGTTATAGCGCTAGTGGCTCAGTGAAACCAAATGGATCGCATACCATATACCATTTGGAGGTTGAGAGATTCAGTCCCCAACCACACCCTTGCACTTCCAATGCTGTTGTATCCTTGGGCAAGACAGTTCATTGGGCTCTCCTAAGGTGCCATGTATTATGAACAGATAATACAAGGCAAATAGAGCAAGCTTGGCTTGTTAATTTAACAAAATACAACATACTGTAAAATTCTATAGCCAGGTCTACTCAGAAAAGTATTTAAAGCAATTTAAACATTAATTCTTACACTGATGTTGTCATGCTGTTGAGTGTGACACCATCCTTAACTGTCAGATTAGGATTTCATAGTGGCATTCTTAAAGGCATTTTTGTGTGGTATAAAGTTAAAACGTAAGCGTCTGTATTTATCTTTTCCTCATGTGTTTCTCTGTCTGCTCCTCCCTCTCCTCCTCCCCTTGTGATTGGTCTTCAGTCTCCACTTCACTCTCTCTGTCCTCTAGGCTTCCATCGCTCCCTTCATCCTCCTGTTTCTCTCCTGCTACCTCACCTTCCATCTCCTTTCCCACTTCCTTCTCCTTCTCCCCATCCTCCTCTCCACAGTTCTCTTCTTGTTTATCTTCAGTTGGCTCACTCTCAGCTATTGTGGGCTCAGGAGCTTGCGCTGTCCGGTATTTGCTTCTATGCTGCAGTGCGCTGAGCAGGCAGAAGAGGACGCTACATCCAACAAGAGTCCACACTATCAAAGGAGCAGGTACACCTTTCACTTGGGACCGCACCCACCTCACAGCACGGGCTAATTTGGCTTTGGAGGCCCGACGGGGAGGAGAGGAGTCCTGCGATAAAATCATTAAATAAAAATTAGCAATCTGTGTTCAAAGCTATTATTAGTAAATGTACCAAATCGCAAAACTAGCAACACGTACAATGAGATACTTTAGTAAAAATTCAAGCTTGTTAAATATATTATATATGATTATTATTTATGATTATGATTATTATCAACACAAATAACAATAATAATAACTTATAATAATAGCAGCAAAGGACAATAAAAAATAGCATACAGAAAGCATACAAAAAATACATATTTATATTAATTCAACCCAAAGGCTATTTGGATAGTGTGAAGTTACAACTGCCCTGTACAACTACAATGTACAAGTACATTTTTTGGCTACTCTACTCACCTCTGGTCATTCTGTGCCAACCACAAATCAAACAGGCGAAGACTAAAGTGTCTTGCACAATGACACTACCAGTATCGACTAGTTCACTATTTGAACCACCAACCTTCCAGTTACAAAACCAACTAGATAATGTGGTTTTGGTTACCTTGAGCCCATGTTGGTTAAGCATGCCCGTTAGAAAAGAGTTGCCGAGGTGCACTGTGGGGTAAAACTCTTCATCATAAACCCGCCTCCACCAGCGCTCTGGGTATGACCTATCAATCAAAATAAAAGCATATAATTAAACACTGATCTAAATGCAAAAAGGCAGTTATTATAAATGAACCTACCCATCGGTCTTGGGCTCTGTAAACCAGTACTTGTAGCGATGTGCCCGCAGGTAGGCAGGAGGCTGCTGGTGGAATGGGTATTGCCTGATATCAGACTGGATCAGCTCTACCACTGTAAACATACACACATACTTTATTTAAAATGTGAGCAATTTACTGGTAAAGACTCGGCAAATAAGTTTCTACTAGAATCATAAAATATAACATTGAGAATCTAATTGCAATATTTTTCAGCATTTAAAGGGGCTGCACCTAACCTCACTCACTTACTCAGTTATCCTACGCACTCTAAGCATCCTATTTCTTCACAGTGATGAGTTTATAGTAAGCGCTTTTTACAGCTCTCAGACACCAGCATGGAGCATGCTAATGTGCACGTCCTGATGAGCAGACAATAAAATGCTTTCTAATGAAGATGCAGTCAGTACACAGCAGACTAATTTTGACCTCAAGACCTCCTTATGCAATACATCTGTACTGTACGGTAAGACAAATTTAGCTCAAATACATGGCAGAAAAAAAATTTGAAAAATGAGAAAGGGGCCTTTAATTCTTCCTTTGCTATGTTCTACATGTATGTCTATGGCAGAATAGTCATCAGTTACCTTGATGATACAATACACATATCAAAACCTGCAAAAAAGTTTTAAAATAGTTTGGAAAAAAAAGGAATAAAACAACACATATTCAAGAATCTGTGATCAATATGTGCGTTCATGGTCCTGATTAAGTGTTTGATTTTAAACAAAAAGGTGAGAGTGACTAACTGAAAAAACTTTGTGACTGCTTGTGACTGTAATGTTATCTGAAGGTACTTGTTTAACAGCACAAATCAGCTCACCTGTTGTAGTTGCAGCCTCAGACATTAATTTAAGATTTGTTTTAACACAATCTGATCACAAAGAACTAACTTGAGAAACAGAGCTTCAGAAAACATTTTACAATATTGGGGTTAGCAATGGGCATAACCCAGCCATTCTGGACACTAAAACAAAACTGAACTTTTCCTGCGAGGTATACTATACTCACATTGTTCTTTAGGCAAAACTGACTTCTATACTAAAAAAAAAATAAAAAATCACTGGCTCGTACCATCTTGTTTGCCCTGCAGCAGTCTGTGTATGAGACTGCTGAACCAGGGCGACTGCTGCTGAGGTCCCAGGGCAGCGAACCACATCTGCCAGTCCAGACGGGGCTGGTGTGGGGTCACCCAGGGGGGAGGGCCACTCATGTTCCCTGGTTTGTACATGAACTCTATCTCCTACAGGGACAACACAAAACATGAATCTATCAGAAATCATAGCAACCGACTACCTCTCATTTAAAAAAAATCTACCCAATTAAAGCAGAACTAAGTAACTTTCCTCTGTGGGGCTCCCCCTGCTTTGCTCTTATGAGAATATAATGTCAGAGAATAGCAAAAAAGATCGCAGGAGACAGGCGTCAAATACGGCATAATTATATAAATGTATATGGTATGTATAAGTCAAAATAAAATAGAAATTGCTCTGATTACAGCCAGGAGTTTCTGATTACAAGTACCTGTTACTGTTACTTACTTCTGCTTTAATGTGATAATCATTAGTGTATTTTATCTCAATTTTACAAAGGAAAAAAATAATCAAAACAAAAAAACTAAGCTTGTCTTACCACCCATGTGATTCCATCATTGCTGCCTTCGATGACGACTTCAGGCCGGCCCCCGACCCCGGTCATGCGTCTGAACAGGCCATAGGAGTTGACCAGTTGATAGCGGTCCACCAGCGCATGGGCTTGTCTCACTCCAGGCCACAGGCTTGCATGCGAGTCGTACTCTATGTAAGTGAAAGGCACCTGCAACAGAAAAACGGTAAGAACTACAAAATACTGTTCAAAAAAAGAAAAAACGGATTGACTATCAATAACAAAGCATATGCAGAAGAGAAATGTTATGATTTTTAAGTCATTTTAATCCAATATTTCAACATTCTTAATACAGAAACACACTTTAAAACACAACAGATCTATACACAATTAACCTTTGCATTTAGTCATGGAAGAATGGGAAGAAGTAAAACAGGACATTAAGAAACTTAATAATTGTGTTTCAGTCATTATAATTAAACAGTACTGTAGTGATTTGATAAATTTCCTCTTTCTGGCAATGTTAAAAGAAATAAATGACTGATTAATATAAAGAACAAAGTAAATATATAAGCATGTGCCTGTTTTGCCTCAGTCCAGTTGAAAAGAAAACCATTTAATTTGTTTCATTTCATTAAGCCAAAGCCATGTGCTTACCAGACTGATGGTGAACATGGCAACGGCTGCAGCTCCAAACAGTGTCCACTGTAAAGTTCCCCCTAGCCTCCGGAAAAACCCTCTCACACATGCACTCCTTTAAACATAGGACAAGACTTACATTATTTATACGGATGGGTGATATATTTGTTCTATTGGTAACGGCTAATATTAGAGGGTTTTCACTGATACTGGTATCAGACTAATGAGTAAATATTCAAATAGAAAAACTACTTCATGCAACTAATTATTTTATATCCCAGTATATATATATTTCTTTACCAAAGCCAAAAGTTAATTCACTTTTAAAATAAATACAATTGTGGGTATGGACTTAGAAAGTTAAATATTGGGAAATATCTGTTACCAACCACATCAACAAACCAAAAAAATCCATATAGGATCAACACAGATCCCAAAAACTCTGGTTCTAAACTAATTGTTCATTCCACTGTCCCCTTTTTAAAAGAATTTCCAAATGTTTCCTGATTAACTATGGGGTAACAAATGCATATTTCTAACAATGATCACCATAGAACACATATTATTTTGGGAAATTGAATGGGAAAATTACATTGTAAACAAAATTATTGTTGAATTCCAGAAAACATGACACACTGACCTGAACATGGCTGTTATCATCTCCCATGTGAGGGAAAGAACCCCCATCCACACACAGGGGATAGTCACAGCCTTCAGAAACTGGTTGAACTGGTGGTAAGTGAAAGCTGAAACAAAATGATGAACAGTTATTATTGATACAAAATGATGAATATGACCTGGTGGCTCCACAAACCTGTCCTGGACGTAATACTTTTCTTCTGTGTGTCAATTTGCAAGTCAAAGCACATGATTGTCACAAAAACAAGGAATGCCCAAACCAGGAGCTCCAGTATGTATGCCAACCAAGACCAAAGTCTGGACTCTGAACACAAACACAAAATTATACATTTTTACAATAATACTTTCCGTTATGAAAGAGCTGCTGGCTGCAGTAGTACCCCAAGCCACCTATAAAATCACCTTTTTGAACTTAACCAGGTTATAATGTTTTTCCATCATTGTCAGCTTACTCAGAGCTTTATTTATATTGATTAATACATATTTGAGTAATTCAGTACTGTACTGCAGTCGAGGCTTGACGCTCAGAAGATGTCCTTTGCACTTTAAGTGACTTACACTAGGGGTGTCCAAACTTCTGTCTTTTCATCAAGAGTCGCATATCAAAACACAGACAAAGCCAACAGACATGCTTAGATCATCAAAAGGACACACTTGCAGTAAAAAGTACTGTTTAAAGGAATATGGGCCATTTCACCTGGAAGTCTGAGGGCCACAAAAAATTGGTCTGATATAGTTTGGACATGCCTGCATAGATTAGATTATTAGCAGTTTCTCATGTCCCAGCACACAGCTCAATAAAATTTGTAAGAAACAGTTTCTTGCCAATGCGTGTTTAGTTTCTCACCCTTATGACTGGTCTGGTAGGGTTTGCGTATCCACAAGTGAACGTGCTTGTCGTCCAGTAGAGATAGACACAGAGCTATTGTCAGCAGGTTGAAGAAGTTGTAATTTCCAGATAAAATAATGAGAACTTGAAGAAGAATCTATGGGGTAAAACATTTCATTACATTTCTTTTGTTATACTAATGATAAGAAACAGGGCTTAGATAATCATTTCAAACCTGTAAGTAGAAGGAAGCAATACGGAGTCTGCGCAGAGGACTAAAGAAAAGAGGAGGGACAGCGATCTCTATGAAGAAGGTGCCCACCACGCTGAGCTTCTGCCACCATACAGGGAGCTGGTGAGCAAACCAGGCCAAAGGAGTGGGGATGCACTGGGTCTCATAGTGATAGGTCAGTGCTGCACAAAAACAGACAGGAAACTGTCATGGCATAGTTTTAAAGGGCGATCCCCAAAAAACAGTAGTATTTCACATTATACCATTCATCTTTCAATTAGATCTTAAAACCAATACACCACCACCTGATCATTTGCCACTCCTTGTCTAAAAGTGCTTGTGCCTTACCAGTCAGACCCCACCAGGTCGGACAGCGAGAGGTCAATTTGACCACTCCAGATGCAAACATGAGCCTGAAGAGCAGCCAACGGACCAGCCAGAAAGTGATTGCATCATGATCCCTGACCGAGCGAGAGCCCCTGACCACTGTAAGCGGGGCCACCAGAATACACAGAAAGCCTGTCTCCAGAAGCAAATTATCCCTGGAAACACATGCAATCAGGAAGAAAAAGAGTGTCAGCCCATCACAGCCTACTCCCTAGACCCTAACAACCAGTCAAGCCTCCTCTGCCTCTACCATCTCCTTTAAAAAACATTTAGCAGCTAACTTTTTATTGTAAGTTCACTTTTTGGATGTCAGCATATCGCCTTTCCCAACCTACCCCTTCAATACCCCGTTCCACGCCATATTATATTGTAATTTGTAATGGAGAAATGTAGTGAATAAAGCCAATGGTAAATTTGAGCGAGACAGACAGCAGCCATAAAATATTAGGACTCACCACTGGAAGTAGAGGAAAACCTGGCCAACCTGAAAAACACAAGCGTATGATAAATCACTACTTAACAATGCTTAACTAAACCATAGACAACATATTGCAACATATTACAATCACACCAAAATTGTTAATTACAATGACAGCAATTATCAAATCACAAAGGATGCAATTATAAGCGTAATAGTATCTCCTCTGTAAAAAAAACAAAAACTTATTTATGAAAAATACCCGCTAACTCTGCAGTTTAGAGATCTATAAACAAAAAGAACAAATTGGAAATGCATGGGATTCTTGTATTATTTAACAGTTCAGATTTCCGTCTTTTCAAATATTTCAAATTTTTAGATGATCTCAGTAACAATTTTCAGACAAATCGATCAAAAATGTGCTAAAAGTAAATGTTTCAGTTGAGGTTCAAGTATCTCCTAAACAAGAATGAACCCTAATATTAAACGCAAAATTGCAGACAGATTACTTAATGACTTTATTCAAAACTTTGAGCATTTTTTTAATGGTTTATATAGATAATATACAAATGCAATATTATACCTTTTTCAATATATCTCACACGTCTACAAATACATGTCAAAAAAAGAACAACTAAAGATATTTCTCTACACATATCATTATATTTAATACCTGGTACATGGACATATAGAGTGCCCAGAGGCAGAAGAACACCACACTGTCCCTGAAGGTCTCCATCAGAGTTGCAGCCAGGCTCAGGGCGGCTCCCAACAGACACAGCAGCTCCATACAGCTGTGAGTGTCCAGACCCAGGTGAGGACCAAGCCACAGCAGAGTGGGGGAGGTCCAGAGTTGCTCCCACAATGCTTTCCCACTGTAACGCAGTCTCCAGCGGGCAGGCAGCAGGCCATCGTTACCATAGAGACCTGGGCGAGACAATAGCAGGATACCATTGTAGCTTTTAAGATGTAAGTGAGATGATGTCAAATTCCCAGATGGGGGGCAAGAGACAGTTTTTCCTAATATTACATTGTATTTTTTCATAAGGACTAAAAGGTAAATTGAACCTGATCATTCCTATTGGTGACAATTGAGACAACTCAACTTGCTATTTATGCTGAAACAGGATATGACCAGACTGCCTGTCACTCTTGTTGCTGGTGTTCATGCACAATAATTAGGGCGTTTATCACCATCCCATGAATTTGACTCACCTTTTAATTGCGTGAATATTATTATTTACAAAAATAAGGCCTTTCCCGGGGTGAAATTGACAACATTTGAGTATTATATTATCTTAAAATAAATAAAAATAAACTGCCCACCTATATCGGATCTAATCTGTAATAAATACTTATTAGTTATGTAATTTTAACATAAAATCTTAAACTTCTCTGGTTCATACCGTCATCTCCCATCTACCTGTACAACTAGTCCCCACCAAAGACTGCATGAAGTCTATGGTCCCCACCTTCAGAATATAAAAGATACACTTTTGTATTTATGTAAACATAGTATTTGCTTACATTTAAGTAGGTAAAGTACTTGATTGCTTACTTTAAATTGCCATTTTTAAAAATCAAGACCCATCATGCCTAAAGTTGTCATGAATCTATGCCAAAACCCTTTTAGCTGTACTATTATTCATAAAACTATTGGAATATCAAGTACGATAGCGTTGCTTGAGTGCCAGTGCAGCTTTTGTTAGTCTAAAATCATGATCATCACGATAAAAAAAGTGGCTAAAACTGTGGGTTAAACTTCCCTATAATACTGCTAGCCTAGCTCCAACAACACAGAGCGGAGTGCACCCACCTGGAATCTGCACATACAGGGAAACAAACGCGGACAGATAGATGACCGCCATGCACCACAGGAACATGCGTCTCGGTAAGACTATGGAGTCCATATTTTAGCCGATCCGCCGTGCACATAGGAGTGACCCTCCCCAGTACAGCTGAAGCCCGTAGTCCTGCAGCAGTAGCCACTATCTGTTCCTGTTGCCGCTGGCGAGGAAGAAGCAGGATTGAGAAGGCGCGCAGACTCTGACACGTAGCGGCCAGCCAGTGCACAGGGTCGATACAAAAAGAGACCGCTAGGTGGAGCCAAAAGACAGCGTTATTGTTTTCCGGGGTGGTGCGTTTTGGAACACTGGGAAATTTTGTGTTAAAAATCTATGATATGCAAAATGAGAATTAAAAACTTAAAATAATGAGATGAAATAATGGGTTAAATCTTTAGTCTTAAAGGGCCCATCAATTTACGCAATTTCTGATCTATATTATAATGCTGCTTCCTCATCAAAAACATAGTCTGCCTGGAGAGTTGTATTTTGTGTCATTCACACATGTTTAACGCACAAGTCCTGAATATTTAGGCTGAGTTCTTCTCCCAAACGAACACTCCTTGCATCTTCACTAGAATTATTTGGATAATTTCAGTTCTGGAATTGCCAATTATTACTGAACAAAAAGTAGCTGTTAACTTCAAAATCACTTCTTGGCATTACTAGAAGGAAGATAACTTTTGAGATTTGGAGATGTAGACTGACTAACTCAAAAAATGTGTGTAAGAAACAAAATAGAACTCCGGATGTTTTTGATGAGCTAACATTATAACATGTCTTAAAGCTCAGAAGAGGCCATTTTGCTTAATATAGGAGTTTTAAGCATCAGAGAACAAAGTAAAACAAATATACAAAAAACTATTACTACTGATGTCAGTAAAAGTAATAATAGTAATTGAAAAAATGCTGCTCAGCAGTGTAGGTAAATTTTAACATACATATGGATCTTAAAAACTTATACAAAATTAAGTATTCAAAGTATTTTTGCCAAAGGTCTATAAAATGTATCAAAAATATAAATCACCAAATATAGTCTTTTATTTTGAAACTATTCAGACAAGACTCTTGGTTAAAAGACTCATTTATTTTAGTGTGCAATAAACTTGTCTTGAAACATGAATTACTGACAAAACAATGGTTTAAATTTATAGTACAACCTTCCAGGCAAACATACAGAATTTATGGCAATAGCTGTTGGAAAGCTAACCCATCAGTATATACATTCAAGTTTTAGACAGAAAATAGTATAAACAGCTCAGATCAAAGTACCATTATTATACAGAAGTTCACCAGGTGAGAGAATGCATGTTATAAAAATATATTTCAATAAAACCTACACCATATATTTTCTGTGGCACAACAGTTTTGGACGAATGTAAGAGATGATTAAGATTGGCAGGAGAATCAAGACTTGACACAAGTTTCAACAACAGAAATCAAATTAATCTGTAAAGAATTATGACTAATTAAGATAATAATTTTTGTGTGCTGGAAATACTTATACCAAAAGCTAAACCAAATTATCTAGAGATCTATTTTTATATCTGGGTCCCATATTACCAATTGTAATTAGGTCCAGAGTAAAAGTAATATTTGGTATTATAGGGAGCTGTATGATTGAAAAGTTGCACATATATATATCTATCCTTCAAATTAATTTCAGTCCCTTTTGGTGTGACAATATTAGGTTTCTATGGAAACTGTCTTGCAAGTAACCTTTTTACAATATTTTTCATGAAATGGACGAATAAAGCTACCAAAAAACAAATCAGACATTCCCTAAATGTTTATGTAATACTTGTCCTGTACATTTTGTATCTTCAACATTGTACACATGGTTAGCATACACTGCTAGTGTGAGTAGTTCAATGTTGCACTCAAAGCTTTGGGTTATTTCAAAGTTCTAAGGCAGCCATCTTGGAGTAGTATTTGGACGTCTGATAATCACGTGGTCCCCTCTGATCCACTGGAAGTTTGTGCAGTGTTTGTGGAGGAACAGGGGGCCTCCTGCTCAGTTTCTCGAACACAGATCACAGCATCTCCACTCACATTCATGAGACACTGGGCCTACATGCCAGAACAACACACTTTAAATCAACAGCATTGTGTAACATACAGTTTACATGATTGACATAATACCTGGTTTTTATTTGGATTTTCCATCAGCATGCATTCTTTCATACTATAGGAGACAACAGCATTCCCACCAAGAGCTGCAACATGTGCTCGAACCATGGCAAACACCTCAGCGATAAATGAGTGAAGAAAGCCACTCACGCCTCCTTCCTGTAAAATGCATGTTTTAGCACATACAATATTGAATAGCGTTCAGGCGTTTCATAATACACATACCTCACGCAATGATGTCGTCTCTCTTATAAAGAACATATTAATGATCCCAAGGTATTTGATAATGCGGGTCCCAGGCAGAAATGCCAGTGGCGTCATCTTGACCACAGTGACAGAAGTGCCTCCAAAAGAACGCGTGGAGCGTAGCGAGCGAGAGCGCCCCTCTGGCAGAGGGCTGGAGCGCTCCAGAGAGGAGACTGCTCAGAGAAATCAAGACGATGACATGCAGAAAACAGTGACCCTACAACAATACTGACCAAGCTTAACAAATCTATAATCATGAAGTCATGTTCTTCTACATGCAGAGGTTCAACCCTGTTACCACATGCAGAGTATTAGAAGAGTGTGCCACCGGAGCCCATGTAGTGGATGAGTGCATGCAGTTACTGTAGGTTTGGTGATGTTGAATATGTTTAGAAAAGCAGGCTGCCATGCACCTGAGTCAGACAGAGAGTGTGCAGACAGACACACAGACCTGGGCACAGCTGTGGCACTACACTGCTCAGTACAGTGACTGAACTGTTCTGTGTTTGTGAGACAATGAAATGAACAGAGACTATGAACTGAGGAGCTAGTGACAAAAGTGTTCATCAACATTATACTGATAAATGACCTGCTGTCCACTGCCTCCATCAAACCCACATCATCTTATATTAAGAGTTTACTTACTGTGCACAGGGCTGATTTTTACATAGTTCCATAGCAGCACTGCCCCACCCATTCCCTTTATCCACTTGCATTTAGTTTGAATCACAGTAAATGATCACTTACAAACTATACCCAGCATATTGCAGGAGCATACAAGAAGAAATCATAGCAGAAATCAAAGTCCTATGCAATGCATTACTGCTCTCATCCAGAATTCTGATAGCTTCAGGCAGTTCAAAGCCAAGCTGTTGATTGGGATGATTCTGCAGGGCAGGGCTTGATCAGAATAGCCCCACCCACAGCCGCATGCACAGAAAAGTGTGTGTGTGAGATTGTGTGTGCTCAGAGACTGAGTCCTCGTACTTGTCTTAACTGATCCACGTCTTATGGTGTGCGCTTTCAGCCTAAGCAGCTCTATCCAGGTGCTGCATCTGTCTGCAAAGGAACCGTAATCAACCGAGGCAGCTGGAGAGAACACACAAGAGACAAACAGCCCGCACCCAGACGGACAAAACCACCACACAACAGCGACGCACAAACACAAACAACACAAAAGAACAAAAGAAAGTGGATGAGGTTCCAGGAGCAGTGCAACGTCAACTCGGACAAAAAACGGGCCTGTGTAGTAGTGTGAGAGCGGAGAAGAGGGAGGGCGCTCACCTCGGGATGACGTAGTAGAACTCTCCTGGACACCTGAGGAATACAGAACAAGTTAGAACTTGGCTCATTATGGAAGCCCATTTCTACCAGTAAATAAAAAATAAAATCCTCACAGGAAGGAAGTCATAATAATGAGTTTTAAAGTCATAATTATGAGTTTTAATGAGTTCATGACTTCTTTGTCATATGAGGCATTTATTTTTTATTTACTAGAAGAAATGGGCTTCCATAGCTGATAGAATTAAGATATCTCACTTTAAAAGATGCTATATGTAGAAAATGAACAGTTGGTATGTTTTGCAGAAATAAATGTAGTTAATAAGATTAACTGAGATTCAGGAGCAGGACCACGCCTCAGCCGCCCTCTCCTCTCACCAGCGAACCACAACTCACCTCGACCACGCCTCTAATTTCCAAGAAGCCTATATGTAGCAGCCTTTCCCATCATCCCAGTTTGTCTCGGCTAACTCGACCCCACCCTCCCATCCCCTATTTTGTCTTTCAGTCATAAGACCCCTACAAGGGGGGTCCCGTCCCAGCTGGGCCAATTGTAGATTGAGACGGAGCCCCCCACCCATAGTCTCAACACAGCCATCTCTGCCTCGCTTAGTACATTATCAATAAACGTCCTAGTGGCATGGTCCTAGCTAGTGAAAATAAGATTAAAGAGAAAGCTTTCTACCATGTCGTAAAATTTCTTCATCAAAAATGTGCCTGATGAGGTTTATATGTCAACCATGTATGTTTGAGTAATTTAGCAATCTCTCATGGGTCCTATTCAAACCCTCCCTGTGCGTAGCAGTAAGATTTTGTCCAATGCTCAGCCCCTAGCTCCCAGTGCAATTTTCCATAAATATACAAAAGCCTGATACAAACAATACACTACATGTCTTCAAAAACCTGACGCGATATGCATTTATTAGCGAGATGCACACTGATTGTTTTGTGATTGTTCTCTGAAGGGGTAAGATTTAGAGCGTCAAAAATGCTCTTTGTTCCCGGTGCTGAGTCCCCCCGATACCCCCTCCTTAAGTGATTCCACAATGGTCAATCCATTTGAACAAGAAATTTCAAGAATAACCATCTGTTCAAATTCTGCATGCAAAAGGTAATCTAAATGTGTAAATAGGGCATGTCCTGAAGAAAGCCCACACTGACAAAAGAACTTGACTACTAATGCTCCACTGAGCTCTACCTTCACAGCAAAGCACCTCACACCATGTACAAGTGGTCACACGACCTTTACCTGAGGCTCGCATCATCACCAGCTGATTTTGACAGAGTTTTGCAGCTGGTGTTAACAAAGAAACTGTGCCTGGATTGTGGGTGGGGATGTCAAACACCCGTTAGTGATCGAAGTCCAAACCACCTTATGGGTTAAATCAAAAGAAAATGATATATACCTGTGATTTTCGAAGTCTGGACTGCAGAGGATGAAGCGTCTACACACAACTCCAGGGGGAACTGCAGCTGCTCCTCAGTCTCACCGTTCCCTATAAGAATTTACATTAGCTCTGTAGTTGGCTATATAAAATGATTAGTTGACTAATACAAATTTTGGTTGACCTAGAAACCATCAACTGATTAATTGATTAAAGGACCCAATCAGTTTGTAAGAAAAGTGAAAGCCAAGAAGGGGGGAAAGAAATATCTGACCTTTGCTTTGGGGGGCTTTCTCTGCTGGTTTATCCTGAGCCTGGTCCTTGTCAAAAGTCATGGCCACTGCAGTAACAGCCACCTGACAGAGGGAGCGAATAGAACGATTTAAGACTTAAAGTGGGACAAACACTTAAATAATAACCACATTTCAAAAAGAGTTGCTAAACTGGGCAGTGGGTGTGGACTAAAGAAGAAAGTGATGGGAGAAGAGAGACGGGGTATAGAAGAATAAGAAACAATGTGATTGGTCTAAGAAGAAGCCACACTTTAATCTCCACTCCTGCAGCCATGTGTTTGTAATCAAACACCTGGCTGTAAGTAGGACAGTCCTGTGTGATGTCACCAACTACTGGAAAAGACAGAGGCCACTGAAGGCAGCACAAATCTGGATTTAGAATTTTTGATCAGAAAGCTGCAAATTTACTGAATTTGCACTAAAGTGTTTAGTTCCAAGATGGAACATGTAGTGAATTTCCTGTTACCTGTACGAGTTCTTCCTCTGGCACAGCCACTGTGAAGTTGAGGTGACAGAGACAGCAGGGGATCATGTAGCGCAGCTTGAAATAAAAACTCTGAACAAAGCAGCAGGAGAAATTAGTTAATATCACATCAAAATTACCTAAGGCTGCTGAAAGGGCAATATAGTGTCTTACCTTTAGCAGATTCTCACATAGATCGGTGAAGATCTTGTTCAAGACTTGATTAGTGAGATTGACATTGTTCAGCCGTAAAACTCTGACTGATGTAAACATCTGGTACACAAAAACAGAGGTAAGCAGGTGAACCTAGCCATGAGAAAAGAAGAGTAGAAAAGAATGAGACATGTTTTGTCCTTTTGTCTGACCTGTACGGCTGATGTCCAGTTGTTGATCCCAGGCATGATCTCTGTGTTACAGCTGTAGAAGCCTTGGATAAAGGTAAAATTAGGACACCGGTGAGATTCTTGAGACTTGATGAATTATAATTGTCCAGATAATCTAATAAAAATAAAGAGACATTCAAACCTGTAGGAGGCGCTGCATCAGTGAGAAGGGAGTGGATGTCTTCCACAGCATCAGTGTCATCAATCTGTTGCAAAAGAAACAGTGAACAGTGAGCACGGAAAGAGTTCACAGTGTCTGTCCAAGTTGGAATCTGGTACTAAACAAGTCAGGTCTACAGGTGCCTTTGACAAGAGAAATTTAAAATAACTGAGTTAACCTCTAAAACAAAAGCATCCTTCTTTCCATGGGAAAGGTCCAGTTCTGACACTTCATCCGAGCTTTCTGAGTGAGAGCGGAACAGCCTGGAGCGCTGCCGGGGTTCAGGGATGGGAGAGCCCACAGTCTCATCTGTTAGATCCTACAGCGACACAGAATCAACACTCAGTTTGGGAAAAGACAAGGCAATAAGTGGAATCTTAGTATGTTGAGAGTGATTCACATGCCCGAGTACACTCATTCCAGCTCTCATTCAGTCACACAGTGTTAATGTGGAAGTGGGGTTGAGGTGAGGAGTAGAGTGAGGGCCTATAGTCATGGCTCTATTGTGTTGCCCACAGGAAGTGCTGCTGTAGTAAGTTACAATGGTCCTGCTCCCAAACGTCCCAGATAAGTCATGTTACACAGAACACAAATGGTGCAGTTTAAAGGTGAAACAGAGGATTTGTCATGCTGCGCTGCATCTCACAGCAAAGGCTCAGTACCATGTTTACGCCTCCAAACACCTCGGGATCCAACGCAAATATTTTCTTTCATGACCAAGAAAAAAGCAAAGCAGGGTTTCAATGATCAGGAGGAATGTATAACAATTATAGGTATGTACTGTCGTTTTATGTCCAATATTAAACATGTATACCTGCTGCTCACTAACCTCAGCTCAAGGGTCATGGAGGAGCAAATGAAAAGATGGCTACTCAAAAGGTTAAAAGGTCTTATATTACGCAAATTTACTCCTGTGAGCGTTTAATCTTATTATAATGCTTTTACCTCCTCAAATACATACCCGGAGTTGTATGAAGCACTTCATGTATTACCACGTGACATCATAAGTTGAAAGAATGAGACCAAATATGCAGAGTTTGTGTGTTATACATGTGTGAATGAAACAAAACACAACTCTGGGTATGTTTTTGATAAGGAAATAACATCATAACTTTAAAAAAGCGTAATATGGGCCCTTTAAGTGACATTCTTATTAATATTATAATCTAAAACTAATATATGTTGCCATGTGCTGAATGGATATCTGTGTATAAGCCTGGTTCTATGCATAAGATGGTGTGTAAAATATGTTTATGTACAACTCCAATTATGAAGCTTGTATATGTATGTTTGGCTCATGTTAGCTTACCGGGGGGTTGATTTGGTAGAGCTCCTTGTTCCGGGCAATGGTGTCATTGATTCTTTTCTGGATGGTCTGAATGTGATGCTCGTTACTGAGGTCCCCCGGGGTCTTTCCTGCAATCTGAATACCTCCAGGAGCAGGGAGGGCAGTCAGATAGACTCCTGTGGCAGACTGACCAAACAAACACAAAACAAGACACAGCACAGCGGTTACCACATATAGGCCTATCCAACATGGCAGGAGAACAGAGAGCAGAGGACCTACAGCGAGCCCCAGAAGCATGTTTTCGCCCACACTGATCTGAATGTGCAGGCCAAACAGGGCATTCATGCTGCGCAGCTTCAGCTTGTTCATCAGCTGAGTGTGCAGCTCGTACTCCATGAAGGGCAGCAGGTTGGAGATGGCTGTGGCGTTGACTTCTCCCTGGGCTTTCTTCTTTAAACGACAGAGTCTACAAAAGTCACAAATAGATTTTTTTTAAAGATACTGATTTGACAAACAAAGAAAAAAAAATACTGTTACTTTGGGATCAGGTCTCAAAATTCAAAATTTTAGATAAAGATAAAAATTTTAGATAAATAAATTAACTCAAATTGATACTTTGCAGCTGATGGTATCAACATTCCTTGCGCGATGAAACTAACTAAAGGCTCTGTCTGAAGCCCTGTTATACAATTTAAACTTTACTCTGAGGCTGAGCTTTCTTTTAACATAAAGAAATTACTTAATTTGAATTCCAACAGGTGAGCTTTTTGAAACATAACCATGAACACTTGTATTAATGGCAGACTGCCGGAAATATGTTGTTTACATCCATTATGCACTTTTTCCACTTAAAACATCAGGCTGCGTTTGCTAATGTGTGCACTGTGTCACCATGGTAACTTCTGAACATTCTTCCATAGACAAACATGCCATCCCCCAGCATCATGTCACTGCAAAGTATCAATAGAAACTAAAACTGTTATCTGTTTAATTCAGAATCTAGGAAGCCCTCATGTAAAGAACTGGTTAAGAAGGGTTCTTACTTAGCCAAAAAAAATTATGTTTAATTAATTTTTGTTCTTTTCAAAGTTGATTTGTCATGTAGGCAAATGTTTAAAGGCAATGGCTAAGTGATGTTTGATGTGATGTGCCAAAATTAAGACTAGATCACACCAAGCACTTTGAAAAAGTGATGAAAAGTGAGGTATAAGACATATGATCCCTTATACCTGGCCTGGATGAGACACCCTTTGCCTGTGACTGCAGCTTCAGATGGCAGGTCTATGGTGGTGAACAATACATCAGGGACCTATGGCACATAACCAATGCATTTAAGTTGTTAGCATTTATTTGAGGGAAAATGGTGCCAGTCAAGGCACTGCACCTTCTGCCGTCGACAGTGATAACAGTATGTGAGCTGGGCAGGGAAGGGCATGTTGAGTTCATCGTATGGAATGTGGCAGAACCCACAGCTTGGGGGAGATGGCTCTTCAAATCTGAGGAAAAAACAAACAGAAACAAGAAATTAGATCAAATGCAGATTCACACTTAATTTTTCTGTGATTAAATTTGATAAAAAAGTAACAAAAGTACCTATGGTCTGTACTTCCAAGGTCTAGGCAGCCATCACGCATATATCGTGGGTTTAGAATGGCTGCTGTACCTGATGCTGATAAAATACAGACCTCCTCACTGCAAAATAGTAATAATATATATAGTTTTAAAGAAGGGAAATACAAGTACCCAAGAGATGGAGCATGTACTGCACATACCAGATACTTGTACTCTCGCTGTATCCCACAACAGCATGGCAACCAAGAGCTTTGGCGTGAGATTTGATTTCTTGGCGTATTTCTTCCCACCAGGCGTCACGAGTCTCAGGCTCATCTGGAAAACATAACATTGAAACCATCTAAATGGAGAAATACCTGCAATGTTTAAAAGTCCATGTACAGTATCTCCATGGAACACAAGTTTCTGACTGCTTTGACTTATCAGAAAGACAGAAAATAGGAGTATTTTCTGAGGAGGAAGGGTCCATCAAAGCATGTCAAAAGCAGCTATAGTTTGTGAAACGTGATGACTAAGATGAGTGGAGATGATTTCAGAATGAGGATGGAGGCGATGGACAGATTAGTTGAGTCAGGCTATAAATTGTCAATACCGTACATTGGTGCATTTGTGTCTCTCACATCAGCGTTGCCTTTCCAACGATACTTTCAGCTAATATTGTTGAAATACTGTATGTGTTTGCAAACAGGTTATCTGGTCCGATTCAGTGGAACATTTTTATTAATGATCAACATTGTGTAAAGAGGGACATAGAACCCATATTAAAATCGGTAAAAATCTGCTTAAAATTATGGAAATTGTCTGCATTTTGGATGGAATATTTACTATTGACGACACAGGTACATGTATTTAGTTATATTCAACTTTTTCCCCCACAAACTAACAGATGTAAAACGATAATAAATATTTACCATATTGTCCTGAAATATATATACTGTATTGTCTTGAAAAACAAAAAACTATCATATGCACTTAGGAATAGAAGCCATTCTTTCAAACCTGCATACTGGATAATATAATAGGAAATATAGCGTATTGTGTTAAATTAATCATGCTACATGTTAAAGGTTTAGATTTGCTAAGATTTTTAAAAGAATGCTACTTAGCAGAGCAGGGAAGATGAAGGAAAATACAGAGAGTGAAGATGTAGAGAGATGAAGATGACCAATGATCAGGCATCAGGCCTACGAAATGGCTTTGTTAAACCAGAAGCAGCATGTCACACAGGCACAGGCTCACCAACGTGCACGCGTATGACCATGTACACGCGGATGAGCAGAGGAGGGCCATATTCATTCACCAGTCCAGCTCCAACATCAACTCTTTCCCTCAGTCCCAATCAACCAAGCCAGATATAGGAGAAATGTAGCTCCAAATGCAGCCTCTAGTCCTTTCTTCTTCTCTCAGTATGAATACGGCCCAGTGAGGTAAGGATGCACATGCCTGGTCAGTGGCTCGCTCACACAGAAACCTCCTAAACCTGCGCTGGTCTAGAGGTTTGAGCACAATGCTGTTTGAAAGCATCAGTACAGCGCTAGGACCAGGAGGGGGCGACAGCGGGTGGAGGGCAGGGAGCCAGGCCAGGCTGGAGAGGGAGGGAAGGAGCACAGCGCATGCTAAACTCAGCTTAGCAGCAGCATACACTCACACTGATAGGCAAGAGGATGGCAGCTCACTGAAGGCCACATGTGGACTATGTGTTAGGATAGTCTACTGAGTGGTTCACACTCTCACTCTCACAGGAACTGAAAAGATCTTCACTGGTCAAACCCTGTCAATAAGTTTCTCAAATTATTCTGTAGCTTGTGAGTACTTGATTAATAAATATAGTAATCTAAGAATCAGAATCTTGTGCCATTCAAAATCTAATAAGATTTGCATTAATCTACAAAAGGCCTTTGAATCCTTATTTCAATATTACAATATAGAAAACAGTGGATTGGGGAACCTTTAGTGTGAGACACCTAAAGGATAAGTATTAGGGCCTACATTAAAAGATTCAAGCTAATGAAATTTGTCTTCTTTGCTCAGAAATATTTCCTTGCTTTGGGGGAAAAAACAACTCAGAAAATAGAAAAAGGGTTTCATGTAAATAAATAATGACTGTATCAGAAATACCATGACTACCAATAATGCAAAAAGTGCATCTGATCTGACTACTACTCAATTCAACTCAACAATACAACTTTAAAATGTAGTTAACATTTTATTTAAGTATAGTATATGTTATTTAAGTATGTTAATTAAGTATTTATAAATGCCTTTGTCAGATATTTATTTATATGTAGAGATTAATGCATGAACGTCCATATATCACAGGACCCACATGTAATACCAGACACCTATACTTATGCGTGAGAACCACTTTACAAAACATACATTCTCTATAGTTAGTTAATTATGTGACAAAGCGCTGTCACTGAGCTGCCATCACTCCTGTGGGAGAAAGCATAAAAGGGGAAATACCTGCAGTGACACTATTCCAGTCTAGCAGTTTGTAAGAGCGCGTGTTACCCAAGGCTGGGCCAGAACACACCGTTAGTACAGGAGAAAGACAAGAGAAGAGACAGTCTAACACACAAGCACAGCACAACTCACATTCACCACAGAGACACAGCATTGACTGAGCAGTAGATAATGAATCTAAACTGAAGCCAAAGGCCAGAGCAGTTATAGGAAAATGGCATGAAGACATTTAAAGAACAGAGAAATCTTGACCTTACTGAGCCAACATCATAAAAGACAAGCCACAGCAACTGTTAGACAAACTTACAGAACAGAACTGTAAGTTGCTACGGAACTCATGTTCTAAGAAACTGGATACACTCTCCTCTTGCCCTCTCAAACCTCATGATCTCCCACATTATACTTTATTCAAGATTTAAAATGCATTTGGACACTATTGATACCTTGGAGCTGATGTCATCAACAGTTACTGGAGGAGTGATGCCAACTAGAGGCACTGGTCTGTCTGAAGCTCCGTTACTCATGTTAGACTTTAATCTGAACTTTGTTCTAACGTAATCAGATCATAAAGAATTGACAGTTTGAACTAAAACAGGACACTGTTGAACAAGTCCCCCTCACATAAGCTAGCTAGTATCAGCTAACATTTTCAGTTACAGTCACTTTCAACTTTTCATTGAAAACACCTAGGATCATGGACCATGAACACTCATAGTACGTTTAAATTAAAGCCATTCGGCATTTTAATTTTTCTTTTCAAACAGTTTTCAGACAAGGTTAATACTTTTTGGCAGTGTTTGCCAATGTATGCATTGTGCCACCATGATCAGGGTTGAACATTCTGCCATAGACATACATGTAGTACCGCCCCAGCGTGATGTCACTTCAAAGTATCAATAGCCCTGTTATTTCACTTAAATTAATGGAGTATAATCAGTATAAAATAATTCAACCCCAATTACTGATTGGTAAGATCATTACAAGTTACAAGATTTTCAAAAAACGCACGCAATTTGCTGCTTTTTCTTAGACAACGTAAAGGCAGAAATTATCATCTTATCTCAACAGAATACAACCAAAAAATTTAATTCTTTATTACACAGAAAGTAACATTTAAAAAAATGAAAAAAGCAGAGGAGCATATACAACACCAAAGCCCCATCTGCAGCCAATGCTTCAGCTGAAGCGAGCAAAGAAATCATGTTGGAGCCATGCACCTGACCTCCAGACCACCACAGCACCACAGCACACAGACACATCAGTCACATCACTATTTAAACAGCACGCAGAGCTGGCAACAAGGTGAAAGATGCACCAAGAGAAGTCCTATTCATTAATTACTTTGCAATCCCTAGACCACTAATCCAGTGTTTCCCTTTAAATTATATGGCCCCCCCAACCCTTTCAATCAAATGATGCAGCTATTCCTACATCATCAAAATTATAGTCTTTACCAAATCCATTCCACTAAAACAACTGTATCAATAGACATCGAGCCCATATTATTATAATATTTTCCCTCATACTTAGTTAGCTCAGACTGTATAAAGAAGTGGACTAAGTGAGTGTGACGTCACTCAGAGTGTTCGACTCCAGTTAAATGAAGCTCATGAGGCTAGCAGTTACAGAGGTGATTTGGAGCCGAGTTCCATATTAGGAATGGGAATTTACTTACGGACAAAACAGCGAAATAAAAACACCAGGATCACGTAGAGTGGATTAATACGAACATTTGAAGACCAAAAGGATGAGACTCACTGCAGCAGTTACAGAGAGAGGAGTGACAATTTTTCAATGTAAAGTCAATAGCAGTCAGAGTTGGATGAGCAGAAGAAAAGTGAGTTTCCAGTCACTGTTACTGCTGTGCTACTGCTGTAGTTTAACCACATTATAAATAACTGTATTAGATCATAACTTCAGAATTCATTTCTGCAAATGATTAAGGTCTTAGCATGAAATTAAACAAACTATGAGCTTGTTTAATTAAAATGACCAAACTTCTGAAATATAAGGTGTTTTAGAGCCACTTAATTGTTTTAGACAATATTAAATACATAGACATTTAATTATTAATCTGAAATTGACAGTTAAAAACTATTTAATAGTCTGTATTTTCCCTCTGTAACATTCCCAAGCGTGTGATTGTGTACATACACATCCACGGCCAAACCTGTCAAGCCAGTAAACCTAGAGGAAACACTGTAATCATATTACAAAGCATTGCAAGGAACATCTTTCACCTTCTTAACAGAAAGATTTTTTTTATGTTCAATTACCAAATACATTTAACTGCATGTCACACAAGAATGAGTCAAAGACGCAGTTATACATGTCTGTTGTACTCACCAGGGTTGTGAATGCGGTCCAGCAGTTTCACAGAGCGGGCACTGACCACTCCACCAACATGAACCAAAAAACCAGGAGGGAAAGAAGTCAGCGTAAAGAAGGGGAACTCCTGCGGGAAAATAGGGAAAATGTACATTTTAAAGTACACATTTGATCAAAGCTAGTATACTTCATTTCTCCACACCAGTCTTTGCGTCTGTGTGTCTGATGTATTGTGTGTGAATTGACATTTGAGGTCTGAAAGCTGAACTATTTTACACCAAGCTTGTCAGTTGATAAGATTTTCATTTGAATACTGCCATACAGGACGGAAACGAGAGAGCAGATGAACAAGGCATGCAGCAAGTACAGTGCACTTGTGGAAATAGACAGACAAACAGATGAAAAATACTTCCAGAGTAAAGGTCTCTTTACATTTGACATGCTTTATTTGTCCCCAAACACATGGTACTTTGAGATCAATCATGACAATAAACCCATGCATTCTCAATACTGTCTGACATTTCAACTATCATGTTCTTGGTTATAGGTTAGTAGAATGTTTAATTAATTTAAAAAACATAACATTATCAATCAATAAATTTTTTCCTTGTAATTCCAAGAAAGAAGGTTCTTATTTACAAGAGCAAAGCATGGCTGATGATGATGATAATGATGATGATGATGCATTGTCTGATGACATGACCTTTCATTGATGAAAACACAAAAATATGGGGCTCTGCATCATCAGTCTGTGGATTTTTGAGAGTGAAGTGGGTTCAAAGCAAACACAAAGCAGGGTCACATCAAACTGAAGGCCAGCTTCCATCAGAGTCAGAGCACAAGAGGAAGAGGCTGAGGGGGGCATGGCCATCAGAGGCTTAGGTCTTAAGAGGAAGAAATGCAGATAGAGGTCCCACAGTAGAACATACCCCAGTGTTACACAATAACCTAGAGGAGGATGCTCCCTGAGGAGCACAAGCATCAAGAGGACAGAGAGAGGTATCAGAATCTGGACCTGGAACTTACAGCTCTTTACATTGTTCAATCTGTGCAGTTGGCAACAAAACATTGCCCAGTGTGTTTTCATAGCGATTAAGTATATAAATCCAAATATTAAGTAAAGTTATAGAGCAGTGCATACTCGCTGTTCAAGAGCAGTCTGTGTTTGTTGCCTTAGCAGAGTCTTCAAGGGTCCGGCCTCTTTTCCCCCACTGCCACCACTTCCCATGCCTGTTAAAAAACAAAGCCATTGTCAACTTCATAAGAGCTCAATGCATTTTAATATTTTATCTGTTGTACTACTTTTCTGAATAACTATTTTATTCTCAATGGAGTAGCTCATAAAATGATGCATGCTATAGTATGACAACACACAATGACAGTGTGTTAGTGAAGTTGTTCACCCTAACACCCTAAGCTGGTTATTAAACACTTGGCATGAATGTGAAACACACAGGTTATCCTACAGTACCAGAGGCTGCCATGAGCAGCAGGTCCTCATTGAAGGACACACTCTTTCTGAGAAGGGCGGAGTCTGAGTGGGTGGTGGAGGGGAGGGGTGGGCTGCTGTGAGCAGAGCACACTGAGTCAGGACCAGGGAAAGACAGGGTGTCTGTGGGCAGGACGGGGGAGCTAGGGCAGAAGAAGATCCCGGGCCTGCGTCTCATTGCCTGGCGGTCCTCTGTCCAGCACAGACACAAGGCAAACGAATGGAGAAACACAGATACGAAGATGAAAGAATGGTAGAGGGAGCAGAAAGAATGCAGAAACCAAACAACAGCAAGGAGAATGAATGTGAGTGTGCAGTATGACTCTGTACATTGACCCACTACAGTAGATATGTCTGGCAAAAATTACTTTTTAAGCGGAGCTATAGAAGAACTCCAAAATTTAAAACAACACATTTCATTCAATGCATTTCCTATTTATCACTGAGAGTTAAATCAATATTCCTGTGGTGTACAACCAATCATTATTGAAATAATCATCAATTGTTGAATTTTCTGAACTATACTTTCAAACCTACCATGTGCTGTGAGGTTTTATGACTCAGACAAAGCAATTCAACCAAAATTGCAATATTGGTGTGAGCATAAAATGTCTTGTTATTGCCAATTCTTCCGTGTCACTATAGCACTGAGGAGTTAAACATGGCTAAATGAATGGTGCTAAACAAATATAAGGAAGAAAAAGTGAAAAAGATATGAAAAGAAAGGAAACTAGAGGGAAGCATACATGGCTACAGAAAAGAGGGACTTGGGAGGACAAGGAAAGCCTCTGCTGCCATTGCCCACTACTGTGTTTTTATAGGCAGTGCTGTAGGACTTACCTTCCACTCTATGAATGACCAAGCTGGGAGCTAATGAAGAAGTTATGTTAGCTTAACAGTCAAAAACAGTCAGTCATGAGACACAATGCTTCCATAGAAATCATTTAAATAAAACATAACTTAAGTCAAATTAACTTAAAATCAAACATATCCACAATAACAACACACATCACTATGGGAGTGGGCGATGGGTGACATGGGAGAATGGGTGGGTGCTCTTACCAGTCTTGGGTGTCAAACTGAGGTCTGTGTCGGATGAGGAGGACTGGCGACTGCATGGCTTGGAGGGAGAGAAGGGGGGAGGAGAGGAGGAGGAGGTGGGGAGAGCTCGGAAAGGGGTGGGTGGCCCAGAGGATGTAGGCAGGTCCTCCCCAAACACTGGCCTGGCAGAGAACAAGGGAGTCAGCAGGTCACCCCCAGCAGTGGACTGGCTTCATGTGTTCAGTGTATGGGTGACTTTATAAAGTGTGTATTTGTACAAAGAGGGCTTAGGCATGTGATCATGTACTCACTCTGTAACAGAAAGTAGCATTTATGGAAAAAGCTTTAAAAATAAGCTTTAAGAAAAGCCAAAGAGAGACAGTGTGTAGTAGAATGCTGCTCTAATGTTCTTCATAACTGATCAGGTGCATACTGTTGTGCTCTTGTGTTCTCCAGTAGGATTCTATAATCTAGACACTTTGCTTACATTGACATATTATAATTTTAAAGCTACAGTGTCATTAATATAGCATCTTCTTATTCTACTGTTGTTGTTTACCCGTTACTTCATTCCAGATGTGCATTTTTATAGGATTATCTAATAAAACTATCATGACTGAAATCTTCTTTTCATCGAAGTGTATCCGAGTGATGTTTTCAATACACATCTCAATACATGGATCACAATACCAATATGTTTTTGGTAGTGTTTTTTGGACATCTGAAACTTTAATGTACTACAGTGAGGACAGTATAGTGTATGTGTATTGAGCCACATATGCCTATTCTATTCTGAGGGGTTTCTTGAACCATTCCATATTATATTGTGTATCTTGCATCTCCACTGTGACATTTTGCTTCTAGATGCTTTATCGCATATTCTGTTATTTCCTTTAAATATCAAACAGGTATAGTCTTTTTCTGTACACTTTAAAACTGCTGTTCCATACTTTGTTATTTATTATGTGTTTTGTCATGTCCGAAATCAAAGTTATCAGTCAGTCAAGCAATACTTAACTCACATTGATGGGACTTAGACATATTAGAGCGTATGATGAGAGCTAACCAGCATTCTCCTGATCCATTCCCAAGCCCTGCGTACTGCACTGTGCTATACCCACATGTGAGTGTTTGCTCAGGGTGAGGCATGTGATGCTTTGGGGATGGTTAATGGACTACAACACACAAGACACACATCACACGAAGCGGAAAAGGAAAGCAGCAGGGCAAAACAGCGAAAGCCAAAAGAAAACCAAAGGAGACATATAGAAGCATGTGTCCCAGTACCAACACTCAGGACCTCCCTCACCATTGCTTGCTTAGCACTAGTTTTAAGCATAATTAATGTCTTTCAGGGTCCATCTTTGAGAAATACAAATGGCTAAACATCATACTAGCGTTAGTGTTACCAGATTAGAAATGTTTCATTTCACTGTACTGATTAAACACCTATTGATACTTCACAGTGACATCATGATGGGGGTACTGCATGTGTCTATGAACGGAATGATCAGCTGTTACCATGGTGACACAATGCGCACATCAACATTGACTAATAAGTTTTAACACGAACTGTTGGACAATGCTAGCTAGCTTGTGGCTGTAATGTTATTTCACACAGGGACTTGTTTAACAGCACAAATCATCTCTAGGTCTAAATTGAGTATCAAAAGTTTCAGAGAGAGCAATGCCTCGAGTTAGCTTTACCAACCAGGGAATGTTGATGGCATCAGTATTAATAGCATTGTGGTATTCTAGCAATTTGGTTTTGCTATACAGGCCAACTAAGTTCAGTTATTTCTGATGATTTATTTATTTATTTATTTTTGGTCATATGTATTAACGCTGTCTCCCCTGCATACCAGTGAAGATGAGAGTGGGCACAGAGACAGAGAAGTTCTGGGTGAGCCTCTGGGAAGTGCAAGCCGAGTGCACTGGGCTGTTGTGAGTGGAGCGGCATCCGAGGGCTACAGGAGACCTGGGCCAATCAGCAGAGACAACAGCGCCCCCCACAGACACGCGATGAGCAACGTCCAAGTCCACATGAAGCCAGAGAGGAAGAAAGAACGCAAACAAGAACCAACACTACAGTACGGCAGGAGTGAAGTGTGACAGATCAAAAGAAAGAGGCAGAGGAGGTGGGGGCATGTTATGCAAGAATCACATGCAAAGCTCACATGCAAACACAAGTCCGTCCCCAATGATTGAGTTCAGTTCACAGAGCAGGTTCAGTCTAAGCACACTGGTTCAACTCAGCACTTCAACAAAACTCAAAAATGTATAGTGATGTGTGGAAAAAAAAAAAGTGACTATCTCCAAAGCTGCTATCCATGTTACGTACAAAATTTAATTCTATTTTCCCATGCAGGTCAGGGACCTTGAAAACTTGTAAACGACTTGTAACTTGTAAAAGATTAGTTCACGTCTTATTTCATGTGTTGAGAGTAAATATTGGAATATTGGGAGGGATGCATCAATCTAACATTGGTACTGACTATCATTGCCAATCCTAAAAAAAAGCTGAATCGGATATAGGCTTCTAACTATCTGCTCAGCCGATATCCAGGTTGATCATATAAATTGATGTAATAAGATGTACTGGTTGTAGTTGGCCCAAGAAAGTCTCATAATATTTCAATGCCGTTTTTATTCTCTGCACTGGTATCTGTATCTTCAGTGTGATAAGTTTAAACCTGCTTTGTTGTTAGTAAGGGCAAAATAAAGTAGCGATGTAAACAATGTATTTTTGATCTAATTCTGTGCTGAATGAAAATAGTAGCACAAAACCAATTCGTTTACATCCCAATCATACTGTCTCCATAAACGCTGCACATTCCACCTGTGGTTGTGTAAAGAGCAGTACTTCCTGTGTGCAGAAACAGGAGGGTAAGGTGCAGTGCAGAGGCAGAGCAGAGCTTGGCACAGTGCACACATGAGGCTGTTAAGATGGCTCTGTGCTTGTGTTATCCATGTGTGTGTATCAGGATATGTGGAGTGGTGTTAGTATTAGAATAAACACAAGACACGATTCCAAACATGTTCATTCACACGCTCAATACTGAAATACACACGGGACAATGAACACACTTAGAAGGGCTCTGTCCACATGTACGTATACACAACTGCATTCTCATACACAGCATATATACAGTACAAGCGAATTTTTTAAAAGGTCCTTACGCAAGATGCAGATGAGCTTTTAGCAACATTATAATATGCTCTTACCTGGAGGCAACAAAGAGCAAATCAGTTTCAGTGAGGTTAAAACAATAACTAACTTCAAATCTAGAACTGAAACGATCAACATGACTGTGTATGGAGTTTAAAAAACAGCATTTCCTTTGTGTTTTAAGTTTGAGAGAAGAACAGAAATATCCAGAATTTGTGTGCTAAGCAGCATGAAACAAAACACAACTCCAAAGATGTTTGTCATAAGGACACAACATCATAATATAAGATAAAAATAGTGCTATATAGGCAAATTAAGAAGTTACAGAAGTCTGTAGCCTTTTAAAAACTGTGTCAAATGAACTGTTTAATAAAAGCCCTGTTGAGCTAGAGTTAATAAACTAAAAACTTTATTACTGTACTTTATATGGCCTTAACTAAACGGTGGCCAAGATGGTTGATGCCAAAAAGTTTTATCTCACATTTAGTTTAATGCACTATGCAACTTTTCTTGAAGAGTATCCTTCTCCCTGCTTATCATGCAAAGGTTGTTGCTTGGCCTAGTGAAGTTGTGTTTCATTTCATTCACACATGTTTAACACACATTTTTTTCTCTCAAACAGAAAACACTCTGTTCCACCTTGTGATGTCAAGTGGTAATATAGGAAGTGCTCCTTAGTATTTTGTAAACTCCATGCAACTAACATTTCAGCCCTGGAATTGCCAATGTCTACTAAACAAAAAGTTTCATGACATCACAAGGTTGAACAAAGCGTCTGGGCTTTAAAAATGTAAACAGACTAATAATGCACCGCTACTCAACATGTGTGAATGAAAAAAAACACAACTCTGGTTATGTTTTTTAAGGAGGTAACAATATTCTAACTTGGCTTAAAGAGTCAATTTTGCATAAACAAATCTAGAGTCACAAAGACACGTCAGTGATTCAGCTCAAGTAAGTAGTTTTTCCATGTATTTTTAGTAATAAAAACACTTGTAACTGAATAAATGCAAAACACTTAGGCCAGTCCTGGTGACATCCAAGGAAAAAGTCCAATTAAATATGCTTTCTAGGATAGTATATACAGAGTATATTTACATGTGGACAGAGCAACAAGACCATTCTCTCATTCTCCACATGCACACAAGCTTTGTATATTGTGTCACATAAGGCTCCATGCTTGTGCTGATGTCATACTCACTCTTTGCCCTCTTTGGAAGGGGAGCTGCAGGCGTTAGAGGCAGGAGCCGTGTTACTGTGTGTGTTGGAGCTCAGTTTGTCCAGAGTGCAGGCTGTGCCAATGGCGCGCACCACCAGCCCTGACTCCCCCTCCAGGTCAAAACACTGCAGGTAGCCCACCACGGCGTTTCCACCCATCTCCAAGACTTTAAGACCAATTTTTCTCTGCAATTCTCCTAAACACATGACACAGGTTAACCAGGTATTTCCAGACAAATAGGAGACGACTGTGACCTCTCATAGTGAAATATTTCCTCCCATAGTTTAAAAACAACCTGGCTACATTAGCAGAACAATATCCCACTTTGTATTATTATTAACATGTAAACTTAAAAGTGCACTACTATGTAACTTTTCTGGCGAATGGTCTGCCACCTACTTATCTCATACCAGGAGTCCCCACCACAGGAACTTACATAGTGCACTGGATAAAAGATTCAGTGTAGGCATGAGTAACATTAATCCTCCACATATTTATTAGATACAATTGTTGTAAAATATATGTACTGTACTTTTTCACCACTTTTTACAGTTAAATTAATTATAATTTTTAGATAAATTAATGTACTTGGGTGATAAACCAAAATACATTGAGTTGGTTATGATTTTTCTATAGAGCCTTATCCTTATATTGCACTGGAAAAGAAAAGAAATCTCACCGGACATTAGCGAGATGAGTCTTTGGCGTGCTTCATTTGAGGCCCGTGGAGTTCTGATACGGTCGATCCATTGGTACTCTGGATCCTCGTTCACTACCAGCTCCTCCACAAAGCCATGCACCATTACAGCCCAATAGCACCGTGGGATGGATGTAGCTAAAAACGACAAGAACAAAATATATATTATTACTAACTTACCACTTTAATATGAAATTGTCAAATAAACTGTCATATCCTTGATGCTGTATTAGAAAAATGACCAGATACATGTACATTAAAAACATCAGACTTACTGCAGAAGAACTTGACTCCACAGGATGATTGCCTGAAGCGGTTCAAATCATTAAACAACTCCACTTTAACAAGGACATTAATCTCTCCTCTTATGCCTACAGTTTGAGCACAATATAGAACAATTATTATCAGGTACAACACAAAGGTTAAATAGAATTGCCATAAACAAATGTTGCACCGTGAATTGTATCATAGATGGGAAACCAGCCAGATATGATAGAAGCTGCCTCAGTGGCTAGCAGTGGGTCAATGTCAATGTAAACCTTCCCGATGGCATCATTAGCACTGTAGGTGTCATGGTCCAAGACAGTTATCTGCAGCGGCTCATCCTGCAGATCCTCATCATCCACCTGAGTAGAAAAGCGCACAAACACAAGCATATCTAAACAGACACCAGTTAAATGATTAAGATTAAGGCTATAATACTATAACTAATACAACATGGGAGTTTATGCAAACAAACAATAATTTATGCAGAAAAAACTGAGAAGGCAATGTATTTATATAAAAACAGATAAAACTTGTGAATTATGGCTTTTATCTTTTATTTGAAGACCAGTTTTTCAGCTACTGTATCTCACACACTCAATAACTTCTTCCTGCCTACATAAATCCTTATAATATAAATAAAATTATTAGTTGACTAAGACATCATTGACCAATTAATGACCTAAACAATAAATGGCCTATAGCCCTACATAGTATAGTCATTGCAAACGGTGTACCTCAAATTTGAACCATTCAGAATTCCACTGGGGATTGAGGGACTTGGGACAGACATCTGTTTTGAATGTTGTGTTTCCAAATTTTACCTAAAATTCAGGGGGGGGGGATAAAACAATAATTAATTCCACTTTGACTGTATAATTTAGTAAAGTTTCAAGAAACTCACCTCCACAAATGCATCTGTGAGGTCGCTGGCTCTGTCCATCACAGGCAAGTGGCGCCCGGCCACTATTTTGGCCTTGAGTTTACCAGGCATGATTCACATGTACAGGACCTGAAAAGAAAGTCTGAAGTCAACCCATGGCAAGAGCTATGAACAACACTCATAAGGTCTATGGCCACATTGCTGTCAGCAACAACAGTCAAGAGTGTCCACCTCAGAGAGACACCTGTGAGTGGCACTAAGGACAGCTTCTACTCACTGGTCATTAAAGGGCCTATATTATGCAGTTTTCTATCTATAACATAATGGTGTTTCCTCATTAAAACATACCTGAAATTCTTCTCTTAAACGGAAATCACTCTGTTCCACTTTGTGATGTCATGTGGTAATACAGATAGGCCTCCACTGTGTTTTTAAACTTTATACACCTTCAGTAGAATCATTTGGATCATTTCAGCCCTTGAATTACCAATATCTACTGAACTAAAGATAAAATGAGCTGTTAAGATGAAAACTACCACAACATGACATCAAAAGGTGGAACACAGAATTTGGAGATGTAGACAGACTAATAATTATGGGTTAGTCAAACGTGTGAATGAAACAAAACACAACACAACACCGGGTATGTTTCTGACGAGGTAACAACATAACATGGATAATATACGCACGCAAGTCTCTCGTCATTAACAGGTAATTAATGAGGCCAGAGAAATGGGCGGTCACTACATGTATGGAGAACAGAATTTCTTCAGCGGTGAGAGATTAACGGCTTACAAAAGATCAAGATACACCCAAGAGTAGCCTCCTGCTAGTTAGCCAGATTAACGCTAGCACGGCTAGCAGGAAAAGCCACTTAAATTAACCGCATTGCAGTCTATCTTCAGTACTACACGTTTGCGGCCATGTTGCAGTTACTGGTGAATTGACTGAACATATAGCACGAATAAATAAGCCTGTTCCGCGTGTGAAAGAGATGTGATTCCTACCGGCGCTACAACAACATGGAGCTGTCAAAGCGGCCACTGCTGGAGGTTCCTTGTACGCGGACGTTAACGCTGACAGCCCTCCGCTCTGACCTCCGTGTCTCTCCCATAACACCGCGCTCTGGAGACGCCAATGTGCGGCTTCGAAGCAGACTTTTCAGGTTAGAGGAGATATAAACGTGATGATTATTAGCTTTGGAGGTTGAGTTAGGCTAAACACATCGGTCTGTTGGTGACATGATAGTGGAGTGAACGCGTGACCCTGCTGCTAGCTCGCTCTGCTCGCGCACTGCTCTGATGAATGAGTGTGCGAGCTTCACGGACCGCCGAAAATCTGGCTTTTCTATATCAAGTATATTGAATTTTCACACCATTTTATTTTTTCTTTTTAATTTATTTTAATTTATGTACTTGTTTTATTAATTTAAGATGAACATAAAATAATGATAACTTGTACGATCTGCCCCGTTTTCAAACTAAAATCATTAACTGTTCCAACTACTGAATCTGCAACTGGATCATTTACTTGACTTGACACCATTACACCACTCTCAAAAGGACACAAAAGGACAGACAGTTGCCCTCTTGTATTTCCATAACATATCATATTTGAAATGTCTTTTAAACACTAGAATTTTGAAGTTTAGATTTTTTTTTTAATGTAGATAGTTCCATAGGCTGACACAACATTATCTTTGAGCTTTTTGCCATATAAACATAGCTATCATCCATTTTCACAGCAATGTTTATTGTGTGTGTATGTATGTGTGTATATATATATATATATATATATATATATATATATATATATATATATATATATATATATATATATATATGTTTGTTTTTTGTTTGTTTGTCAACAACGAGTCAACGAGTGACCCATGTATAATATTACGCAAAATTGTGACTGTTGGGAGCTTTAAGTTATAGTTATACAGGATGTTATTACCTCATGAACATACCTGAAGCTGTTTTGGTTCATTGAATAATTCTGTCTACATTTCCAAAGCTCAAAATTCTCTGTTCCACCTTGTGATGTCATGAATGAAACGAAACACAACTCCAGATATGTTTTTGAGGAGGAAACAGCATTATAACATAGATCAGAAAACAAAAGATGTCACGTGTGCCAAATGCGTTATAATGTTTTTGTTAAAAAAAAATGTTATGAATTAAAAAGGAGAAAGAAGGTGTACATTTTTGTCATTGCACAGGGTGATCAGAACCAGATGCTTATGTGGCAATTTGGTTGGCCGACATAAACTATATATGCATCTATGAATAGTGCAAAGCCAAAAGCTGCTTTTTCAAGAAACAGTAGGCTATATGAGTGTACATATACATAGATTAGTGTAATTCAGAGTTCACACTGAACCTAAATGAATTAATGGGAAAGAAAAATAATTCACAAAAGTATCTTTTGGGCAAAGTTGGACAGTTTTTAACCAGGTCTTCTGATATTGCAAATAAATTAAACAATCATTTACAAAACAAGCAATTTAAAGATTAGCATGCAATTTAAATAAAAGTATTAATTTAATTTTGTATAAAATTATAAAAGGAAAAAACTGCAACTTCAAATTACAGAAAGTAAGTATTGAGGAAATAAGAAAGGAGGAAAAAAAGACAGTTGTAAAATTGATTTTAAAACATCTAATATCTAAATTGTATTAATTAATTTTTAAAAATTAAATAAGTGGGTGGCTGGGACATCTGTGGAGCAGGTTGAAGAGACAATACTTTTAGGCATGACTTTAGATAACACATCATTCACTAGCTAGGACTACGCCAACAACGTCATAGTGCGAAGAAGTTTGTTGATAATGTACGAAGCGAGGCAGAGATGGCTGTATTGAGACTATGGGTGTGGGCTCCGTCTCAATCTACAATTGGCCCAGCCGGAACGGGACCCCCCTATAGGGGTCTTATGACTGAAAGACAAAATAGGGGATGGGAGGGTGGGGTCGAGTTAGCCGAGACAAACTGGGATGATGGGAAAGGCTGCTACATATAGGCTTCTGTGAAATTAGAGGCGTGGTCGAGGTGAGTTGTGGTTCGCTGGTGAGAGGAGAGGGCGGCTGAGGCGTGGTCCTGCTCCTGAATCTCAGTTAATCGTATTAACTACATTTAAACATACAGGCAACATCATCAATAGGAGGGGTAAGGGTATATCAATAAGAATAGAAGATATGCAGGAATACTTGCACCAAAAACTTAATTCAAGCTTTGGTTCTCTCTCATCTAGTTTACTGCCCAATTATCTGGTCCAATGCAACAACCAAAAATTTCAACACACTTCAAATTATTCAAAATAGGGCTGTTCATACTGTGTTGAAATGCCACTACTATACTAGTGTTACAAAAATGTATCAGATGTTAGGATGGTTGTTAGCTAAAGAAATATAAGATTATTCAACAGCTGTGTTTATTAGGAATATAATTCACAAAAACATCCCTAATGTCATGTTTCAAAAAGTGACCCTGAGCCAAAACAAACATTCTTATCCAATCAGACATGCCTTGAGAGGTGGATGTACACTGCTAATATGCAACTGTAGAATACTTTGCCTATAGAATTTATTAACGCAGGGAGTAAAATCATTTTTAGAAAGTCATCAAACAACATTTTATGAAATGTACTGCATAGCATACATTGTTACTAACAGTTATTGTTACTTTGCTTTTTAACCTCTTTGCACAAAATAAGACAGAACATTCACTGATATATCTTATTTTATAGTGTTTTAAACATAAATATAATGCATTGTTGATGCAAATTGTGTATGGTGTGGACCACTATAATTGTTGATCTGATAAATAAATAAATAAATTTGACATTGTGGGCATTTTATCCTTTATCCCCCAAGAACGTCTTACTTGTTGTGGCTCTGTCATATCAGTTTTAGGTCAACCTGTCCAGAGCAGATAAGGAACATCTGTGCATCGAAGCTACTTGTGTATATTATTATAATGTTAGACGAGAGCCAAACTACATTTCTTCACTCATTCACAAATAAGATGTGACAGTGAGATACAACAACAAAACTTTTATTATAAAATGTGTACAGTACATCTCCATAACATTTACACAGTTAAGGAAATGATACATTTCTTTAATAAAAATCTGAATTGTATTTTACACACAGTGTTGAACAGAAAAATGTCCTACAGGCACATTTTTGGTTTGTGATTCGACATTGCACATGGTATGGTAATCCACCTGAATCATTGTAAGGCCCCTGGTCATTAATATATACTACAAATTACATTTACATTAACCTTTCTTTAAATATATATATTTTCAAATAATCCCCTCTTAAAACTTAAAGAAAAATGGTACATTCATTTGGACTTAAATATTTCAGCTTTAATTACTGTCCAGTGGTTCAAGAAATTAGTATGAGTAACTGCAAAAGTATCTGTTTGTTTTCTGTAATAACAAACATGTGATATAAAATCTGTGGCTTATGTAATTTTAAGAATGAAACATAAAAAATCAAAATCTTTACGCAAGTTATAGCACTGTTAAACAAAAATATACTACTTAAGTTAGTTTAGTTTGGTGTCTCAGCAAATATACTTGAATAAATGTGAGTACTACCTACCTTCATGTACTGCAATATAGCCTACTGTACATTTCTAATTCTAACCAGACTTTTTATGCATTGATTGACCCCTAGGTTAGTCTCTCATTTAGTTCAAGGGCCAGTTAAGTGCACATAATCACGCATTCTGTCCTTGAAGCTGATCTTAGCTGCCAGCCCTTACAATGTCTTCTGTCAGTTATCTCATTGCTGTAAACAAGACTTGATTTGAGAAAAAACTCTACTTCTCTTTGTTCCATGTGGCAAATAATTTTAAAAAGCTGCCACTGTTAAGGTGATTTAAAATAAATCTGTTAATTCATGTTTTTAAAATCTTTACAATGTTGATTATAGTTATTTTGCTCTGGCCAGTAGAAATATATTACCGTTATTTACTCTGTCAAAAAGTACCACAAAGATTAGCTAGTGGTAGTGTCCCACCCCAAATGTAAACATTAAGTGGGAGATGTTTAGTCGGTGAGGGTTGGTTATCGGACATTGGTCAGCGATGATTGGTCAACCACATGCCCCGTTTGGAGTGGAAGTGGTGATAGAAGTTCCTCATGTAAAACCGCTCAACCTCCAGCCCACTCATCAAAATTCTAAACACACACAATTCAAAAACACCAGTTACAGGTAATTGTGCTATTTCAGTAATTATGTTTCCCATGCCCTCTATTCTACAAACACCAATGTAGGCCTGTATGATCTGGTTATGTATAACATTTGCTAACCCTGTAGTTTATATCTTTACAATCATGTTCCAAATTGCATTCCTCTGGTCCTATGAAAATTGAACTTTAGATCTTTATAAACATAACCATCTGTGTCCCTAGATATGAGGTAGACATGTTCCAATCAAATATAGATTTTACTAATAACAATTGTAATGCTTATTGTTCTAATTACAAAAAAACATTAAACATGATGGCCAATTTGTTTATAATATAATTTGAAGTTTTTGTTCTCAAAACCATTCAAATCATAAAGCAGAGTGAGCCTCACATAAGTCTCTCATTTGAGTTGCTGAAATCCAGTTGGTTTAAACCCTAAAATGCCTTTCTCTGATCTGAATGGTCACTACCTAAACCCTGCAGACAATCATGAATCAGTGCTAGTGCAGCCTCTGCAGCTCAGAGAGGGAATTCTGGAGGTTCTGAGTTTTCACATGAGACATGGTCTGCCCATATACTGAGAATGAGAAAAACTTGTATGTGTTCTCTATCTGTAGGTATAGGAACTGGCAACCCAATTTTAATTTTAATAATTGTTTTTAAACTGCAAGAGTGCAGGCAACATACAGTCCCTTTAACAAACAGCAAAAGCTGACTTGAACATTGAAGTCTACAAACCTGTCAAGTAGTTCCCAGTCCTCTCCTCCCCAGTGGTCTTTGAATTCTCTGGTGTTCATCCCTCCTACTTTTTCCAGGTCGGACTTGTAGATCCCCAGCAGTCCAAAGCCTTGGACTTCCCATAAACCTGCACATGACAACAATACAAGATAAGGACCAAACAGCCCATTTAGCCCATTTAGAATAATTACAGTGCTATTCCACATTAGGCCACTATTGAGTGCTATAGTATTTTTGCTGCAGACAAGATTCAATAAGTACACTATGCAACAAATAAATCATTTTTAAGAGTGTTCAAAAAATCTCCACGGAATAATAATAATGACTACACCCGGAACACCCACTCACACCACTTTTATACTAATGTATAAGTGTCTTGCCTAAGGACACAACAACAGAACTTGGTCTGTCTAAGAATCAGTCCGTCTTTCTGCTTGGTGAACTAGTGCTCTAAATAGCTACATACACTCAGTTTATTATTAAGTTAAGTTAAGTTCTGCTATGATAATTTGGATAAGTATAATAAAATAACAAAGTTTTTCACATCCTAACCCATATAGAGCAGTGGATTCTTGATTGGTTGATGCTAGATAGTCAGGTCCAGGTGGAAGTGATCACATAACTCTGGTTGCCATTGTAATATGTTAGAATTTATAGCTACAAACAAGCCTAACATGTTATATTTTTGACAGTTTTATGTTTTATTTATAAACTAGTTCACCAACCCGAAAGATGGCAGCATAAAAAAAAAGAAAAAAGAAAAAAAACTATAATGATGTTTTATTGAAATTAATAGTCTAACCTGTCATGTGTTAGTTTAAACAGAAGCTCAGTATACCTCTGGCATCTAATGGTGAAGCACCACACTCCAACCTCATCACAATGGGTGCAAAGGCCTGGTGTCCTTCCACGCAGTGCTTCCTTATAAGGTCAATAATGTGAGAAGGGAAGCGGATGTGCAGATCAAACAGAAATATGATGCTGTGCGGATCCTAGACATCACCAGGTACAACAATTATTTTAGTGTAAAATCACAGCCTGGGAAATGTTCAATCAGGTCTTCAAATACTCACTTTAATAAGATTGATGCCTTCTTGCAAACCCCGAGCGCGCTCAAAGTTACCAGTTAACTTCTTATACTGATACCTGCATACACGCAATTTTGTGATTCAATTATAAAATGTAGTAATAAGAAATGGTTGCTGTTATGTTTTTATATTTTTTCTACAGTTAAAACAAAGCAATTGAGTTGTAATCCAAGTTCACTATATATACAGGTTTACATATGTAAGACTAAAATACAATATAAGTAGCCTAGTTATCCATGGGTTTCAGAGTGATGAAAAATTGGGACTGTTGCCATAGCAATTAAGAATTCAAGTATAGTCTGACCCAGTTAGGTATAATAAGAAACTAGAGAGATTGTGACCATATAGTAAAGAATGTCCAGTTCCAGTAGACAGAATTCTCCTCAAGATCCTGTACAAACTAACAGGGAGCTGCATAATCTAGTATGGACAAATTTTTTATTTTTTTTAGATAGGGTTAGAGTTAGATAGGCATCTCATATTGTAACAGATATAGAGGAAGGCTTTTCAGCAAAATTTAAAAAGTGGGCCGGATAAGATTGTTGAAGTTTGAATAGGCTCGATATACTACTGTGTGCCATAACAAGGAATTCAAACCCTTCAAAAGCTCAAAAGAAGTGGAAAACCATACTGTCATGCAATATTATGTGCATACCGTGGGATTTGGGATTTGGCTAAAACTTGTTCCATGTCCATATCAGAGCTGCTGAAGTCGGTGAGGATCAGGTTAAAGTTGGCATCTCCGGTCTCCCTCACAAGCGTCTCCACATCTTTGATCAGCAGATGCACCCACTTGGCCTGGTTTTTCACTGACACACACAAAACACACAAAGTCTATTATACAAAATGCATATGGCTGCTTTGACATCATGAAAAAGTGTAGGTAAAAAAGAAAGAAATAGAGGACAGAGAAATAGCAAATAGCAAAAACACAGTATCAACAAGCGACACATGAAACTTAGGCATCCATGGTTGCCATGGTCATGATTGGTTGCCCTTGTGGCTGACTGGCTGGTGCACTGAGTAGTTTAAATATTCTTTTTTTTTTTTTTTTTACATTTTCATGGCTCTGATGACCCTACCTCTTTTGTGACTTTTGTTTGAGCTTTCTACTATTTTTGTATTTTACTGTATTATATATATGTATATATATATATATATATATATATATATATATATATATATATATATATATATATATATATATATATAGAGAGAGAGAGAGAGAGAGAGAGAGAGAGAGAGAGAGAGAGAGAGAGAGAGAGAGAGAGAGAGAGAGAGAGAGATGAAACTTGATTCCATGTATGACAATGACCATTTCATCAAGAGTGGAGGTAATTAAAATCAATATTCTAACCCAATTACTGTATCTTTGTCAGAATCTGCCAGTCGAGATCCTGAGTAAGGAATTTATCAAATGCGACAAATTTATTTCAAGGTATATTTGGCAGGGGAGAAGGCCAAGAACAAAATATAGAACATTACAATTGGCCAAATGAAGGGGGGTTGGCTTTGCCAAGCTGATGGAGTTATTATCAAGCAGCACAAATAAAAAGTTTGTTAAATGTGTGTAATCACTCATATTCTTCTAGGCAGAAAGAAACAGAAAACAGTAGAATATGGGGGATTCCAGTTCAAGCACTAACTGGGAATAATAAATGATTTAAACAATTGAGTGAGGAAAAATGCGGGGAAGAGGTGGCAAATCATGTTCATATTATTTGGACCTATCTAGATCTAAAGAAATGTATAGATAAAGACCTTAATGCTGACCTCCCTTATACTTTTGAATGGTTTTATGTGGGTAAACTTGACGCTAATTATAAAAAGACCTTGAATATCAGGATGTTTAGGATCATGATATTAGCGGGGGAAAAGGGTATGACAAGGAAGTGGTTAAGGACAGAGGCACAAAAAATGGAAAATTGGGCTGAGGTAATGCATGACATGTTTTGTCCTTCAAATTACACTAACATCAAATTATAAATCAGATGTTATGTCCCAACAGTTATTCATTAAGTTACTTTTGCTTGAGAAGAAGACTTATTTTTTCAAAGATTTTTTTTACTATTTCTTGGATCATTTCCTTCATCATTCTACTTATAGTAGAGTTATATTATCTTACTCTTACTTGAGTACAATTTTTGGCTACTCTACCCCCTCTGCCCTCCTGGATGTGAACAGTAAGTAGCAGGATTTAGGCTATGGTGTTCATATCAAGCCCTGTGTATCTTTGAAAAAAGCAAAGCTGCTCCGGACCTGGTATGACAAAGTGTACAGTGGCCTGAGGATTCCAGCTGAAGCCTGTGGGGTAGCAGAGTCTGGGGGGCTCGGAGAACAGGTTGGAGGTCCCCTGGGCATAGATGTACTCTGAGAGCCGACGGAGTGTGCCAGTCTCATCTCTCACCAACAGCTCCACAAGGTACCGCCTTCCCTTGTGCAAGTCAACATTCAGCACCACATTGGTCACATGCACCAGAGTCCACCTGTAAAGACATAAAAGGGAGGGTTAAAGTACATTTGAAAGATTTATATATTTTTCTAATTATGACTTAATGACCCTAGGCAAATATTCATCATAGTTTTACATCAGTTAAGAGTTCCTGGTTTGTGAAGAAAATTACAAAGTGAAAAGTAAGAAGTAGCAGTTAGTTCTAAAACATAATCTCTACCTATGTAAATAACACTCATCAATTACAATTTATTTCATGACATTGGTTAAGCCTTTAATTGGATCTAATAAGACTATTTACTGACTGATTTTGACTGGGATATGTTATTTTTTATTTTATGAGAATGTATTTATGTAAATAATTTACAGTTTTTTCTTGTTGTAGAGTGGGCTGATCTCACTGGGTGACCTCACTTTGTGACCTCACTTTGTGACCTCACTTTGGGACTTCCCAGTCATTGGTGGGGATATGAGCACCTGGGCTGGCAGCCATTTTGTATGTTTAGGATCAAGAAAAATGATCTGATGAGGCTTTTTGCCAAAACGTAATTTAAAAATAAAAAAGATTTTGGACATCGGCCATCTGACTGTGCTATGCATTTTTTTTTTACCTGCATTTTTTTTATTGACCTCTACGTATGTTATGTAGCTGCCCGTGTTCAACCAGGAAATTAAATTATAAACTTATTAGACTAGAAAAGATCGGGCAAGATTTTTAGTAAAATCTTAAATGTTAAATATGTTTTAGAGAGATGAACGGCATGGTGCCTGAGTGGCTAGCACTCGTGCATCACAACAAGAAGGTTCCGGGTTTGATCCCCACGTTGCCCGGGTCTTTCTCCCTGTGCCTGGATGGGTTTCATTCGGGCGCTCTGGCTTCCCCTATCAACCCAAAACATGCTACATAGGTCTCCAGGAAGAACAGCTGATAGCTGATAGCTAAGGTCAATTAAATAAAAACAATCAATTAATCTGCCCAACGACTACAGGTGGACATTAGCACTGGTTCTACAAACCTGGTACAATACATCTCCCCTGTTATGATTAATGTATATTGTGCACTGTCCCCGTCACATTACTAACTACCAACATGAATAGTCTAACCAGCCATAGGCACTTTAAACGGTACCATACACACCAGGCTGACCATACAGTATGTCAGCTATATCAACACAGGTGGGTCAGTTAGATTAATAAATTACACAATATAGGCTTATAGGAGGAGGACAGAATGGATGACACAATAAAACCTCTATTCTGGATGAAGTTTATCAAACAATCCATGTGTCTGAGCACATGACGGACAGCCCGTGTTACAGGTTTGGGCATGATGGTGAGCATGCACACGTGTTAAAGGCAGAGGGTTGTGAGTGGATATGTATTAGAAGCCTAACTGCAGAGGAGTTTATATAAGTTTGTGTTGCACTCTTAAATAATCCAGGCGAATAGTTCTGTTTTGCAACGTTTATTTTATCAAAGCGGTTCTTTACATGCAAGGCACGCAGGGCTACAACACCTGAGCGCAGGCCACACTCACAACACCTGGATGGGCGTGTCTGACCTACTTTTATAGCTGGACCCCCAACTATTGGCACCACCCATTTCCTGGCTGCTCTCGATGCTACAGTGTATTAATTACATTCAAATTTAATAAATTAACAGTGCATATACTGTAATTGATAAATACTACATAATTTTACATGCCATCAAAATATATTATATAGATGGGCTACATTTGCTTATCAAAATCTCATTTCTGTTTGAACATGCAAAAACATTAGCAATGACCAACACTCCCATCCTTGATAAAGTCTATGGTGATGATTGTAAAACTTTACATTTACAGAGTCCTCGCACTGCTCCTACTACGTTGTCTGATTAACAAAACTGGCAGCCCAAATGAAAGCAGCTCATTCTCCTTTCTGATTGGAATACTGTCCTGAGAACCAAAACACCAAATTCTAGCATAACATGGCAATAATGTTATGTTTTTGTAGTTAGTAGTAGTAGTTTCTACTTCCGGCGCTGGTGAGAACCGCAGCTGGTTGCATCGCGCTCCTCTATTTTCCAACTTTTTTTTAACTTCAGAAACGCACTGTTTCTGCTCCGTTTCAACTTTTCTTTGTTGGATTATCGCCAATTCCACCGATGCGATGTGCGTGGGGCCGCGACCCCCATCGTGTATACGAAGGATCAGCTGTTAGCGCTGCGCAGCGCTGTAGTGTTCCCCCGAGATCGCCATGTCATCCCGGTGGAGTTTCTACGGAAGACGCGCAGGGGCCGACGCGCTGGACGCAAACTCCGGGAAAAGAAAAGACGCTTCAGACCTGTGCTCCCCTCTGTCATTGCGGGAAATGTGCGGTCTATTTCGAACAAGACGGACGAACCAGCGGCGCTCACGCGATATCAGCGGGAATACAGAGACTGCAGCATCATGCTTTTCACGGAGTCCTGGTTAACCTCGCAAATCCCGGATTCAGCTGTGGCTATGGACAACTTTCACCTGCTGCGCGCAGACAGGACGGCAGAGAGTGGTAAGAGGAAAGGAAGAGGTCTGGCTCTGTTTGTGAATGAGAAGTGGTGCAAACCTGGACACTGTACAGTGAAGGAGCAGCTGTGTAACAAAGACATTGAGCTGCTGGCTGTTAGCATGAGGCCATATTACCTGCCCCGGGAGTTCTCACATGTGATGGTGATCGCTGTTTATGTTCCTCCCTCTGCTAATGCTGAGACAGCATGTGACACACTGCACTCCTGTACTAGCATACTCCAAACAAAGCATCCACAGGCTCTCTTCCTGATTTCTGGAGACTTCAACCATGCATCTCCTGCACCTGTTCTGCCTACATACACCCAGTATGTCACCTGCCCCACAAGGGACAATAAAATATTGGATTTATTTTTTGCCAACGCCAAGGAGGCTTATTCCTCATCCTCACTGCCTCCCCTGGGTAGAGCAGACCACAACATTGTCCATCTGCGGCCTGTTTATCAGCCTATTGTGCACAGGCAGCCTGTGGTGCCCCGCGTGGTGAAGAAGTGGTCTGCTGAGAGTGAGGAGGCTCTGAGGGGCTGCTTTGACACCATAGTGTGGGCAGAGCTCTGTGACCCACATGGAGAGGATATCAATGCAATGATAGAATGCATCACGGACTATATCAACTTTTGTTTTGAAAACATTGTCCCCTCCCAGACGGTGCGTTGTTTTTCGAACAACAAGCCATGGATTAACCCTGACATAAAAGCTCTGCTGAAGGAGAAGAAGAGAGCTTTTAGGTCAGGGACCAAGGAGGAGCTGAAGGCTGTACAGAAGGAGCTGAGGAGGAAAATCAGGATGAGCCAAGCCAGCCAAAAGAGAAGGATGGAGCAGCAGCTACAGCAGAAGAACATCCACGGGGTGTGGAGAAGTCTCAAGACTATCTCAGGCTTCAAAGCACCTCCTGCTCAGATGGAGGGGGACCTGCAGTGGGTGAATGACCTCAATTCTCACTTCCTGAGGTTTGATCAATCACCCACTCCTCCCCCCACCCAGTTGTCAGCTCTCACCTCCCCAGCTGGACAATGGGGAAATCCTGCACCACCTCTTCACACCTCTGCCTCTGCTCTTCAGCCCATCACTACACATGGACTCATCCCTCCTCCCAGCCTGCCACTGTCTTTTTCTGCAGCCCAGGTGAGACTGGAGCTCAAGAAAATTAGACCCAGGAAGGCAGCAGGACCAGACGGCATCAGCTCCAGGCTCCTTAAGTCCTGTGCAGATGAACTGTGTGGTGTTATGGAGCATGTCTTCAACATGAGCCTTAAGCTGAGGGTGGTACCGCGACTCTGGAAGACCTCTTGCGTAGTACCAGTGCCTAAGACACCGCACGCTAGAGACCTCAGCAGCTTCAGGCCGGTGGTTCTAACATCCCATCTGATGAAGACACTGGAGAGACTGATCCTTGGCCACCTCCGCTCCACCGTGATCTCAGCGATGGACCCGCTGCAGTTTGCGTACCGGCCTGGAATCGGAGTGGAGGACGCCGTCATCCACCTGCTGCACTGCTCACTGTCTCACCTGGAGAACCCCGGCAGCACTGTGAGGATTCTTTTCTTTGACTTCTCCAGTGCTTTCAACACCATCCAGCCACTGCTCCTGAGGGACAAGCTGGAGACTGCCGGTGTGGACTGTGACCTGGCAGACTGGATTCTGGATTACCTCACAAACCGGCCCCAGTTTGTGAGATCCAAGAACTGCGTGTCTGACCTCCTGACTGGAAGTGTGGGGGCGCCCCAGGGCACTGTCCTTGCGCCCTTTCTTTTCACCCTCTACACTGCAGACTTCAGACACAACACGGACAGCTGCGTCCTGCAGAAGTTCTCTGATGACTCTGCCATCATTGGCTTCATCAAAGATGATAATGATGTGGAGTACAGACTACACAGGACTTTGTGGACTGGTGTCAGCTGTACCACCTCATCATCAATGCAGGGAAGACCAAGGAGATGGTAGTGGACTTCCGCAGACACCACTCTACTGCCCCCTCAGTGAACATCCAGGGAAGGGACATTGAGAGAGTGGACTCATATAAGTACCTGGGTGTTCATCTGAACAATAAACTGGACTGGACTCACAACACAGATGCACTGTACAGGAAGGGCCAGAGCAGGCTCTATCTCCTGAGGAGACTCAGGTCTTTTGGAGTGGGGGGGCCACTCCTGAAGACCTTTTATGACTCTGTGGTGGCATCAGCCATCCTGTACGGTGTGGTCTGCTGGAGCACCAGCATCACAGAGAGGGAGAGGAAGAAGCTGGACAAGGTCATCAAGAAGTCCAGCTCTGTCCTGGGCTGTCGTCTGGACTCAGTGCAGGAGGTGGGGGACAGGAGGGTCCTGACTAAGATCACCTCTATGCTGGGCCATGAGTCTCACCCCCTGCAGGACGCTCTGTCTGCTCTGGAGAGCAGCTTCAGTGACAGACTGATTCACCCTCGCTGTGTGAAGGAGAGGTTTCGCAGGTCTTTCCTTCCTGCTGCTGTCAAACTTTACAACAAACACTGTTAACACTGAACATGTGCCAGTCAATTATATCCATGTGAAATTATTTTAAGTCTATTTTTAAATTATTTTTAAGCTATTATTTATTATCTGTGTTACCTTTTCCTGCTGTTCTGAAATTGCGCGTTGCAACACTGGAATTTCCCCACTGTGGGACTAATAAAGGCATATCTTATCTTAAAGGTGCATTGTGTAACTTTTCTGGTGGAGGGTCCGTCAAATGCTCTTCTCCGTGGAATTGTGATTGTTTTGCCTGGAATGTTTCACAGTATAGTATTAAACCTTTCTATCTTTATGGAGATCAAACCAGACCAAGTTACTGTGTATTCCTGGCAGAGGAATTACATATCTATAGGAACAAGCAGGTAACAGACCCTCCACCAGAAAAGTTACAGAATGCACCTTTAAGAATAAACGAGCATTACAACTGTCACCAGTAAAAGGTATATTTGATTTTAACATCTTTATCTTTGAGGTATTTGGGAACACAAATAGGTCATGCTTATGTAATTTCACATTCAAATCTTGTATACATTTCCTTTTAAAAACCCCATGTTCCTTACCGTCCATTCCTCTGGGTGATCTTGTCCATGTAGGCCCTCACTATGCTCTGCACCTCGGTCTCCTGAGCCTGGATGTTCCCAGTCACTCTGCAGTCCATGTTGAGGGCATGTGACTTCTGGCCCTGGTAGTTCATGGGCTTTACCTGGAACGTCTGTGTCCATTTAGCTAGACTTTTATCTTTCTCGTCTATAGGCATACTCTGCACTACTGGTTTCCCCAACTGGTCCCATCCATCAAACCTGAGGTCTCCAAAGTTTGAGGGGTCAAGCGCTGTGTTTTGGATCTCTGGCTCTGGAGCTTTGACTGGTTTTGTCAGTATCTTTACTCTTCTAAAAAAAACCTGCTGTGATGGTTTTATACTTTTCTCTGGTCCAAGTTGATTTCTGTGTACAGCTTTTTTATGTTTTGATTTAGTTTTTGACTTTGTCATAAAAACTTTTCTGTCTCTTGATTTAGCAAGGTCTTCATAGTTGGTGTCAACAGAAAGAACTTTGCGGCCATGGTTTTCCCTAGAGGGATCTGAAATACATGTCGGAAATAGGCAGAGGTGGTTAGTACCTTTTATCTTTAAAAGTAGCATATTGTATTTTATTACTTGTGAAGCAGCAAAGTTATCATTCACAACAGTTTATTTAAAATGATTTTTTAAAAGTACTTTCAATCCTTAAACGATTTCTATAGCAGATACCTCAATACTTTAACTTAAGTAATAATTTGACAGTGATGTATTTGATGATAATCCTAATCATACTCCTAATCATAATCATAATCATAATATTTCACCTGTTGTATCTTTATTTTAAATCAAGTAATGAAATGCAGTACTTTGGCCACCTCTGCAAATTAAACGGTCAATTCAAACAGTACTAAAAAAGATAATGGTAAAAGGCACATCCTACCTTTTTTAACTGGACTGTCCAGAACCATGTTGTTAGCAAATGCATCCCTGTGGAGGAGAGAGGAATTAGCAGAGGAATTTTTATGGATACAATAGATAAATGAACTGTTTCACAATATTGTCATACAGTTACACTAAGTGTGTTACTTTAACATTGGTAGTAATAACAAATATATATACTAAGGAATAGACTCCATGGTCAATACTGATTCTAACACCCTCTTTATTTAGATAATAGAATATGATTTTCAACATTAAATCTGAGTATTTTCTTAGATACCATGTGGCTTATATCTGTGTAATCCCTCAGTTATCATTGGTTGCATAGCGGTTCGTGGACATAGACTAGCCTATGTGGTTGTCCATACTTCGTACAGCTCAAAAAAAAAAAAAGGTGCTTACGGCTTGATGCTATAGTAGCATTTTGCATTCATGTGGGTCAGCCGGGTGTGGTCATTGGGATAAATATAGGACAAGTGGACCTGAGGAGAGCACACACTTAGATCCGTACACACTGTGTGACATAACCTGGGAGAGTGCATTGTGATGTAAGGCACGTACATAGTTGAGTCCTTGGTAGCGTCCCAATCTCTGGCCTTTGAGGGTATAACTGGGGTTGTACTCACAGTCTGGCAAAAGCCCACTCACAACGCTTACGTTTACCATAGGCACTACAATCACACAAACAGGAATGGGGTCAAAACAACTTTATATTGTTAGATTTTTGTGATTATTGTGTAAACTGTATTTTTCCTATGGGGAGATTTAAAACCTTTCTGAAGGTGAACTACATCAGTGGTTCCCAACCTTTTTTTGGTTTGAGTGCACCCTAAGCGAGTGAGTACCCCTTATAAACAGTACTCAAGTTTCTTTTGTAAAAATAAATCCTTTTACTAATTCACTACCAATAATAACTATTATGTTTTTGTTTTATTAAAATGCATGCAAAAATAACCAACAGAACAACTCAGTGTATTAAAATGTAAAACAAAGACTATTTTACGTTCAAATACCATTCAGTGCCACTTTTCTTTTAAATTGGAAACCACTCCAAGTACCTCCTGCCAAGTGCTCCTGTACACCTGATCAGGAAACACTGGGCTACATAAAGTAAGCAAAAACATAAGCATAAATACTGACTATTATGTTTTTTAACGACATGCAGAGGGCAAGATGTCTGTGTTTTGTTTCTCAGTTGAGTTAAGCAGAAAATTTGATTGCCCTGCTTTTGATTACTGTTGTCACGATACTAATATTTCAAACTTGATTTTTTTCAATACTAAGAAATAGACTTGAAACTCATTAACAAATCTGATACCATGATGATAAAGACACTAGAATGTCATTTTCAAAATAAATCAAAGTACTTTCTTTTATAATACCAGCTGGACTTATATCTGTTTAATCCCTGAGTCGTTCAGGTATAGGTTCCACAATGGTCCATGGGCATATACTAGTCTATGTTTTCATGTATTTGTTCTGATAAAGCTCAAGGTCATTCTATAGCTAATCAGGAAAGGTTCATTTCTGTCCAATGAATGTGACATTGTAAATATCGATCGATACTTCTGATTTTCAATACTTTTGACAACCCTACTTCAAGAAATCAGCTGGAAGTAGACTACTTGTCAGAAAGTGAGCAGAACTTTCAGCAAGAGCCATCTACTGCATTGTAGCTCTCAAATTCTCTAGCTTTATGGCCCAAATAACAAATTGCTGTGTAATTATTACTACTATTACAATAGCAATAAAATTGTAAAACATGTCTATATTTTTTTGCATATATATATATATATATATATATATATATATATATATATATATATAGATAGATCAATATCAAAACAAAGCAGATTAGATTTCCTCAAACATGGCATTTATCATAAGGATGACTGTCCACAAATAATTTTCCAACAGTCTTAAACCAGAATCACCCACCCACTGAATATGGACCCAAGAACGATATTAAAGTCCTGATGTGAAGGACGTAACAGAGGCAGAGCTCACCTTGGTACAAAGTGTCCCTGAGGTCTTCCCTCTGCATATCTGGGATTATGCTCTGCTTTTTGCCCTGATGCTGTTCATGGCTGGCAGCTGTCTGAGGGATGTGAGCAATATCACCAATGACTTTAGACGACTCATCTGTGGAATAAATACAGTGGACAAGACTTTCATGCTTGTCTCTTAAAACAGCAGGGGATACAGTATTTGACTTGTCTAGCCTATGAATGCTTATGATGAGTGGCATTCACTACTTAGGGTAGTAGCCAAAAACAGTGTCAAGTAAGAACACTGTAACTTCAAAATAGTATTACTTAAAGGAATTGTATGTATATTGTTGATTTTAGATTCATACACTTACCTACCTATACTTACCTATCTGTATCCCCACATATGACAAATGACAAACCTTTACTGATACAATTCAACTGTGGATTTATTCTTAATTACAAGAACATTGGACAAGATATTTTATTTATTTATGCTATAATTTGGTGTTGTGGTCCTCAATATTATCCAATCAGAAAGCAGATATAGTCCACATGAGTCTTTCATTTGGGTTGTCGATTTTAATACTGAAATCCAAGGACTCTCTGAGAAAAAAACTTGTATGTGTCCTCTATCTGCAGGTTAAGGCACCCTGATTCTGTTGAGATTTTAGTTTTTGTTTTTTGTTTTGTTTTATTAAGAGCACAGGCTACATGTACACAATTAAGGTAACTGTCAGATATAAGCTCTGATTTACAATTAAAAGTATTTCAAAAGACAAAATATGTAAAAGAAAATCATGCACAACTGCAATCACGAACCCACTAAACATTAGACATTTTATAGACTTGCAGATCATGTCTATATTGCGTCTGTCGGTTCAAGACCAATTCTAAACTACTAAATGATGTATAAATTGCGTTCACTATTTAGGCATCTAATTATGACAACACTTGGACATCAATATGCAGTTAAACCAGTCTGACTTTTCTGGATGTCATGGGAATGTCTAACACAGGCACAGAAATACTTTTTTAAATTCATGACAGATATCAACATTGTTGTTATCATTATTATTATTATTACTACTCATATAAAAATTATTATAATTCTAGGTCATAATATTAATTTGATCTGAAGATTGGCAGTTTGGATACTGGATATCTGGAAGATGTTGAATAAAAGATGTCATCTGGCATTACAGTCTGCACCTTCAGTGAACCGAGACTGGACGTATAAAAATTACCTTAAAAATATGTTGTTTCAACGTTTCTTTGCGCAGTGGGTATTTACAGGGAATAGACCACAAAAATGAGAAAACTAAATCATGAGGTGCAAGAAACACAAATGTTCAAATCATTCCATATTGTCAACATAAATCTTTAGTCACTTAAAGACTTAATGACAGTGGTCAGTCACAGTAACCAAACTTTATTCAAGTATAAGTACTGTAGAGAAATATATTACTCAAATAGGAGTAAAGTAAAAAGTATTTGAAACCTACTCTGAGAGGTACAATTTAATTCATTTGACAATCAAAATCAGTTCTTTACAAATAATTAACATGTAATCTGTGTTTTTGTTGTCACATGCATTGTTCTTTACTTACCGACATAGAGTGAGATGTGATCGGACTGAATAATCTTAAAATCCTGAGTATGGTTCAGGAGCTTCCACTGCATGGGTAACGAATAATAAATGACAATAGTTGTATAATCAAATGTTTTTGCAGTATGTGTACTTACTGCCACTGCTACATGGTCATTGCCCGTATTCTGTTTGAAAATCACCTCAAAAAAATACTTCATCTGAGAGGACAGCCTGTAAGAGACACAGACATACTTACCTCTTAATACAGTACTGCTTTAGTACTACTCTACCCACTCCTGGAGATGTGAAATTATGTTGTTAAGGTTTGGGATGAGGATAAGTTTCCCGGTCTGTCCAAGCATTTCAAATGCTTGGGCAAATGGCTTCATCAAAGTTGAAAATATTGTTTTGGTACATTCACACTGCAGATTGAATTGAATTAGTTTTTACACAAATGTGACCTGGATCTGATTTCTTCATGTCAGTGGCTTGTAAACTGCAAAATGCAATTTGACTGAATGGAGGAACCATGATCAGAAAGAAATCACATGACTTTGCTGTTTACACACCATTTTAAAGGTGCATTGTGTAACTTTTCTGGTGGAAGGTCCATCACCTGTTTGTTTCTATGGATATGTCATTGCTCTGCCAGAAATGTTCCACAGTGCGACACTAAACAGCTCCTACCTTAAAATTATTCTATTACAGCTAGTTTCATAGCTCAAAAATACCTTGAAAAACAGGTATTCTGATGGTACATGGGGTTGCTTCTCCACAGTTCTGACCTGTAACTTGATCTGGTTTGGTCTCCAGTGCAGATGTTCATACTGTGAAACATTCCAGACAAAGCAATAACATTTCCTTGAAGAAAAGCATTTGAATTCCACCAAACATTGCATAACGCACTTTTAATATAACTAAAAAAAAATAAATCTGATAATAGTCAAAATTTAGAGTGTGCATATAACCGCAGTCCCAACCTGATTTTTTCAAATCCAACAGTGTGAACGTTCAAGCCAAAATATGAAAATGACACATTTTAGGTAATTATATGGTAGATGGAGTCTTAGTCAACCAAAACTTGTATTAGTCAACAAATAATTAAAATTAGATTATATGGATTTATTTATTTATTGATCCTGGGAGCTATGTTGTCGGGGGCTTCATGCCCCTGGTAGGGTCACCCAAGGCAAACAGGTCCGGGGGGACGGGCCAGACAAAGAACGGTTCAGAAGCCCCTATGATGAGTACACCAGCAAGGCCAGTTACGTCGCCCGGATTGGCGTCACCGGGGCCTCACCCTGGAGCCAGGCCTGGGGTGGGTGCTCGCCAGCGAGCGCCTGGTGGCCGAGCCTCCCCCCACGGGGCTCGGCCGGGCTCAGCCCGAAGGAGCGACGTGGGGCCGTCCTCACGTGGGCCCACCACCCGCAGGAGGATCCATATGGGGCCGGTGCAGAGAGATCTGGGCAGCAGTCGACGGCGGGGGCCTCGGCGACCAGATCTCCGGACATGGAGTCTAGCTCTGGGACATGGAATGTCACCTCGCTGGGGGGGAAGGAGCCTGAGCTTGTGCGGGAGGTTGAGCGTTACCGACTAGATATAGTCGGCCTCACCTCCACGCACAGTTTGGGCTCTGGAACCCAACTCCTTGAGAGGGGCTGGACTCTCCATTTCTCTGGCGTTGGCCGCGGGGAGCGGCGGCGGGCTGGTGTGGGCCTGCTCATTGCCCCACAGCTCAGCCGCTGTGTGTTGGAGTTCACCCCGGTGAACGAGAGGGTCGCGTCCCTGCGCCTTCGGGTCGGGGACAGGTCTCTCACTGTGGTGTCGGCCTACGGGCCGAACAGCAGTGCTGAGTACCCGGCCTTCTTGGAGTCCTTGGGAGGGGTACTAGACAGTGCACCGACCGGGGACTCCGTTGTTCTCCTGGGGGACTTCAACGCCCACGTGGGCAACGACACTTGGAGAGGGGTGATTGGGAGGAACGGCCTCCCTGATCTGAACCCGAGTGGTGTTTTGTTATTGGACTTCTGTGCTAGTCACAGTTTGTCCATAACGAACACCATGTTCGAGCACAAGGGTGTCCATAAGTGCACGTGGCACCAGGACACCCTAGGCCGGAGGTCGATGATCGACTTTGTCGTCGTGTCATCTGATCTCCGGCCGCGTGTCAGGAGGAGCAGTGTGGTTTTCGTCCTGGCCGTGGAACACTGGACCAGCTCTACACTCTCCATCGGGTGCTCGAGGGTTCATGGGAGTTTGCCCAACCAGTCCACATGTGTTTTGTGGATCTGGAGAAGGCATTCGACCGTGTCCCTCGTGGTGTCCTGTGGGGGTGCTCTGGGAGTATGGGGTCCGGGGCCCTTTGCTAAGGGCTGTCCGGTCCCTGTATGACCGGAGCAGGAGCTGTGTTCGCATTGCCGGCAGTAAGTCAGACCTGTTCCCGGTGCATGTTGGACTCCGCCAGGGCTGCCCTTTGTCACCGGTTCTGTTCATTGTATTTATGGACAGAATTTCTAGGTGCAGTCAGGGGCCGGAGGGGGTCCGGTTTGGGGACCACAGGATTTCATCTCTGCTGTTTGCGGATGATGTTGTCCTGTTGGCTTCATCGAACCAGGACCTACAATGTGCACTGGGGCGGTTTGCAGCCGAGTGTGAAGCGGCTGGGATGAAGATCAGCTCTTCCAAGTCCGAGGCCATGGTTCTTGACCGGAAAAAGGTGGCTTGCCCTCTCCGGGTGGGTGGGGAGTCTTTGCCTCAAGTGGAGGAGTTCAAGTATCTCGGGGTCTTGTTCACGAGTGAGGGAAGGACGGAACGTGAGATTGACAGGCGGATCGGTGCAGCTTCGGCAGTGATGCGGTCGCTGTATCGGACCGTTGTGGTGAAGAGGGAGCTGAGTCGAAAGGCGAAGCTCTCGATTTACCGGTCAGTCTTCGTTCCTACCCTCACCTATGGTCATGAGCTCTGGGTAGTGACCGAAAGGACGAGATCGCGGATACAAGCGCTCGAAATGAGTTTCCTCCGCAGGGTGGCTGGGCGCTCCCTTAGAGATAGGGTGAGGAGCTCAGTCACACGGGAGGAGCTCGGAGTAGAGCCGCTGCTCCTCCACGTCGAGAGGAGCCAGTTGAGGTGGCTCGGGCATCTGTTCCGGATGCCTCCTGGGCGCCTCCCTCGGGAGGTGTTCCGGGCATGTCCCGCCGGGAGGAAGCCCCGGGGAAGACCCAGGACACGCTGGAGGGACTATGTCTCTCGGCTGGCCTGGGAACGCCTCGGGGTCCCCCCGGAGGAGCTGGAGGACGTGTCTGGGGTGAAGGAAGTCTGGGAGTCCCTGCTTAGGCTGCTCCCCCCCGCGACCCGGCCCCGGATAAGCGGACGAAAATGGATGGATGGATGGATGGATTTATATGGGAAATAGTGAGTGAGTTAGATGAGGATTTTGTATTTTTTGGTATTTATAAGTAAAAATTCTCATAATACTTTTCTGTACAGTAGTTTTTGCATAAACCCCTGTAAATTTGTAGAGTTGTATAGTCAGTGAGTGCAGTTTGGGTCAGATACTTAAAAGTTTTGAGAGGTTTTAGCATGGTGATTTTTTGTTTAAACAATTGGCAGCACATGTTTTTACTCTACCAAGAATTATTTTAGTTGATCGCTGCCATAATCTGCACACAGCACACACTACTGCAAGGCTGTTGGGTTCAATGTTCACACACAAAATCAGTTAAAAAAAAAATCTGATTAAGTCACATTTTATCAGTAGTATATGTTATGTTAATGTCCATTACTCATTAAATTACAACCATGTCACTGCTGCTAGCACACACAGCCTCATGGTCTACATTTTGCTGCATTGTGTGGTTGTAATTCAAAGATAATTGGCTATTGCTATTCTACCCAAAATAATTATTTTCAAAAGTTCCACATTGCTTTATGATTATATGTTATTACATTTGCAATGTAACTGTATTACTCAAACATGTGTGAAACAAAACACAACTCCAGGTACATTTTTGAGGAGATAACAGCATTATAACATGTCTTAAGCTCAGGAGGTATTTTTGCGATATACAGGACCTTAAAATATTACAATCAAGTTGTGGACAAACCTTATAGGTACAGATTTCTGGTGGATATATTTATCATATTCTCCAGGAGCTGTCCATTCAGCACCAGTCTAAAACACAAAATTACATTAAATACATTGTTTATTTACAGTTATGTAACCTTGTTGTGCTTGAAATCCTGGACAGTGGATATACCTTCCCGATCCAGGCGTGGAGCAGCAGGTTCAGAGGGGAATGGTCCGTGCTCAGCCACAGCTCTGAGTTATCGTCCGAGCTCAATGCAAACACGTACTCTCCTGAAAGAAATGGACAGTTACAATCCTCTGTTTAAGGTACACTTTATTGTTCCTTTATGGGAAAGACCTCAGCGGAGGGCAAGTGTAGGTTCAGGTGAGGAGTGGGTATGTGGAAAGAATCTACAGGTGAAGTGCCGACCGCCAGAAAACTACACAATGTTGCTTTTACAGTCCACTTTAAAGTGACTTTTCTGGTGGAGGGTCTGCCACATAGTATAGGATTACAAATTTATTTAGCACTTATTCAACTAAATATTATTTTATTTTTTTGGTTTAAAAATACATTGAAAACGTGCATTCTTCATGTAAGCAATGTTGCCTCACTACAGAGCTGACCTGTAGCATAGCCTGTAGTCATACCAGCTTGTCAATGCCTGATCCCGTCAGATCTCAGAAACTAAGCAAGGCTGGGCCTGGTTAGTACTTGGACGGGAGCCTACTGGGAAAATCAGGTGCCACAGTGGGGAGCCAGTCACAAAAACTTTTGTTGTGTCCTTAGGCAAGGCACTTCACCCACATTGCCTAGTATGAAAGTGTTGTGTGCGTGAGTGATGGTGGTGGTCGGAGGGGCTGATGGTGCAGATTGGCAGCCTCGCTTCTGTCAGTCTGCCCCAGGGCAGCTGTGTCTACAATAGTAGCTTACCACCACCGGGTGTGGAATGAATGGATAATGCTCTGTAAAGCATATTTGAGTGTCCAAAAAGTTGCATTATTTTTATTATTCAGCTGCTTTTCACCATGTAGATAGATATGTTTAAGTTTAAAACTATACTGTGTAACATGCTAGGCAAAAAAAAACTCTCCATGGAAACAAGTAGATGATGGACCATCAGCCAGAAAGTCTACTGCATCTTTAACATGATCAAACTAGATAAAGATAGTTACCGTCAGCAGGAGGATGTATGTAGCCAAATAACCGAAGGCCATAATTAAGCTGTTGTGGGGCCAATGCCAGCTTCTTGACTGTGGTCCTGACCTGAGCAGAGGAGGAAACAGGAAACAGAAGCATCAGGTTTAGAACCATCCAAGGAGCTCACACAGACATGTTGAATGTGCCCAGACACAATGCTTTGCCTGTGACCATGTTTACAAAGCACTTGAGAGGGTTAGAATGGTCCACTTATTTAAAGCTTTCCTGATTGTCTCTACAGAGATGTTATTGCTTTACCAAAAATGTTCCACTGTATGGCATTAATCATATCCATTGTGCATTTTTCAATTAAGAAAATGCTTTGAAAAACACATTCTTTAGTGAAAAATGTGTGGCCTCTCCACAGGTCTGACCTGTAACTTGTAACTGTAATAAATAATAATATTGTAATTTTTTTAGTAGATTTTTAAACTTTTACTTGTACTTGTAATAGTAAACAAAGGTTCCAAGCCTTGGCCAGCCGCCTAAAGAGGTACACACGAGATAACGAGGCCAGACGAATAAACCGGCTGTTCGCAACACAACCGGCGAAAGTGTACGCTCAGTGGCAGGGTAATAACAGCAGAGCATACCCACCAAGGCTGGAGACTGAGAGGTACTGGAAAGGCATATGGGAAAGGGAGGCATCACATAACACCGATGCACAGTGGCTGGTGGATCTGAGAGAAGACCACAGCAACCTCCCTGAACAGAATCCAGTCACCATCACAGTGGCAGACATCCAGGGAAGAGTCTCAGGTATGAAAAACTGGACCGCACCGGGCCCTGACATGATCCATGCGTACTGGCTAAAGAAGCTCACTGCCCTCCACGAGCGCCTGGCAGCACAAATGAACCAGCTGCTAAGGGATGGGACTCACCCTGAATGGTTAACCCAAGGGCGTACGATCCTGATCCTAAAGGATCCTTCAAAGGGTGCAGTCCCATCCAACTATCGGCCAATAACCTGTCTCTCCACAACATGGAAGCTCATGTCAGGCATCATTGCGGCTAAGATAAGTGGGCACATGAATCAATACATGAGTGCAGCACAGAAGGGTATCGGCAAAAACACCAGGGGAGCCAAACACCAACTCCTGGTTGACCCGAACAGTCGCCCGTGACTGCAGAACCCGTAAGACCAACCTGTGCACTGCCTGGATTGATTACAAGAAAGCCTATGACTCAATGCCACACACATGGATCACTGAGTGCTTGAAGCTGTACAATATCAACAGGACTCTAAGGGCGTTCATTGCGAACTCGATGCGGTTGTGGAAAACCACCCTTGAAGCCAAGGGGAAGCCACTTGCACATGTGTCCATCAAATGTGGCATATACCAAGGAGACTCACTGTCCCCACTACTGTTCTGCATAGGCCTGAACCCTCTCAGCCAAATAATCGACCGCACTGGCTATGGATACCGACTCAGAAACGGGGCCACCATCAGTCACCTCCTCTACATGGATGACATCAAGCTGTACGCTAAGAGTGAGCGAGACATCGACTCACTGATCCACACCACAAGGATCTACAGTACAGACATTGGGATGTCATTCGGGCTTGAGAAATGTAGCAGGATGGTGACAAAGAGAGGGAAGGTAGTCCACACAGAGGGGGTGTCACTCCCAGAGGGAACAATAGCAGACGTTGAGGACAGTTACAAGTACCTTGGTATCCCACAAGCAAGTGGCAACCTCGAAGAGGCAACAAGGAAAGCGGCTACGGCCAAATACCTGCAAAGAGTGAGGCAAGTCCTTAGAAGCCAGCTCAATGGCAAGAACAAGGTGCAGGCAATCAACAGCTACGCCCTGCCAGTGATCAGATACCCTGCAGGGATTGTAAGCTGGCCAAAGGAGGAGATACAGACCACAGATGTTAAGACACGAAAGCTCCTGACCATGCATGGAGGGTTCCATCCCAAATCCAGCACCCTGAGACTGTACGCAGGCCGGAAGGAAGGGGGCCGAGGACTAGTGAGTGTGGGAACCACTGTCCAGGATGAAACATCCAAGCTCCTTGAGTACATCAAGGACAAGGCCCCGGCAGATGAGGTGCTCAGAGAATGTCTCAGACAGTGGGGTCCAGAGGAAGAGGTGCTGGAGGGACCATCATGGCAGGACAAACCCCTACATGGGGCGTACCACCGGAGCATAACTGAAGGTGGCTGATATCAAGAAATCCTACCAATGGCTTGAGAGGGCTGGTCTGAAGGACAGCACAGAGGCACTGATCCTGGCTGCTCAGGAGCAGGCCCTGGGCACTCGAGCAATAGAGGCCCAGATCTACCACACCAGACAAGACCCACGGTGTAGACTGTGCAAAGAGGCTCCTGAGACAGTCCAGCACATAACTGCGGGGTGTAAGATGCTGGCAGGGAAAGCATACATGGAGCGACATAACCAAGTGGCGGGCATAGTGTACAGAAACATCTGTGCAGAGTACGGGCTGGAAACCCCAGGATCAAGGTGGGAAACACCTCCAAAGGTTGTGGAGAATGACCGAGCCAAGATCCTGTGGGACTTCCAGATACAGACTGACAGAATGGTGATGGCGAACCAACCAGACATAGTGGTGGTGGATAAGAAACAGAGCAGAGCCGTGGTGGTTGACATCGCAATACCAAGCGATGGTAATATCAGGAAAAAGGAACACGAGAAGCTAGAGAAATACCAGGGGCTCAAGGAAGAGCTGGAGAGAGCCTGGAAAGTAAAGGCATCAGTGGTGCCTGTGGTGATCGGAGCACTCGGGGCTGTAACCCCAAACTGGAAGAGTGGCTTCAACAGATACCGGGAAAAACAACGGACATCTCAGTCCAGAAAAGTGCAGTACTGGGAACAGCAAAGATACTGCGCAGAACTCTCAAGCTCCCAGGCCTCTGGTAGAGGACCCGAGCTGAATGAGGGTGAGAGAGACCTACCACCGTGGAAGGTGAGAAACACATTTTTTATATATATATATATATATATATATATATATATATATATATATATATATATATATATATATATATATATTATATATTATTTATTATATATATATATATAAATGCCAACACAGACATTTTAGTAGGATGATATGGTCAAATGTATAAAAAGTAGAACACTGATCAAGCAAAACAAAAATTGAACATAAACCTTTTGTCAAAAAAAAATAAAAATAAAAAAAAATAAGGTAATTGGTATCCTTGATAAGAGGCGCTAATGTGCTGTGTTTGGATCGAAAGTCAGACTTGAACTTAAGAAAACTTGTTAACAAAGATATTATTATTTTTCATGTGCCGAGTCAACTGAGTGGCAACAATTTTTTCTACAATTTTGGCCTAGAAGGGCAGATTGGAAATAGCTTGAAACTGTTCAGGTCTGAGGGATCGAGTGACATTTTGTTAAGGATGAACAATGGCATCCTTAAAACCACAAGGGACAACAACCACATGAGAACAATTCAAAATGGATAAAATGTCAGTGCTCACAGTGTCATTTTCCTCCTATAACTCATAGACATAATATCCTGCATTTTAGTCTGTGTTTTTTTCTCAGTTTACATTGATACACACCACCACTTCCACCTGTTTTATTTCATTCATTGTTGTCCAAATCATATTCTTTCAAACATATTTTTCAAAGGTATTTAGATTTAGATTGACAATTCCAGGGCTGAAATTATCCAAATGAGTCTAGTGAAGATGTCTGTCTGTCTGAATATGCAGGGTTTGTGTGTTAAACATGTGTGAATCAAACAAAACCCAACTCCAAGTATGTAAATTGGGTGTCAGAAAATACCGGTTGTGTAGCTAGTGCAGTGACAGACAGGATGCCATAGTTGTTTTTTTAACAGTAGAATGTTGTTCACAAATGACATTCTACTGGATCTACAACCACGTCTCTCTTCTTTGTTTAAAAGTTTCTATAGGGGGTTGGAAAAAGCAATAGCAACATTCTTACACGCTATGGCAAATCTCTCTTAAAGTTCACATACGCCACAATAAAAAAAAAAAAATAAATAAATAAATACAAATCCTAATAGTACTTTCTTTTACCAGTATATTACCATGTGGCGTTCTATCTGTGTAATCCCTTAGTGGTAGGTTCCAAAATGATCGATGGGCATGTACATGTCTGTGTGAGTTTATATTACGACAGCTTATCCTCCAACAACTACTAGTGTACAATTTTTAGTACTATTACTTCATATCAAATACTCTCATATCAGAGACAACTACTACCAGTACTAGCCTACTACTAGTACTGTTGCTTTTGTTACCACTACAATGCTACTACTGCTATAACTATTACTATTACAATTATTACTAAGTGCTGATGCTCCATTGCAACTACAAATGCTACTACTGTTACTACTTCTACTGCTACCCAATAATAAATTAACTGTATTGCATAGCTGAATGGACTTACATGTGGGTGAAGAGGGTAGTGCACGTTCTTGCGGAGGGAATCCACTGAGCTGCCACACCACTCATCAAAAACATGGAGGTTGGCTTGTCCCATGTACTACAAACAGAAGACAGACATATGAATGCACTGCTCAGTTTTACACTCTTGTGACTGAATAAAAGACACACAAAGAGAGAAGGTTATGAACTTATCGCTCAGTAATTTAGGAATGCACAATATTTTGGCGGATTGTGTAATACAGAACACTTTGAACATTTAAGGAGGTGTAACCCAATCCCTCATTTGTCCAGGCATGGTTCTATGTTGAGAAAATTTTGGAGGTAATCTGAACAGTGTTTTTTGCTATCAAGACATTTCAGAGTGAAAACCGCCCAGACAATGCTGAAGGTGAGAGAGCCAATACACAATATGGGGATAAGGACCCATAATGAGGTTAGCTACTAAACATGTTTCACTCTACAACTCCATCCTTTGAGACTTACTTTGAATTTTGTGCCTCTGTGTTTTTGTTTCAGGTGAACAGGACCAGTAGATATGTATTATTACAATGACGACTTTCCCAACATATCCAGACTGATATCTCTGTGTGTTTTTATATAGAGGGATATCAGCTTGGTCACCACTCCCTCCAATACACCTCAGACCAGGCTCAAACATGGCCATCCAAGCAGAGTTGTTCATTTCAGTAACACATGTCTGTGTTTTTAGTCCCCAGTAATATTTTTCCTGTAAGCAAACAAGTTTGTTTTGATACAGATGAACCATGCCTGTCTACCTATCAGTCACAATTCAATTTAGTCAATATCAAAATTGAGTCCTTCCTAATGGTTGGGTCTTTTCAATGGAGTTGTCTACACCCAATCCTTAATAAAGGCATGTGGTTTGGAGCAGACAGAAGACTTTGGAGGAAGACAGTTTTTGGGAGTTAATGATTAAAGTTCTGTCTTGTACATGTTCTAGAAATTAGTATTACACATTTATATTTGTTTTATAGGAACAAAATAAAACTGAATTGAAAATAGTAATACATTTTATGATACATTTATTTCCTATTGCCCAGGCATATGTTTTGTTATTTTCACATGGGCAGAGTCTATATTTATGAATGCATTTGGATAAGCTTTCAGTCAATTGTAAGTGCATTCAATAGAAACAGATAGAATGAACTACCTATGGATATGTGACACGGTGACATAGCCATAAACAAGCCAGTAAAAACACGTAACCTTCTGGGTGTTCTTCTATTTAAAGTTGAAAACAATGCTGCTGTAAAGATGGTTACGTTTGACAATTTGACCATTTTTAATTTGTCGAGAAGTGGTCTATGTAATAAAAGTTTCAGTGGCAGTCATTTTATTAATTGGGATGTTTTGGCTAGCTGTCCAGAAGTCATTTTCAATCAGGAGGTAGGGGTCTGAGGAGCTAGAATTTATGGTGCCCTGAGGGGAGGGGAGCAAGGATAAGTACAAGGGGAGGAGTTATACCAGAAACTTCCTCTGGATTAGTTTACTTACCCGAGATTTGTTTACTTACCCTAAACTTTATTTTACTCTTCCTTGCCTCTTGATTTATTTACTTGCTCTACACATGTTTACTTATAAAACAATCACTTGATTAGCTTATGACTGGCTTTGTGATTTGGACCAAGTTTTAAGAAGGCTATTGTAAACTGAAGCTAACTTGTACCTTAAGCGGTTCAAAGAAATACACTTCCAGTCAAAAGACTAGACATACTTTTTCATTTATTTTCCTTCTTTACTTCCATCATTATTTGGACTGTGGATTCTCATTGAAGGCATCAGCATTATGAATGAGCACATATGGATTGCAGCAAACAAAAATCAAATATAGCCAGCCTTTGCTTTGAACCCTGGTTTGCACTTTTGGTATTTCTTGACCTTGACACTTGTAAAGTGAAAACAATTTCAGGTAAATTTATTATAAAGATTATTGAGAGAAGGCCAAGCGTCTGCAGCGCTGTCAATATTTATTTATTATTTAACTGTTTCTTTCTTTGCCACATAATTCCATATTTGTTGCATCATTGATTTGATGTATAAAATGTTGAAAGTAGTAAACATAAAGAAAAGAAACACTGAATGAGAGGGTGTGTCCAAACTTGTAGTGTATTTTCTTTTTTTCCCCCACAAAAATAGGATGGGAGTAAAGGATATTGTTTACCCAGGACCCAGTGCAGGGCAGGGCACTTCGCAAAGTCTGTAATGTGCATATTTCTTTTCATTTGACAACATGTAGTGTAAGCCCACCAAAATGATTTGTTCCCAGAGCCCAGAATTTGGTGCTCATTATTAACAAAATGAGATAACTTAAATAAAACACATGATGCTTTTAGCAGGGTATTTTGCATTAAACTATTTAGGACTAAACTATTACATACATACATTCATGTATATGTTTTTATTGTTGAAAAATAGCTATGTGACATTTTGAACCCTGCGTATATGCATTTTTAAAATAATCGCAGTTAAGTACAGAGCAATGTGCAGGACAGGGGTCCTCAGATACAGGACAGTACAAGATTACTCAAACATGCATGAATCAATCAAAATGTAGTTCAAGAGTAGATGGGTCAGTAGAACACACTAGCAGCTCAGTGAGGACAGCAGCAGGTCCAGGCGTGACTGTGAGTGCGCAAGGCTAGTCATTATAAAGCCCTACATGTATAGGCACATTCACTTTACCTCTGCTCTCCACGGCAACGGAGTGTAGTTCCCACTCCAAACACCCCAATCCTCCCCAGAGTCTTCTTTGGAGGGCAGTATCTGAAAAAACAAACCAAAACACTACTACTATATCAGTGGTCATTTCCCATCCTGCTGTCAACTCTAACAGTAAATCCACACATGACTAAGATAAGAAGGTAATACTTGGGACAATATAACAGTGCTAATATCGATATTGGAAAAATAAAGTTGAAAATAATTTTTACAATGTAATTAGAACTGTTTAAATTTGTTGACGGGCCATCCTTAGGGGGAGTGCCGATTCAGCCGGGTACAAAGCATGGCCTACAAGGATTGTTCAATGCCACTTGTGACTTTATTTCATCTTTATTGTAGTATTTAGTTGTATTATTTAAAGGTTCACAGTGTTCAAAGAAAAGTTCTGCTGGTGGATGGTCTGCCACCTACTTAGAAATGTGATTGCTTTGCTGGGATTTTCTCCCAGTATAGCATTAATCTTATCCATCTCCATGGAGACAAGCAGGTGACAGACCTGAGTCGAGTTAGATCTGTAGAGAGGAAAGCCCATTCATGGTAATACATTTGTAATAAAACCCTAATTTGATTAATATGAGATAGAAAGGTTAAATGCCCTACTGCGTAACATTCAAGGTAAAGCAATAACATTGACATGGAGACGAGCAACAGAAAAGTTACATAGTGTACCTAACTTTAGTGTTTAATTATGCTATTTTTTTTTCAAAACAATTTAAATATTTTTGGCGTCATTGAACAAAAGTGAGATTACCCATCGAAATGAAGAGGTTTTATCCCAACTGTTGTCGGTGTAGTATCCTGTGGAAATCAAACAAGGTGAAGAGTTAGTTGAGCTTTAAAGTGAAGTCAGACTAAATAAAATAAAAATTTAACTGGCTTATTTTTTCATTCAAAAGTTTCAGAGTCCTGTTATATGCAACATTTTGAACACCTTTGAAGAGCAGATGGTTTGGCTGGAACCACTCCACAAAATTTGCAATCAGCGTCCTATACTCCAGCTCCTGTCCATCTCCGATACACCCTATCACCACAGAATCATCTTCTACAGGTGGTAGGATCCAGAGCTATAGTGGAAATCAGAAGTGCCCAGGAGAGCTTCTATATTACTGACCACGATATTGGACAGAGTGCTCCCAAGTCGCACATACTGAGGCCTATATGTGTCCTTGATACGACAAAAACCTGTGACATAAACCTATGATTAACTATAACTATGAATACCACCTGCAACTAGTACAAAAAACACAAATTAGAATCTGATTTTCAACATTAAATCATAGTTCTCTCTTTTATGTTACCATATGGTCTTACATCTGTGTAAATCCCTCAGTTGTCCAGGTAGGTTCCATAGTGGTCCATGGGCGTATATTAGTCTATTAGTCTATGTAGTTTTATACTTGTTCTGATACAGCTCGAATGAATGTGATTCTTTTAGTATTGATACCCGCTCAAATGAATATGTAATTTTGATACTGTTTTAATAAAGATTAAACACTAGCGTTTCTTAATAAGAATTAGTTGACAGGCTAATGCTTACAGAATACCATTGACTATATGCAAAAGGAGTATGGTATAATCCATGGGTGGAATTTGTGACAATATATCTCTAGGATGTTTTTTTTTTTCTATTTCTTTGACACTAAAGAATACATTTTGGCACAAAACTTGCCACTCAAGGATCCAAAAGACACAGCCCAAATACCAACTGCTAAAAAACAGAGATTTGAAAAATGTGTGTGTGTGTGTTTTTTTTGTAAAAAGTGTCCTTTTAACAAGACTGGGTTACATTTTGTTCACAAAGTGTACTTTTTCAAACATTCTAATTTGTTAGTGTGCACAGTTTTGCAAACTGTAGACAAGATTTGCTAGAGTTTCAATGTGCTATAGAAACACAACGAGGAAGCTCTTGTCCATTCTGCATAGTTCCCTCATTCTTCCATCCATTAGTTATGGTGTGGAAGTTCAGGGCATCTTACAGAAATAATACAAATCCATTGTTCAAACTACAGAAAAGAGCAGTATGGATACTACACAATGCTGGCTACAGAGAAATTCAAAATAGCTCAAACTTGAGGCCAAATTTAATTAAAACTTTACCATTGATGTACAAGGCAAAACAAAACCTGTAAGAACATTCAATCTTTATTTTCAAACAGAAAGGTAGGAGATATACATTGAGAGGAATATTGAATAAAAAAAAACAAACATGAATTTGCACAGCTGTGAAGATGGTGCGGCGTTGACCTCTGGAATGCTTTAGACAAAATTATAAAAGCATGTACTAACTTCAATGAATTTAAAACAAAAGGCCAAATTATCTATGTTCAAAAAATATGTAGATCATGAGGACTTGGCAAGTTAATTGTTCTGAATATTGTTGCACTGTATATTTTTGTTGTGTGCTTTTCTGAATCATTTCCTATATCCTATTTTAGTACTGCTGTACAAATATTTCTATACTAGTATATTCTAAATTGTAGTTAGTTTCTGCAGACATAGCACACACATAGCAGCTAACTACTAAATTCTGGAATAAGGGGTCACACCCTGAGCACCTGAGAGAGTAGCAGCTGGGTAGCTCCTGAAGATTTTCCTGAAAACCACTACCTTTTTAAGTTATTCTTCTTTGCACTTTAAGATTTTATTTTATTTTTATTACTTGATTCATCCAATTAAACACTCACCATATTTTTTGGGCGTTTTTTATCTTTTGTCTTATCTCTTATCTCTTCTTTTTCGCTTTGTTCTTTGCTGTGTAGCCCAGTAGTCCACACGGCCTATTGTGTATTCCAGAGCATCGCCTTTCACTGTCCAAGTCCCTAGTGCTGTTTGAAGTTAAGCCTGACATTCCTGCGTAACTAAGGAGGAGGACGCACAGAGGATGTCACACTGGAGTGAGAGTGAGAAGGAAGTTCAATCCTGTGGTTCCGACAGTTCTGATGGGGAATGTAAGGTTATTGGGAAATAAGATGGACGAACTCTGTGCGCTTGTTCAGACCCAGAGGGAGTACACTGTCAGCAGTATCATGTGCTTCGCAGAGACCTGGCTTCATTCAAACTTCTCTGACAACAGTGCATCTGTACCAGGCTTTAAGACAGAGGCCGGGCAGACAGAGACACTCTCATTAGTGGTGAGAAGAAGGGCGGTGGGATTGCTGTTTTGGTGAACGAGAGGTGGGGTAATCCTGGCCATATTACTGTGAAGCAATATATCTGTTCACCAGACATTGAACTTTTGGCTTTGGGAATGCGTTCATATTATTTGCCAAGGGAATTTACTTCTGTCCAGTCATCGGAGTTTACATCCCTTCTTCAGCGGGTGAAGATGCTGCCTGTGACAAGTTATACAATGTTGCTGGGCTGCAGTCAAAACACCCACAGGCTCTACTTTTGATTTCTGGTGACTTCAATCATGCTTCCTTGAACAATGTTTTACCCACTCTTCATCAGTATGTGGATTGTAGGGATGGGCATTCAATCAAATTTTCTTAATCGATTGTCGGAAGAATTAACGATCGATTATCGATGAATCATTAACGTTATTATATTAAAATGATCATCATTATTATTACTATCTGCACTACTAATCTGCATAAATAAATTCAACTTTACGACATATAAACCGTAACGACTTTAGAGCCACATCAATCCGTTTGGGATTATAATGTGTTTAATTCAGTTTTGCGCAACTCTCACAGAAACAAAACTTAAAACCGCATCGCTAAATTGCATAATCTAAGCGAAGATAAAACTACAGCTCTTGTGCGCTAATGCTGTTAATTTCTGTCAGATTAAAAGACATGACTCAATGGAATACAGGTTAGTGTGACCATATTTGCATTTGTCAAAACCAGGACACCGTACGGGGGGAGGGAAGTGGGGACTCGTCATCGACATTGCGCGACTCTCACCTGGCAAAGCTTTTTTCCACTGGACAACGAAACATATGTGCTGCTTTGTACACTTTGCACATGGACTCACACTTGTCCCGAACATAACGGAACGCGTGGAATTTCTTGTACAAGTCATCGTTAAATACACATTTGTGCTTCGGTACGTTGCAGGCTGACTGACTGTTTGTGTTTGCTCGCTCCTTCTGGGTGCAGAGAGCTACATGTCCGGACCCCTGTTTGGTCACGCTACGCACAGCAACCTGCATTCTGTTTGTCGATTAAAATGAACGTAATAGATGAAATGCTTAATCAATTATCAATTAATCGACTAATCATGCCCATCCCTAGTGAACTGTAAAACTCAGGACAGGGTACAGTACTGTCTCCATTTCTGTTCACCTCTGATTTCCAGTACAGTTCTGGGTCTGGCCACCTGCAGAAGTTCTCTGATGACTCTGCAGTGGTAGGATGTATCAAAGATGTACAGGTGCTGGAGTACAGGACACTGATTGCAAACTTTGTGGAGTGGTCCCAGGCAAATCATCAGAACATTGACAAGACCAAGGAACTGGTGATTGACTTCAGAAGGAAGAGGACAGCAGTGGAGCCCAGCACCGGCCAGGGCCATGACGTTGAATAGTAGACTGCTACAAGTACCTTGGCGTCCATGAGAACAACTGTAATGCTGTGTAGAAGAAGGGCATGAGTAGACTCTACTTCCTGAGAAAGCTCAGGTCTTTCAATGTGTGCAGCAAGTTACTGGAGATTTTCTAGCAGTCTGTGGTGGCCACTAACGCCCTGTACTTCGCTGTGGTCTGCTGGGGGAGCAGCAGGGACATTTGGCAAATTAACAAACTGATCCATAAAGCTGATCATGTGACTGGCTGTGAGCTGGAGACATTTGTCACAGTGAAGGACAGGAGGACACTGGACAAACTGCTCTCCATCATGGACACTCCTGTTCACAAACTGCATCAGACTAACAGGTCAGAGGAGCTCATTCAACAACAGGCTCCTGCAGCTCCGCTCAAACAATGAGAATACATTCATACCATACGCCATATAACTTTACAACAACTCACCTTTATGTAACAGATAACCCTATGTCATGTCAGTCATCATATCATTTTGCACTCTTTTCTTGTGACCTCTGTATATAGCTGAATGTTTATTTTTTTATATTTTGACTTGTACATGTACATTTATATACCTTATTTGACACATGTCTGTTTTGCTATCTTTTTTGCTACTTCTTACTCTTTGTTATTATATGATGCTGTGATGTGTGAGCTACTGTGTCCAAATAATTTCCCTTGTGGATCAATAGTTTGTCTAAGTCTAAGTCAGATACATTTTTTTACTTCTACCTAATCTTTTTGATCACCTCTTTGCACCTAAATCACAAAGCATTTGCTGTAATGTACCGAAAATGATGCTCAATTAAATAAATAAATGAATAAATAAATAAATAAAGACTTATTCATACCCAGATCAGTTAATGCTGTAATGTAATTATTTTAACCAATCAGCTATGTTCACTTGATGTAGGCCTAATTGAAAAAGCCCTTAGTTAATCATTCTAAATTATACTCTGTTAAAGAACAAGATGGGCTCTCCTTACCTAACATAGAATGGTATCAATACTCTTTTTCACTTGCTCAATTATCTAAATGCAATCTGCCAAAGAACAAAGCCCCCGCGTGGGTAAAAATCAAAAAGGAAATTTTTAATCCGTTTATAAAAAACAAACAAACAAAAAACACACACATACAAAAACAAACAAACAAACAAACAAAACAAACAAACAAACAAACAAACAAGCAAACTACTCCACACTCCCCACTTTTGACAGCAGAGTGCACTGCATTTTCGATGCGCTATAATATGGGCTAAATTACTCAGACGATACCCGTACACTTGCCACAAGTTGCTGACAAAAACAACTGTTTATATGCTGAACTGCTCAGCAAGCAGTGTTGGGGAGTAACGGATTACATGTACATGTTACATGTACCGTTACATAATCAGAGTACAAATTATGAGTAACTGTATTCAGTTATAGTTACTGTTTCAATGAGTGGTAATTGGATTACAATTACTTTGCTGAAATAATGGATTACAAGGAGGTATTTTCCTGTTTTCACATTTTGTGCTACATCCCATTTATTTATTTTTTCATTTCGGTAATTCCACTCATTGCCGGAAACCCAAACAGAATGTGGCAATAAGAGCGATGTAAACGTCATGTTAATGTTGGCGGCGTCAGTCACACATTGGACGAGGTCGAAGAGCCAGTAGAACAGAGGCAGCAGTGCACAGGTAAAACACACATTTGTGTCTGGAAAATTCTTCTCCAGACGTGAAATATAAAAAAAATAACAAATATAAAATCGCCTAGAAGTTAAATGTCAAACCGGAGCTACTGGCACTGGTGAAAACAACCTGCCTAGGCTCCTGATATCTGCAGTACTGTCCTATAGTGACCTGCCACATGAGGGAACACGCACACAAACACACACCTTCATCATCGTCATCAACCTGAGAACGTGTGGACCATGTCTCCTTCCACAGCTACTGCGCGGACACCGACGTGCTCACGTGCGCCGCGTGTGGACCGTGTTTTCTCGCCGTGTTTTCTCACGTACGCTGCGTAAACTGCGCTTCCTCCTGTGAGCTTCTAAACCAGAACTAACACCAGGACTAAAACCAGGACAAAAACCAGGACTAAACCAGTCCAGGACTAAACCAGGACTGAACCAGGTCTAAACCAGGGCTAAACCAGGACTAAACCAGAACTAAACCAGGTCTAAAATCAGGATTAAACCAGGACTAAACCAGGACTAAATCAGGTCTAAAATCAGGACTAAAACCAGGCCTAAACCAGAACTAAACCAGGCCTAAAATCAGGCCTAAAATCAGGACTAAAACCAGGACTAAAACCAGAACTAAACCAGGTCTAAAATCAGGACTAAAACCAGGACCAAACCAGAACAAAACCAGGTCTAAAATCAGGACTAAAACCAGGACTACACCAGGATTGAACCAGGTCTAAACCAGGGCTAAATCAGATCTAAACTATAGGACTAATCCAGGTCTAAACCAGGAGTAAAACCAGGACTAAACCAGAACTAAATCAGGTCTAAAATCAGGATTAAACCAGGACTAAAGCAAGTCTAAAATCAGGACTAAACCAGGACTAAAACCAGGACTAAACCAGGACTGAACCAGGTCTAAACCAGGGTTAAATCAGGTCTAAACTATAGGACTAATCCAGGTCTAAACCAGGACTAAAACCAGGACTAAACCAGAACTAAACCAGGTCTAAAATCAGGACTAAACCAGAACTAAACCAGAAATAAATCAGGTCTAAAATCAGGATGAAACCAGGACGAAACCAGGTCTAAAATCAGGACTAAAACCAGGATTAAACCAGAACTAAACCAGGCATAAAATCAGGTCTAAAATCAGGACTAAAACCAGGACTAAACCAGAACTAAACCAGGTCTAAAATCAGGACTTAACCAGGACTAAAACCAGGACTAAACCAGGTCTAAAGTCAGGACTAAACCAGGTCTAAACAATATGACAATTAACAGGTTGGACATAATTTAAGGAGATCTCATATAAAAAATATTTCTCTATCAATAATATTTTTTAATATGGTTAAGGAAAGACTGATCTTGTTATTGTCTTTTAGGAGACAAAACATTTTATGTTAACATCCTAGTCCTAATCCTAACAGATCCTATTCTTTGCTTCTCTACAGCAAACAGTTGCTTATTCATGGAGACTTTGGGTCAACAGACAATTCGAAGAGAACAAACAAGAATTTTCAGGATGTGGTTGCTACATTCATGTCGTTTTAAAAAGCATGACAATATCAAGTAATCCAAAGTATTCAGATTACGTTACTCACTTTAAATTATTTAATGGATTACGTTACAAACTACATTTTGGGGTATGTAATCTGTAATCTGTAGGGGAATACGTTTTAAAAGTAACCTTCCCAACACTTTATATATATATATATATATATATATATATATATATATATATATATATATATATATATATATATATATATATATATATATATATATATATATATATATATATATATATATATATATAGCTACTCACGGGATCCATAGTATCCAACGTCTCTGAGCGCAGAGAAGCCAAAGAGCAACCCACCTAGCAGGAACATGAGCATAAGGGCGAACACCGTCTGCAGTTTGCTCATTTGTAAAGTTTTCCAGAGCGGGGACCCCAATAAGGATGAGCTGGGACACCTGGTCACAGCCCACATAGAAGGCATCTTGCGCACCACCTGTCCGTCCAATCATCCACTGGACAGCGCTACAGAACGAAAATTTGTGAAACTACCTTCATTTGTGAGTCGCACCTCCGCTCACTCTTTCCTCCGTGTCTCAGGACCGAAGCCCACACTCCCCCCTGTCCCGACTGACTGATTTAAGCGGCTGTGAAGTTTCCAAGACCTGATATCCAGATGCGTGCGTAACCAGCCTTTCACAATAAAAGCAAACTTCTCTAGGTGTATAAAAACTCACTCGGTTTGAAATACCAATCTCTGCATTGGTTTCTGGAGGGCACGTGAGATTTTTGTCTACTTACGAACAAAAGTTATGTTGTTAGAGCGTAAGTGACAAGTGGGCTATCCGCATTTACGCCTGCCGCACCGGAAACGGTAAAGTAAGGTAAGTTTTTTTTTTTAATTGCTTTTGGCACATTTTCTGAATTTTTTTAATAAATCTGAAAATCTTTTGTGTCTTGTGTGAATATTGCAAAATGCGCAAAGCAATGCAGAAGGTTTGAAAAAGTAAACTTTGTGAACTAAACATACAAATAATAAACCAATACGTTTATATACGGTTCCTTTACAATATATGTAAATTATCTTTATTACAAATGCTCACCACACACGCTCTTTGTACAATTTGCCATTTATTACATATGATCATCAACTGCTTGTTATATACAGATTCCAGTTAAGCTGTACGTTGCATGTATTATCTTGGGAATAACCACAACACTTTGGGCAAAAATACAAAATTATCAAAGCAAAAAGTTGAACAGTCTTGTACCTACAGTATAACAGATTAAGAAAGAGAATGTGTCTGATCAATATTCAAGGCCAACTTTCCAGAACGCCACAGTGCTACATACGTACTTTTAGGGACACAGGCACTCCTTAAAGGTCCTATATTACCCTAGTATGAGTAATGTGAACTTATAACCATGTTAGAACATTCTTACTTCATCATAAACGTACCCCGAAATGTGTATTGTTTCAAACATTAGAGTAACCTTGAATTACTGGACTGGCTACATCTCTAAAGCTCAAAATGGTAAATTCCGCCTTGTGATAAGTGGTAGTTTTAAAGTTATTTTTTATAGTAATTTTTTATCGCAGACTGAGAAGCAAAGAACTTTAAATGAGGCTCAAACAATTCAGCTTTCAGTTTGAGAAAATAACTCCTGAATATGCAGGGTTTCTGTGTTAAACATGTGTGAATGAAACAAAACAAACCCAGGTATGTTTTGAGGAGGTAACAAAATTACAACGTATCAAAAATCTGTGTAATATAGGCCCTTTAAAAAACACAAAAACTACCAACAAAAGCCAACTACTAAAATTGATCAGTAGGCCCAGTTAAGAAGAGAGATGGCCAGAATTTTTGGGAGAAGCGGGAAAGACAGTAGTGCAAGTAAACGCGTCTAGCCCTTAACGGGTAACGGGGGAGTATTTCATTGGATGGATCTATTTTCCTCCCCCAAAAGTGAAACCACATGCACAGGTCCGAAGCGGTGCGGGGTAAGTGCCGTATTTCTTCACATATTTAAATCTTTTCATTCGACAGCTGCCACATATAGGCCTGGACAGTAAGCCAGCAAAGACATGCCCAGAATCAGTGCCTTCTTTTCCCCATACATGCTCGTCTTTCTCAAATCACTCGCATTCACACCGCAGGACAAAACACGCAAATGTCCCATTATGTCAGAAGATGCTACTCCTTCACTTCCGTCTCCCCTTGTCCATTTTCCACCTCCATGGACTCGCTACTGTTCTCTTTGTTTTCTGTCTTTGCGCCAGCTTCTTTCTGGGGGAAAAAGAAAAAAGTGAGGTTGCTTTTAAGTGGTGTTGTAGCATTCTCAGGCTGTGCTTTTCAAACTGTGGTATGCAAGCGTCTTCTCTGTATTTCGTGTCTAACTTGTTCCACTAGAATTTTCTTTTACTTGCCCCCCCAGGCCAAGTTTTTGATTCTGTTAAAATGTTAGCCCTGGTTTAGCCCTGGTTTAGCCCTGGTTTAGCCCTGGTTTAGCCCTGGTTTAGCCCTGGTTTAGCCCTGGTTTAGCCCTGGTTTAGCCCTGGTTTAGCCCTGGTTTATTTCAGGTACATCCGTTGCAATAACACATTTTGAATTCCATAATAATATTGCATGTCATAAACAAATAAATTTAGTAAGTTATTTATCCACCCTTGTAAAACTTGAATATGATCATAGTACAGAAAATTAATTGATTTTAAAATATTGACCCCTTGTAACACCTGTGGCACCTGCACACCCCAGAGACAGACAACCAATATTGAGACATCCGATCTACCAGAGAAAATGCCTATAGTTTCCAGGCAGGCTGGTGTCAGAAATGTGTGAGAAATGTATGAGAAATGTGTGCAGGCTGACCTCTCCATTTGCCCAAAGAGGGTGGGGGTCACAGCAGACAAAGGGAACACAGGGAAATGGACAAACTACATAGAGGACAGGACAGAGCAGGACTGGGAGGTTTCAAAGAGGGAGGAAAAGCTGTATAACATGAGGCTGCAGCTGTACTGTCCCTGCCCCCAAGCTGGTGTAGGGACAATACAGTGATACTACATAAGAATACAGTACACTAATGCAAGGGAGGAAATGGGGGCAACCGATGTCTAGAGTGAACCAAAACTATTTCAGGTAATTATTAAAGTCAATTTGCCATGTTAAAAAAAAAAAAAAAAAAAAAATCAAAAAAGATTTGAATCACTGATTTGTTTAATTTTAGTTTCCCCTTGAATTGTTTATTTGTAGAGGTGAGAGACAAGATAAGAGAGATAAGATTAGGTTAGACCAAAAGTTAACATAAGATGACTTTAACTCATACTTCCTAGTTGCACAATAGCAGATGTGCTAGAGGTAATTCCTTAACTGTTTCCTAGCATATAGTAAACAAAGGCCAAAGCTTATTTTATTTACACAAGTCATTATTTGGCGAGTGGTTTCTTGATGTAAAAACGCCTTGAGTGCCTTGATGAAATGTGCTACATAAAAATGTGACCATTTACCCTTTATTTGACAAATAAATATATTCCTTTTCAGAACTCATGGATTTCAGTATAGTATATTATTTTTCTTTTTAAGCTGCCACTTGACACCAGTTAAAACTGAAAAATATTCTCCATGGGTATTATCCCATGGAGAATATTCAAGTTCAAGTTCTTCAAATTTCCAAGTCAAAATTTGAAAAACTTGAACTCCCTATGATCTGATAATCATATATAAGAATATAAAAAGGATATAAGGGAGGAGGGTTGAGGTTTAGAGTCCCATCTAAAACTGCAGGACATATTCAGAAGTCAGCCACTGTCTATGTACATATCAGCTTTACCTTTGAGTCTCTCTCTGCAAACTTCTGAAACATGTTAGCATAGATGCGTTTGTCCTTCTCATGCTGCTCCTTTAGACGTTTCTGACATAATGCCACCTGAAAATCATTTATAAAACAACATTAGGAGAAGATCTGAGCACTAAAATCACTATCCATGTTTCACTATAAGGCAGTACCTGGCTTTTGGCGGCCTTGTTGGAGGGATACAGCTGAATGACCTTCTGAAAGTCATCCTTGGCTCGGTCAAACTCCTTCATGCCAAAGAGAGCCTCTCCTCTTCTGAACAAGGCCTTCTCATTTGTGGGATCCAGCATCAAAGCCTAAAAGTCACAAAAAAATATGAACCATATTTAAGGCCTTCCACGTATTTTTTCCATGTATTTGAGCAAAATGTGTATTGCCCCAGAGCAGATATATTGTATAAACAGCTCTTCAGGACAAAATAAGTTCACTGTTTGCTGTCTTTCTTGTTGTCAGATAGTCAGAAAGCACGCATAAGGATTCCAGTTTCTGCCACCTTTGCACTGTTTTCTAAGAATTGTGAAAAGTGCTTATAAAGTCATTAAGGTGAATAATAATAATTCATGTAAGGTAATGTAATAATAACATAAGGTAAGTTAGGAATAATTTTGAACACATTATTTAAAATGTAACTAGTTCTGTTTTGTCCATGTTTTAAGACAGTAAAGTACTATAATATAAGAAGAATAAAGGATTGGGAAGTAACCTAACTAATCTGAATAAGTAATCTCTTCGGACAATCCTTGAGAAGTAAGGCAGAGTACCCCTACTGCCCCCTGCTGGCCTCACATGGACATTGCTCTGCTCAGAGTTTGATAATGTGTGCTACTGTGTGCTGCTTACCTTGTCACAGCTGTCCAGAGCATGGCTGGGCTCCTGGATCTTCAGATAGCACATGGCTAAGTTGAGATGAGCAGCCAGACGCAGAGCTTTGGCCTTCTTCTCATCCTCTTCCTGTAGACCTGACTCATTGTCCAGCCACAACACAATCCTTTTGTACTGCACTGACGCCTGCTTGTATTTGCCCTCCTGGAGATGAGGAATAATGTTTTAGACAGTGATTCTTTTCTAGTGTTTTATTTAAAAGCTGTACTATGACTTTTCTGGTGGATGTTCGGTCACCTGTTAGTATCCATGGAGATGTTATTGCTTTAGCTGGCATGTTCCACAGTACGGCATTTACCTTATCTATCAGGAACACCCACCAGGCTCAGTAACAAACTCAATACTCAATAGAGGTTCTACGATTGGTGAATTAAAAACACTAATTAAATCATAATCCTTTCTTTTATATTACCATGCAGTCTTATATCTGTAATCACTGAGTTGTTCGGTAGGATTCATAGAGGTCCGTGAGCGTCTATGTGGTCTTATACTTGTTCTGATACAGCTCAAGATCATTCTAAAGCTATTCAGGAAAGGCTCATTTCTATTTTTAATATCGTTAAGTATCTGACTTTCTATACTTTTCTATACTTTTTTAGCAATAAACAGAATAACTACAGGTTGGATAAGTATTGTTATGGAATATTTCAGGTAATAACATCTCCATTGAGAAAAATTGGTGGCAGACCAATGTCACCATTAAAAAGTGACAATGCATTTTTAATATGTACATTTGTGGTCAAACCTTAAAATACTGTGTCCCCTTTTCCTTCACAATGACGCTCTGTTCCAGTTTTTCTGGTGTGTTCATCTCCCAGGATTCTTTAGCCTTCAGAATAAAAATAAATAAATAAATAAAAAAAAAAAAGACATGAGTAACATGACAAGAACTCAACAAACATACTCGCTGTAATTTTGATTTTGTACCTTCTCAAAGGCCGTTAGCTTAATTTTATATACTAATGTTGCTCCACCGGGAACACCAAGCTTTTCATTTCCTGCAATTCCAAAACCGTATCTGCAGAAGACATAAGACAGATTCAAAGACTATTAGACCAGTTCAATTTTTTTGGTAGGACTGAGCTTTTAGAATCCAATCAAATAACCTTAGAAGACTTTGGTTAAAATGGAGCTACACTGTATAAATGTGACAATTTACCATTAACATATAGATAAATGATGTGGAAATTAATCACAAATTCAAATTCACAAATTCAGCAACTACTTGCACTCGTAACCAGGTCAATAATAATGTAACAGTAAATAGAAGACGTAAGAAAATCTCCATACTTAGGTTTTATAGTGAAGAGTGCCTCCTCTCCTTGCTCCATTGCCATGATGCCCTTTTCTACTCCTACCGGTAAATCAAAACTTTCTCCATCTCCCACCTCAAACTTCAGTTCCCGTTCATAAAACACATGTTCATCCAGTGTGCCTTCCACACTAACTGTAACACACAGACACAACAGAGGAAAAAATAAATAAATAAATAAATGTGTCAAATGTATTAAGAGACAAAGTAATAATCTATAACATCCGTGGATCATTTTGTTATAATTTGTACATTTAAAATTGCAATATTAATCTAAACTTGTCTTCCACGTAAGTGGATTTTTAAAAGATAAGACAATATAATAAATTGCAATACAAAATAATAAAATATAATATAATATAATATAATAAACTATAATATAATATATGCACACACAACCTGGACCTGACTGCAGTGTTTTGTTTCTGTGTATTTATACTGAAATGACAAAAAAAAAAATTCTGATTCACAATTGGAGAACTATATAAGTACAGAGCAGTGTGCTTCAGAGGCTGCACTAGCACTGTTTAATGATTGCTCTGAATCCTCACTACCTAAACCCTATCACCTTCAGCCAGAACAAGTTATTTGAGGATTAAACCAACTGGATTTTAAGACTAAAACTTGCAACTCATTCTGCCTAACGATAGGATAATCATCTTGAGACCCAAAACACACAAATTATAACAAACAACTTGGCCATCGTGTCCAATGTTTTTGTAGTCAAGAATAAATCAGCATTACAATTGTTATAAGAAAAAGCTATATTTGATTTAAAGCTGAATCCTTTACTACAGATGCACAATTACATTATTAGGTCTAATGGTCATTAGTTACCACAGAGAAGATTAGCCCCCAGCAAATGTTTAATATTTCTTTATTTATGAGAAAAATGAATGGGGAAAAAAAAAGTATTTTCAGAAAGTGTGAGGTAACCGTTGACCTCCAGTCACAAATTTTGTAAAGTACATTTTTCTCCACAGCTGCCCTGGGGTAGACTGAAAGAAGCAAGGCTGTCATTCTGCTCCATCAGACGACCACCACCAAGGACCACTGAGCCACTACTCCCCCTACTACTTACTATTGCTGTAATTCAATTCTAATATTTAGGTATTAGTAAAATGCCCACAGATCATAAGTAGTTTACCTTCCACAGACGCTCCTTCATTGGGTTTGGAGTACCCTTGCCCTTTGGTGATAATGCGACGAATAATTCCCCCATCTTCATCTTCAGTTAGGTCTTCACCATGGAATTCAAAAAGTTCAATCTAAAATGGAGAAAAATGTCACTGTCCCTCTTGTAACACAAGTTAATGAATGGGGTTTATTTTCACATTATTCGTCATACCTCAAACACAAGGGTAGCATTAGGGGGGATCTTGGGTGGACTCCCAGCCAAACCATATGCATACTCGGGCTTACAGATGAGCTGACACAGTTCACCCACTTTCATAGTGGCTACACCAATATCCCATGCCCTTATCACTTGACCTGAAACCATATGATAAAGTTAGAGAGCCAGGGCACATTTAAAAGGTCCAAATTACGCTTCTTCTTCTTCTTTTTTTTTTTTTTTTTTTTAAACTCTGTTATAATGTGGTTTCCTCATCATCCAGTTTCATTCACACATATTTAACACACAAATCCTCCAAAAATGGAAAACGTTCCACCTTGTGACGTCATGTGGTAAAGCAAGTGCCCCACTGTGTTTTAAAACTCTAATCTCTACTGATAAAAAAAAGTAAAAGTTGTTAACTTGAAAGCTATCGCTTAATGACATCACAAGGTGAAACAGAGCATTTTTAGCTTTGGAAATACAGATCGAGTAACAATTTATTATTAGCCTAACATGTGTGAATGAAACAAAACACAACCCTAGGTGTGTTTTAGATGAGGTGTCAACATGCTAACATGACTTAAAGCTCACAAGAGTTAAATTTGCATAAGACCAGTGTGTGCACCAGATGATTGTGCATGCACCAACCTTTGCCCAACTCAAAGGAGAATTTCTCTCCCTTGTCTCTGCTTGAGTCGAAGTGAGTTCCGTCCAGAAGTGTGCCCACATAATGTACAAAGACTTTATCTCCAGTCATGGGCAGCTCTTCACCTGTTCCTTCCCGTTTCACCAGCTGGGGGGGGGGGAAATAAAGGTACTTTTTTCAATCATTTCAATTATTACAAAAATGAATACTGGATTTGTCAATAAACAAAATCATGGCACGATTAGGGCTGCAACAAACAATAATTTTAGTAGTGATTAGACAACAATCCATTTTTTGATGAGTCTATTAGATTTATTATTATATTGATTATTATGATTATTATTTGACTATTGCTATTGTATATTGAGATATTTTAAATACATACTCAACCAAATAAAAGTTCAAATATGGTGACTGAGGGCTTCTTTGTTCTTTGTTATAACATGGCCTTTAGAGTACATAATCCAGGTAATGATTATGATAATCAAAATATGCCACTAACAATATATCCCTACAGCAGGATCATATCAAAAAAGTCAAATTTCTGCAGTTTTATCAATCTGTAGTGCATTTAAACACTTTAGTAGCTAATTTTCACCAGTAATGAGTCATACAATTTATTCAACCCTGAACAACTAAAATGTCAGTGCAACACAGAAAAATAACAGAAGGTCCCCAGTGCAAAGAAAAAGTACTCAAGGCAAATGCTGAGAAATTCTTGTTCCATATGTAATTTATTAAACAAGTTGATATAGTAATCGTTGTGAATATTGTGATGGGACTGTAAAGAAAAATAATATTAAAATAATTTCAGTGTATTTTTGAAGGTTAAAAACATGAGGTGGCTTTACATTGTTGATGTTGACACCCATAAATTGCACATCAAGATTGCAATATCAGCTTTACATTGTTGATGTTGTCACCCATAAATTGCACATCACATCATTATTGCAATATCAGCAGCTATAAAGATAATCTTCCCTGTCAACTAAATTTACTTAAAGACAAATGAATTTAATAAATTAATCATGTCTATAAAGGTGTAAGGGGACTTTGCTGCTTATAAAATGTAGAGGGATTGCCCTAACGTCATTTTACAATACATTTTTAAATGAATATGTGAGCCATGCGTAGGTCCTGACAGCTTATAGTTTCTGTGTACGTGATGAATAATAAATTAGCTTCTCTAGCTCCGTTAGCTTAGCCTTGCAGCCACGATCTGTAAACAACCCATTTGGTAACAGGTAAAGCTAACCACATCAACACACTACCTTACTGCCATTACCTTTAGCACCCCCCCATCCTTCTTCGGCGTGATGTCCTCTCCTTCCATCGGGATCGTGGCCAGTCCTTCTTTCGCCTGTTCGTCTGCAGTCATGGTCATTGGGATAGTGGGCTTCCCTCCGTATGCCTCTCCACAGTTATCTGACGCTTCCTTGCTAATATGCTAAAGCTAGCTGGTCAATGCACTTGTAAACTGTGGGTACCTTATGTGGCTGGCCAAAGCTACAACCCTGACAAGTAGCAAACCACTAGCTTATAATGCTAGTACAAACAGTATCCTGACAGCAGAGATCCGGGTGTTGCTGTGAAGCAGGCAGCCGTGTGTGCAGACTGGCGTCGGTTCAGGTCACTTCAGATCCACGTTGTGTCTGTTGGCATCAGATCTGCGCGTTAAGAAGGGCAGAGAACTTTCCAGACATTCAAGAAAGAGCGAACGGAGGAAACGCGCTGGGGACACCTCTTTACTTTACAAGCGTAGTTAAAAAGGGCGGGAGTAGTTTCGTAGCAGAAAGAGTTTGGTAATATCGGAGTACGCTTTGCATAAAAACAAACGCGCAATTTCTAGCTAAACTCTGATTGGCTGGTTTCTGAACACGGAGCTGTCATTTGGCGCGGGTATTCAACAGCTTTTGGTGCCTGTTTTGGTCAATTAAAACCTGAAGATCGCATTTTAGGAAATCGGTAAGTGAGTTTACGACAATTCCATGTATAGTTGAGCTAACATGTCTTTGTAGATTGTTAAATACAAGGCTATATTTGTTATGCTTGTTGTCGGCAGCAGCCGGTTTCTGCTTGCTATATTATACTATTAAACATTGTCTAAAGCCAATAGGCTAGTGAGAGATTTTACGTCGAGTAATTAGATTAATACCAAAAAACAAACAAACATGCAGCTATCCGTTATATGGCTTACAACATTATTATTTCCCATCGCAAATCACGTATGATTATTCCGGTTTATTAAGCCTACAAATTGTCATATCTATTTCCCATCACCACAATGTTTTTAATCATTATGAATAAATCATATGCTATATTAATAAAAAAAATGCTCATGAATCATTCTGTCTTCTGTTGTTTAGTACGAGGTCTGAAGAGCATGGAAGGAGGCAGGACCAGTTTTCCATTTCCATACCAGCCTTATTCCATCCAGGAGCAGTTCATGCAAGCTCTGTACTGGGCATTGGATCAGGGCAAAGTGGGCATCTTTGAGAGTCCCACTGGAACGGTGTGTGTCTGCAAGTTGATATATAGGGCTGCAATAACAAATTCGATTAATTGTGTCAAGTAAATAATGCAATGATGGATGAATGGAAGTATTAGACATAATAGACAATCATTTATTCAACATTTAAAAATGGTTGTGCTCTGATCCAGATGGCACACCTCTTTAATACTTTATCATTCTGGATTTGCCACTCAACCCAGAATGGGAATTGTGGACAAATTGTGGACCTGATTGGCAAGAAGTTACCTGCTGGACCCAATACATGTCCCAAGTCAGATGTTCCCAACTTTTTTTTGTCTCAAGTTAAGATCATTCTCATGCTCCATGTACCCTCCAACTGTACTTGGAGTGTGAGAATAAGATAACTAACTATCTTATTTGATTACTCCTATTGTCATTAATTACTCTTACAGTATCTTGATCTTGATGTTCTCAGGGCTCCCCAAACCCCTGGTTGGGAACCACTGTCATATATATTTGCACCTTAAATTAGAACTGTGTATGTTGGCATTGCAATTTCAATCAGTTTTTCAGCTGAGAAGTTATCAGGAACCTTGATGTACCCCTTTTATTGCTTATTTATTCCTATTTACTTTTATAAGTTGCTTTTTTATGTTCTTAATTCTGTCATTTCTTTTTTCAAAGGCAAGTTTAAAAATTTAGCTTGAATCCATCTAACCAGCACTGTATTTGTTCCTGCTCCAGGGCAAGTCTCTGAGCCTGATTTGTGGTGCACTCAGCTGGCTTACAGACTTTGAGGAGAAGAGGAAACAAGAAGCGGATGTTCTGCTCCAAAAAGGCCAGGCCGTCCTCTCCTCCACCTTCACCCAGACCCCTGACAGCAGCTCCACAGAACCAGACTGGATCACTGACTTTGTCCAGAAAAAGGCCCAACGAGATCTGGTGACAAAGCTCAAGGAAAGACTGGTTCCAGAACCTTTTACAGTACAGGGACAATATAACATATAACATATAACACTAAATACATGGATTTATACATATTCCTAGCAATACAAGAATAAAAAAAATAAATAAATAAAAATGTGTTAAGTAACATAGGAAAAAAATATTTCTATATTAAATTGAAGTTTGTGATGTGCTTAAAAATATATTCACATAAATATTCACACAAATTATACATTTTGAGAGCACAAGAGGTTGAAGAATTTTACCCAGAAATAGTCTGATGAAGTTAAAGGACAACACTTATCTGGTGGAGGGTCTGCCACCTGCTTGTCTTACAGAGATAAGATGGTATTTTCCTGCCTGAAATGTTTGACATTAGACTTATCTATCTGGCATTTATTCAGTTACAGGAGTATTTATTGCTATAAAATAACTTGAAAAATACTGCATTCTTAATCACCTCACCACCAGTCTCACCTATAAGTTAACCTTGAGGTGCCTCCTTGTCTCCATGGAGATATATATGCTTACTGCTATATTGTGGAACATTTCTAGTAGTAGACTTCATATTCCATCACATTGTATTAGTTATTTATATATTTTTTGTTTTAGTTTGATTACCTGGCCCTTAAACGCATGAAGTGTTTTGCATTCTAAAAAGTTATTAGGACTATTAATATAACAAAAGTCTGTTGACTACTTAGGTCTTAAAGTCACATTATGGTAACTTAAGTCTTTTGTAAAATGTATACTTGTTTCACTTGTTTCAGGATGAAGAAATTAAAAGGAAGAAGAGAGAAGAACGTCTCGAGATGATCCGAAACAATGTTCAGCTCAAGTTTGCCATGAAAAGAAAGGTGAGTAAATGCATTTCTATAATGTTTAAGATAGCACCACAATTCTGCTGACAATGTGTCTTTATTTCTCTGAGGTTGAGGAGGACGAGGCATTTAAACTGCTGCAGTTGAGTAAAGAAGAACCAGCAGAGGGGGCTGGAGACAAAGAGGATGAGGAGTTAGTGGTAGCAGAATATGAAAGTGACGATGAAACAAAATCTAAAAACAGGTAAATTTTTGCTGCAAATATCCATGGGTTTCAGGGTGATGAAATTAACACCGTTGTAATAGCAATTATCAGTTCAAAATGAAATTGAATCTTGAATGAAGAATGGCCAAAAGGAACACAACTATTTCGCAGTAAACATTTATGAAACTAGTGGATAAACAGGAAGTTGAAATCCATGAATAAATAATATATAATTCATAATTTATAATATCCAAAAGGTATATCCTCAAGAAAAGCTCCAAATGTTGAAACTGATCATTTTTTAGTATTAACTTTCCTTATCCCAATATACTCTGTATACCCTTCCACTCCACAACATCTGTATGATTGTACTGTGTCCCCATCTCTGTAGATTGTGTTCACTAATTTCAATAGAAGAATTATTTTAATACATAATTTCATATGGAAGGGCTGGGGCCCATATAACTGTATGTTCAGGTCCCTGTTTTAATTTTATAATTGATTAGACTGAGTTCAGAAATTATTTAGGTTAAATTTTATTTCAAACTGACAAATCATGCTTGTATCATTGAATAGTACTACCTCTTTGCTGAAAAAGAAGGCATTACAATTCATAAAGTTTATTATTTGTTCTCAAAATGTTGTTTCCTTGTTTAGATTCCATGGGCACTGTGATGATGATGACGATGAAGACCTGGTAGAAGAACATGTTACAAAGGTGCAGTTATCTTCATATGTGTAGAATGACTTGGATTATATCAAGTCAAGTTTATATGATGAGTTCCTGTTTCAGATTTACTACTGTAGTCGCACTCACTCTCAGCTGGCTCAGTTTGTACACGAGGTTCAGAAGAGTCCCTTCAGTAAAGACATCAGTGTGGTCACCCTGGGCTCTCGGCAGGTATGTGTATGTAGCCCCCAATAGGAAAACTAAATTTCAGATTCAAATATTGATTTACTTTTTAAAAATAATTTAAACACTTATACTAAACATTACACTTATAACATTTTGTGTATAATTGTACTGTATAAATAATGACATAATGATTATATATACGCACATACAAACGCACACGCACACACAGATACAGACACTATTAATAATGGAAACCACATGTTATTAAATTGAATACTAGCCACTCAACCACTGTGCCACCATTGATAATCTCACTTTACAGCAAAGAAGAGTGCAGTTTCCGTGTTTCCTTCAGGCACTCCAGTTTCCCCCATCAACCCAAAACATGCACAATAGGTCAAAACTTCTAGCTAAGGTAGTTTTAACCAAGACTACCTCTAGAGCACCAGATTGCTACATGGTAGCCCCTCACAGCTCTTGACTGGTTTGGCATTGAAAAAAGGCCATTGAATTGGCCAATTAATTCCTTAGAGGGCTCTAAAATTTGATTAGCTGGCATTGCCCAGTTTTCTCATATGAAAACACTCACGCACCATTCATTTAAATGACAGAATTTATGTATCAACGAGGAGGTGAAGCGTCTAGGGAGCATCCAGCGCATCAACGACCGCTGCCTGGAAATGCAGAAGAACCAACATGGTGCGGGCTAATCTACCATCTATGCTAAAACACAGTCACTATTCATAGTCCTAAGCTTTCCTTTTGTGTTTGTAGAGAAATCTGACCCTGAGGACGGGGTTAAGCGGAGGCGGGGCCCAGCTAAGGCTGTGTGTCCCTTTAACAAAGTGTCGGCTCAGCTGCAGATGAGAGATGACATCCTGGGGAGTGTCCATGACATTGAGCAGCTTCTGAGGCTGGGAAACGAGCTGCACTCATGTCCATACTACGCCACGCGCCTCTCTGTACCCCCCGCACAGGTACGTACCTTTTAGAGTGCAGTTATAAAGGTTGATCTGACAATTAAAGGTACACTATGTAACTTTGTTAGTGAAGGGTATGATACCTGCTTGTCTCCATGGAGTGTTATCTATTTTTTTGAATTAATGGTGTTGATTTGACACCCTACTGTGGAACATTTCAGGCAAAACATTAACATCTTCAAAGTGACAGTTAGGTGGTTGGCCCTCTACCAGAAAAGTTAAATAGCACACCTTTTAATATAACCTCTATATAAGCAACAATGTAAAAAATCTGCCCAAATCAGTATATGGAATATTAGAAATATTGCAAGATGATCTACTTAGAATCATATATTCTCTATATAAGCAATGTGGAAATCAGAAAGTGCTCCTGAAAGTGCTGTCAGAAGTTCTACCATCTTCACTGGACTTCGCTGAACATAGCTCCCCACTGCTCCCCACTGCTCCCCACTGCTCCCCACTATTACCTGCAGAGAGCATGAGACACCTGATCAGTTCCACAGTGAAAACACAAATTAGGGTATTTTTTGTACATGATAGACATTATGTTGAGTCACAAAATCAGCAATTCCAATGCAGCCATATTTCAACTGTATCCCCTGTTATTTGCTTAGTCAGAGTAGTCTTTGCATTGTTGCATGCATTGAGCTAGAGGGCAGGTGAGAATCAATTCTGCAGTGCTGAACTATAATTAGTCAACTCATTGGACTTTCTATTACGACTTTCTATAACTTACATCATTATTAGCTCTTACACTGAAGATAATATAAAATTATATGATACTCATGTAACTAAATAAAAGAAAAAAGTATAATCTGTCGTTATGAAGCTTTTAAGATCCACTTAATATCCCTGTTAAGATTGTATGGTATTTGTCTTCCACAGCTGGTCGTGTTGCCATATCAGATGATCCTCCATGAGGCCACCCGACGTGCTGCAGGGGTCCAGCTGAAGGGCCAGGTGAGTCTTCTCTCTTTCATACTTCTACAGGAGCAGGCTACAGTGTTTTAGATATATCAAAACTATTGATAACATTACAACATTAACAAGAGAAATATCTAGTGTTATTTCCTAAGAAGGGTGTAAATTGAAAAAATATATATATATGTATGCCTTTTTTTATATTTTTTATGGTCTATTCACGTTTTGTGCAAGTTTCAACCATGTTATAACATTGTTCCATCTTCAAAACATGCCTGATGATGTTTTTTTTTTTTTTTTTTTTAATCTTCCCGGCCTTCTTTGAACCCTCCTTACAGTTAGCGGTACAAACCTATCCAAAGCTCAACCCACAAGCCTATGTCACCCATGCTCCCTCACAGCAACTATACATAAATATACAAAAGCATGATACAAAACAATACACTACAACTTCACTAACCTGATGTGCAGTAGTTTCATTAGAGAAATGCATACAGATTGTGTTGTAATAGCGCTCTGAAAGGGAAGTGTCTTAGCATGGGGAGCAAAGGGAGAGAGGACTCAAAGTGGCAAAAGGAAACTGAAATGTTAATATGTTGTGGTGATCGTAATATGTTATGTGTTAGCAGTTAATACCCCAAGTGTAATATCCCTTCTTTAAAATATTGTCTTAGTATGGTTAGCAGAAATGCAAAAGAAAAAAGAAGATTTTTTGTCAGTATCGCTATCATAACTGTGTGCAGGTGGTGATCATAGATGAAGCCCACAATCTGAGTGACACGCTCTCTTGCATCCACAGTGCTGAACTCACAGGAGCACAGGTAAATGGGAAGCCTTCATGGCTTAATACAATATGATCATTTCAGATGTAAGGGGCTGTACCAATTTGGAGGGGGAAAAAATGGAAAAATACTTTGATATTATTGTTTATTTAGGGCTGGGTCCATAAATTTGTATTCTTATGGATTCAATCTAAGCAGTTTAGAAGAATTTGGTGATGTCATGTGAACCTATCCATGGGTTACAAAATGATTAAAAATTGCAGTTAATCAAATTAAATTACTAAGATGTATATTATTTTTTGTTATAGCTTTGCCGTGCTCACTCTCAGCTTACCCAGTATTCAGAGCGCTACAGGTAAGTTTGCCGATATTTTAAATAGCAGGAAAATATGCCATTGTAACTGACCTGTTGTGTGCGGGTGGTTTTGATACTAGGAGCAGACTCAAAGCCAAGAACCTCATGTATATCAAACAGATCCTGTTTGTGATTGAGGGACTGGTCAAGGCTCTTGGAGGTAAGACATTTTTATCTTTGGGTACTATATTTTCAATGTTAATTGTTAGCTGCTTCTCTAACTAGTTTATAGTTCTCAGAAACCCACTGGCACATCACTAGTGTCCACATGTGTGAGGTTTTCAGGTTTGGAACAGCTTTTAGTTTTCTGTTTAGTTTTAGAACATTGCACACACTTTCATCGTAAAGCACAACATAGCATCAGAATTATTATTCCAGGTTTCCCATTGATAAATGTGTGAATATTAGTTGCAGGCAAGGCTCTGAAGTAAGATTTTGTCACAGAGAGCAGCTTTTACGATGTACCCAAACTTTGAAACTCTCTGTATGGAGTTTGCCTGTATGTGTTGGTTTTCCCAGACTTGTCCAGTTTCCTCTGCCACTAAAACATTTCTTTCTGTAGGTAAAGTGGGGCAGAATCCACAAACTCAGACCACCCAGGCTGGTGAGCACAGATACATGAACTTGTGAATACTATACACAACTTGGGTTCACTTATTACTGGACTATTTTATTTCAGGCACAGAGATGCTGACTATTAACAACTTCCTTTTTAAGGCTCAGATCGACAACATCAATTTATTTAAGGTAAGTGCTCTAATCCTGAATTGAACCTTAGTCTTGTGCTTTTATTATTAAAGAGTCTTGAAGAAACTACTACAAACAAGTGTTGATTACGTCGACTTGCATTGTGTCTTGGTGTGTATTTATTTTTAGTTGAATGTCATGTTAACAAGTCTGGTCCTTTTATATATTTAGTATAAGGTCCATTAAAGACTGTCAATTTTTTATTTTTTATTTTAGTTAGACAAAAACCTGCAATAATTATTTGACAAAATTATATTCAAAACCACATAGTAGGGATATATCAGATTTTTGTGTTACAGTTGAACAATTATTGATACTATGACCTGTAATACCCTTAATTATCTTCTATTCACATTGTTTAATAGATCACCGTAACTCTTAATATGTGACCAGCTTTATGAAATCACACTTTTCTGTTAATGTGACTATATTGTACTGAAATGAATTAATTTTGCTTCTAAAATGGTCACATTTGTCATTAGTTTGTATGATTATATTGTGACCTGTACAATCACAATTATATGAATATATGATTAACCAAATATTTTCGACATCCCTACTAGATAGATTTGTTAAAGTCTAAAATGAGATTAAAATAGTTGTGAAAAGGAACACTAACCCTTCTGTCTTTTAGCTGCAGAGGTACTTTGAGAAGAGCCTGATCAGCAGAAAAGTAAGCCTTATTCCTGCCATCTGTACCCATCTCTCAATCTAATGCCATTGCTTTACGCATAATTCTGCCTTGTTTGCTCAGCTAGGGGGCTTTGTGGAAAAGTATGCAGGCTCAGGAGTGAGTGTGCACACCCAGAACCCCAACAAGGAGAACCACCGCACAGATGGACTCAACCGCTTCCTCCAGAGCCTGCATAGCAACCATTCACAGCCAGGTCTATACAAGCTAATTCTCTATGGCTTAAAGATACACTGTAACTTTTGTGGTCCCTGCCTTTTTGTCTCCCTTGGGGATGTTCCTGTTTTGCCTGGAATGTTTCACAACTATGGCATTAAACTTATTTATCTTATTGCTACAAGATGTTACAGGTCAGATCTGTGGACAACTGACCTTTCTCACAGTAAAAATGCCTTTTTTTCAAGAGGCTTTTATTAATAAAAAGCACTCATAGTTGAGTAAATGCTAGATAGATATGTTTTATTCCACACTTTGGAACATTTTAACAAAGCCATGACAAGAATACACAAGAAGAATAGTTAACTTATCAATTGGAAGTGTTTCACAGACAGAACTTGTCACTTAAGTCAGTGATTATAATGATTATTTGATGTTTTTGTATTTGTCAGCACATATTCCATGTATCTCTTTGTACAGTGCCCTCGTTAGAACAACAGGGGGCAGCAGAGTCCGACAGAGCTCTGTCCATGTCTCCCATGATGCAGATGGAGGGCTTCTTCATGACCCTGACCAACAGTAACACAGACGGACGCGTGGTGCTGCACAGACATGGTACTACCCAGAAAATACAGTCTAAGATGAACAGTAGGCTGAAGGAAATTTTGAGAATGTTCATTATAATCATATAGAAAAATACATTCATTTTGTAGTTTAGACTTAAACAACACTGCAAAACTTTCAGTATACTCAATTTTGATACTAGGGAATAGACTCAATACCCAATGCTGACTCCAAGAGGCCCTATTTTTACTTCCCGGAAGATGTTTGGAAACAGGCGGATGACGACTTCCGGTGTAGTTGCGAACACTGGGCATGTATGATAAAACCATGGATTCAGCAGCAGCAGTCTTCACAACCTGCCAAACTTTCCATGGGGGACGTGACTCTAATCTCATCTCCGATGACACTTACAGGCAGTTTTTTATAATTTTTTTTATTTATTAAGTTAGACAAATTATAATACAGAAATTATTAAGCAATTTATAAAAACAAAAAAGAATACAGTGACATCTGGATGAAGAAAAACAGGCCATTTTGTCAGTTACTACCGCCAACAGAGCCCGCCGGAATCATCATCCACGTGTTTCCAAACATCTTCAGTTTTTTTGACACAAGTGTGAATAGAGCCCACACCACAATCCCTTTAGATAAAAGGGATTTTAAACATTAAATCCTAGTACTCTCTTTTACATTATTACACGTGGCCTTAAATCTGTGTAATCCCTCAGTCATTCAGGTATATTCCATAGTGGTTCTAGTATATGTGGTCTTATACTTGTTCTGGTACAGCTCAAGATCATTCTAAAGCTATGCAGGAAAGGTTAATTTCTGTCCTATAAATCTAGGTCCAATACTAGTTTTAGTATCGGTTAGTATCTAATTTTTGATAGATTTGACAACCCTACCATGGAAATAGATATGTTTTGTGCTATATAGTGTGGAACAATGTTTCCTCCAGGTCAGATAACAGGTTTGTGGAGATGCAAGCCCGTTCAGAAGAAAGACACATGTTTTTTCTGTTTTTCAATGCAATAAAAACAACCACAAGCATGACTAAAATTTATGCGGTGGGCTTTAAATAAAGTAGCTCTCTTCTGTTATAAAACCTCTTTTCCAGCATATGTCATGCAGTTTAGTCTGTTTATAAAATTAAAACATACAGAGAGCAGGTCACATTGTATAATTTTTTTAATTGTGTAAATTATTATTATTATTATTGTGTAATTATCTTTTTATTTTTTTACCTGGTCTATGGCCTATCAAACTGATTAGTATGGCAAATCACTCACAGTTATTTTGGTTAAACATTGGTGTATTTAGTGTACCTATACCTATGTCATTAAGACCAAAAATTCCATCCAAAATGCAGGGCAAATTTGTGCACAAGGAAAAAAGGTCATCCTTCATTTATTAAAATAAAGGTGTTGAAAGGAACTGGAATTACCTCTACATGTGTCATATCTGTTGCCCGTATCCAAACAGGAAGTAAAATTCACCAATAAAAAAAAACGACAAAACTTGGCAAGATTTATAGTAAAATTTAAAAAATGTTAATTATGTTTTGTGAAAAAGTACTGTAACATACTGTGACATACTTCTAAAAAAAATGAATCTGTTGTTTTAATGTCTCAGTGATAGATATAGGATGAGTCTGATTGGTCTGTGTTTGTGTGTGCAGGCACTCTGTCAGAGAGTAGTGTGAAGTTCCTGCTGTTGAACCCAGCCGTGCACTTTGCCCAAGTGCTCCGAGAAGCTCGCGCTGTGGTCATCGCTGGGGGCACCATGCAGCCGGTACCAGAGCTGCTTTGGAACTGCTTTTAGTTTATTAAGGAAACACATATTTATAAGTCATAAGTTTGTCATGCTTTTCCCCCTAAGATGTTTAATGTATCTATTTTTTTTATTTCTTTCAACCCCCATAACATAAGAAGGAAATGACAATTTGACAAATGCTAAAGAACATCTGTTCACATATGCAGTTGACTAAATATTCAATAAAAATAGTAGGACTGTAGTTGACTAAAGAAATTCTTGAACCACTAAAGACATGTCCTGCTGATTTGTCAACTAAAAAAGGGGCATGGCAAAAGCTCTCAAAACTATTACACATCTATATGTGTGTGACCCAAACTGCACTCACAAGACTACACCTGCACAGGATTTCATACAAAAACAACCATTTATACTGAAAACGTACTGGAAAAGGATTAAGAATAAAGACAGATTAAACTTGAATCATGAGTTTAATATGTTATTTTTTCAATTAACTGTCAAAAATACCAAATCATCAGCTGATTCACTCTCACAATTTTTTTTGCTGTTGGCCCATATAAATCCCTATAATCTAAATAAAATGCATAGTTGACCAATACAAAATTTGGTCAACTAAAACTAAACCAATTATAATATTCCGTAAAAGACTTTTTTTTTTTTTAAACAAACATTTTGTCATTGCCTGCAGTTACCATATTTTCTTTTCCAACTTGAAAAATGACAAAACATCCCATCACTAAATATGTGCTTTCCTTTATTATGTGAAGACGCACTATATAACTTTTCTAGTGAGAGGACTGCCAGCTACTTGTCACTATGGAGGTGTTATTGCATTTCCAGGAATATTCCGAGGTAAGGCACTAAATGCAATGTACCTGTACAATATGCTTCGAAAAGCATATATCTTTCGCAGTTGTTCTGGTGTCTCACGGAGTTAAATTAGTATAATGCTGTACCGAGGAACATTCGAGACAAAGCTGCAACATCTCCATGGATTCAAGCATATGGCAGACTCTCCATCAGAAATGTTATATAGTGCTCCTTTTAATTCTATATATGTTTATAGGTTTCAGACTTCAAACAAGAGCTCCTCTTCTCTGCTGGAGTGGAGGAGGGACGAATTGCTGAGTTTTCATGTGGTGAGCCATTTTTAAACCCACAGATATATTTAGCCTTCAATATAAATACACTTTTGAATATTCTGTCTACTTTGTGCAGGTCATGTGATCCCTCCTGAAAATATTCTACCCATAGTCCTATGCAACGGTCCCTCAGGTCAGGAGCTGGAGTTTACGTTTCAGACCCGAGACTCTCCAAGCATGGCACGTGGTATTTACTATCAAATCAAACCTACCTTAGTGATACTTTGCTCTGTTACTAAAGTTACACTTTAACCTGATCTGATTCTCACCAATTTTTTTTTTTTACTTAGTTTGAACTACAACAGGTGAGATGATTTGAGCTCTTAAAAAAGTCTCTCACACATAAAATTACACTCACGAGCTAGCTAGCATCAACCAACAGTTTTTCAGCTAGTCACTCTGAGCCCTTTTATTGAAAATCAAATCTCTAAACAGGACCATGAAAGCTGAAAATATGTTTAAATCTATTTTGTATTTTGTCTTGAGTTTTCAGATTCTTGACTTTTCTTAACACTTGTTTGGCACTGTTTGCTAATGTGTGCATTGTGTCCCCATGCAGAACCCCCAGTGTGATGCCAATGCAAAAGATCTAAAGAAACACTATAATATACTTAATATACTGTTTTGTTTGTGTCCAGATGGATGAGACCGGTCGTGTCCTGTCTAACATCTGTACCGTGGTGCCCGGTGGGGTGGTGTGTTTCTTTCCTTCCTATGAGTATTCAAGGAAGGTCATCTCACACTGGGAGACCACTGGAACACTGGGTCGTCTGGCTAACAAGAAAAAGGTGAGGGATCGCAAGCATGGATGCGTAATTACATTTTCTGTTTCTTCTGGGTTTTTGGTTTTGGAGTTGTGTTTTGTATAAATTATTCTGCATATTTATGTCTCATACTATGCTTTCTTGGGGGTATTACGTTGTAGATCATTAGCTTTTGTTTATTATCAAAACTGCAGAAATGCCTCTGTGATATTTCAGTTACTTGCTTTTATCCGTGAAAAACCTATAGGTGGTAGGTTAAAACAGAAATTTTCAGAGCACTTAAGTCTCCAATGGGTAAACTAACAATAAAGAAACACTGTTATAACCTGGTTAAAAGCTCATAAAAATAAAGTTTACATAATGTTCTGTTAAAGTGCCTTGTGTTTCACCTTCACTCATTCTGATTTTAGTGTTCAAATCGACCTCAGCCTGGAGTGAATTCACTTTCTTATGCATAAAAGTGACATATAATTTAATAGATATTTCTTTAAAGGTCCTATATTATTCAAAATGGCTTTAAGCCAGGTTAGAATGTTGTTACCCTAATAAAAAGCCTGGAGTTGTGTTTTCTTAAGTAATCTTTTATTATTAGTCTCTCTACATCTCCAAGGCTCAAAAAGCTTGAAATGTCATGAAGCAGTCATTTTCATGTTAACGGCTACTTTTTTCCCCCTTTATTTCAGTAGAGCTTGGCATATCCAGGGCTGAAATCATCCAAATGATTTTAGTGTATGTATATGGAATTTAAAAACACAGTGGAGTACTTCCCGTATTACCAGATTACATCCCAAGGTGAAGGGTGTGTTTTTAGTTTGAGAAAAGAACTCAACCTCAATATGCAGAATTTGTGTTGTGTTGAACATATATGAATGAAAACACAAAACACAACTCCAGGCATGTTTTTGTTGAGGAATAGATCAGAAAATAGGTCATTTAAGTTGTTGCTGTGTTAACAAATTTGATCTTTTGTCTTCCCAGATTTTCCAGGAACCAAAGAAAGCTAACCAAGTGGAGCAGGTGCTTAGTGAGTTTTCCCGTTGTATCCAGGTAAGAGGATGCTTTGACTTCTGACCTCTTAGTGGCCATGTATTTGCATAAGGTTAGCACATACAACGGTTTATCTTGAACAGAGATGTGCTCACGATGGGGGAAGTCTCACAGGAGCCCTGCTGTTTTCTGTCGTTGGAGGAAAGATGAGTGAAGGCATCAACTTCTCTGATGATCTGGGAAGGTTTGCATCAGTTTTCCCACATAGTGTATTAGATGAGTTAATTGCCATTACTTCAATACCGAGGCATATGTATAAATTAGGGCTGCAAGAAATGTATGATCCTGATTTTAATTTGAATTTAAGTTGAGGTGGCTCGGGCATCTGTTCCTGATGCCTCCTGGACACTTCCCTCGGGAGGTGTTCTGGGCATGTCCCACCGGGAGGAGACCCTGGGGAAGACCCAGGACACACTGGAGGGACTATGTCTCTCGGCTGGCCTGGGAACGCCTCGGGGTCCCCCCGGAAGAGCTGGAGGAAGTGTGCATGGAAAGGCAAGTCTGGGAGTCCCTGCTTAGACTGCTGCCTTCGCGACCCGGCCCCAGATAAGCGGAAGAAACTGGATGGATGGATGGATTTTTAATTTGTGATTCGATTTTGACATGAAAGTTGACAGGTTCTGTAGCATTTCAGAGAAGACTGGAATATTAACATTAGCTTAACTGATACAACAGTGTTTGTAGAGGTCAAAAATAGTTCAAAAACACACATTCTCACTGTGAACCTCTAGCTCCACCTACTTTGGAAATGTTTAATTCCATACTGTGAAACATTCTTAGTAGAAGCAATAACACAGAGACAACCAGGTGCCGGACCCACTATCAGAAAAGTTAGACCTTTTAATGTGTAGTGCATTTTCCTCATCAACCCAGAACATACACAATAGGTCACATCTTCCAGCAAAGGTATTCCTACCAAAACTAGTTCAAGATCTGGAGAAAGCTGTGTAGAGATTTCTGTTTTTAAATATATGAATACAATGCAGAGAGCAGAGAGCATTCATATTGCCCCTGCCCCCATCTGTAATGACATAGCAAACCCACATGTCTGCTTGCACTTATTCTCAGGTGTGTAGTGATGGTGGGAATGCCTTATCCGAACATCAAGTCCCCAGAGCTGCAGGAGAAGATGGCCTATCTCGACAAACATCTGGTAATTCCCCTGAAATATCGGTTAGCTAATACACTAATTACTATAAAGACTAATTAAAATCCACCTGTCAATATGTCAGCCTCATACTGGAGGGAGGAGTCCTGGTCAAGCACTCATCGAAAACCTCTGCATGAAGGCTGTCAATCAGTCCATAGGTAAATGTCCAAGGCATAATTACTACACTGTCTAGAAATGTACATCCTGAATAGCCTTAGAATGATCTTGAGCTGTATCAGATCATGTATAAGAGCACATAGACTAGTATACACCCATGGACCACTGTGGGATATACCTGGGCAACTGATTACACAGATATAAGGCCACATGGTAATAGAAAAGAACGTACTACAATTTGAAGTTAAAAACAGTTATTGTTGTTTATAACGCAAATCTATTTTACAACTAATTACCACACACTACTGTAAATGGACAACAGTAGTAAGAATACAGTGAATGCATAAGGCAATTCTCAACTGTCTTGTACAAATAAAGTCATACAGTATAGAAATACCTTACATATATATCCTGTATTTCTACAAAAGCTGTTGTCCTTTTAGAAATTACATTGAAGTATGGCACCATCAAGTTCAAAATGTTGGCATCAGTATCAGTAGTGTCAATTCTATTCAGACTAAATATGACTTTATATTATCCTGAGAGTACAGCAGTGCAGTGTCCTTAGCTAGGATACAACTGCCTAAATCAAATCTGTGTTGATGTGGGGGAGTTTGTGGTGTAGTTTTGAAGGCTTTCTGACCCTTACTCCACTTATGTATGCAGCTCTTGTGCAGATAGTCACAAAGATTGTTTCCACTGGAACCATCCAGACAGTGCAGAGGTTGCACTGAGATGTTCCAGCCTGATTCATAACAGATTTGGTCCCTTTTTTAGTACTGATACCTGCTCAAATGAGTTCTAATTAGTACTTTATCTCAGTTTCAATACTTTTGACAACCATAATTGTGATATTAGCCTAATCTTAGAAAACCTGGTTGGAAAGACTCCATAATAAGAAATCTAAAATCCAAACATACTTCATTAATACTTTTAACCATGATACACAGTTTTATGTGAATGAAAGAATGAAATTGAAAACTAAAACTTATCACTTCTGTTGCTCATAATTGGGGATGATATTTTTTTCTTGTCCAATCCGGACAATTAATGATTTATCCTCAATACAAAACCTCACTGTATCTCTTTGCTATAGGAAGAGCCATCCGCCACCGTGGAGACTATTCCACCATAGTCTTATGTGACAGGCGCTACTCCCGTTCTGCCACTCTGTCTAAGCTGCCCTCGTGGATAAAGGAGCGCACCTGCACACATGCATCATTTGGCCCGGCTTTTGCTGCTCTGAGAAAGGTAAGTCCAGCCCTGTTTAACGTGCATTCAAGAGGTTTTGGTGGGATAGTACCTCTGGTAAATATTTATCATAGTTTTACATCAGTTAAGTGGCAGGTTGTGGAGAAAAATACTTAAGAAAAGTAAAAAAATACAGGAAGTGGCGATGAGTTCTGAAATGAATACGACAAAGGGATTTTTCTATCGTCTTATGTTTATTTGCCATATCATAACTACTGTGTAATTTTTGGCCCTTGTTAACGTTACGGTTGCTAGGAAACAGAATTGGTATTACCTCTATTCATGTCACTTCTGATGCCCAAATCTAACTAGGAAACTCCACCAAAATTAAAAAGGTTAATGCTAGAATGTTGAGTCAGGATGGACAGTCTACTACAATTGATCATATGAAGTGATTCTGTATCCTAGTGAAATGTATTATGGTTAAGATTAGGAAAAGTATTATGTATACTTAATAAGTGAAATGAGTAAAAAAAAAGTCACCTGCTGCCTCATCTCAATTTACCCCATAAAGTAGAACATAAAACAGTAAAAAATAGCATAACATTAGTTGTTCATAGCAACATTACCAGATTAACTGATTAAAATAGATGAAACAAAGTAAAATTTGTAATAAAATTTTAAATATAATGACCAACTATGTTTGAGAGCAGAAATACTCTGACACACAGGATTCATTCATGTTTGTGTTCCAGTTCTTTGTAGAGAAGAAGAGGCAACAGCAGCAGAAGTAACTGGCTCAACAGGACATAATGATTCAAATTCACTTATGGTTAGCTCTACTTGTGTATGTGTTGTTGAAAAATTGCAATATGAGAAATATAAATGTTTATTGTTCAAGCAGTATCAGGGAATGAGAATTCTTTTATATACAGTACATTCAAGTCATGTGCACAGCGGAGATCTCTATAGTATCTTATATAGGTTTAGCTTCTTAAAGGAACTGTATGTAGCCTGTGCTCTTAACGTTTTAAAACATTTAAAACAATCACAACTGAACCAGGGTTGCCAGTACTTTAACATTCTTGAATTTGGACAGCATGTAGTGCAGCAGAGGCACAGATTAATGATTGGCTGTTGCTACTGGGGTTTAGGTAGTAAGGATTCAGATTAGAGATTCCTTATAGGTTTAAACCCACTAGATTTCAGGATTGAAACTGCAACCCAAATGAGAGGCTAATCGGTAATAATCTTGAGAACAAAAATACCAAATTACAACATAAACAATTTGGCCATCATGTCCAAATAAATTTAAATGAAATTAAATAAATAATCTTGCATACAGTTCCTTTTAAATTCTTTTGAAATAAAAAGGTTAAATTGTTAATTTTGCATGATTTAAATGTTAATAAATGAATTTGTTCTCTATTTATACTTTTTGCATTCTTATTAATTTTTGAAATATTTTACACAGATCTTTTTTTATATGATTACGGTTCTGTGAAAAAATAAAAACATGTTAATATCTTGTATGTAAAGTGTCCATGTTATTGGCAGTCCATAGTGCATAGTTTTGCTATGCCTCCCAATCATCATCATCGCCTGTGGTGGTGTGAGGAGCGGGTGGTGGGGGGATCACGTCTGACATTCGGGCAAATGCACCTCCGCTACCACTGGGGGTGTCACCTGCTTCTCCTCCAGCCGGGCCCTTCCCAGAGATGCCTGAAGACAAAACTTTTAAAGTTTGTTGCCAAAATGAACTTTTAAACATCAAATTTAAAAATCCAATTTTAATCTGGTGAAGCCAAGATCTAATAAAACCATTATTTAGTTACAGTAACTATGATCTGTCTCCACAGAGACAATCAGGTGGATCTGTAGAAAGGTGACCATGCTTGCACTTAAGAATGCATGTTTTTCCAAGGTAATAAAATACTGTAGACAATTTCAGTCAAAGCAATATTATCCATGGTGACTCCTCCACACACACCAGAAAAGTTAGAGTGCATCTTTAATCATTTAACATGGCTTGATCAGTCTTCTTCCACATGTTCCTTGTACAGGACTTTTACAAGGTCTCATCTCTTCCCTATATATTTTTTATGTTTTACATTTAGTCATTGTTTTTTCCCTTGTTAATTCTAGTTTATTTAGCTTTCATTAATAAATATATTACATCAACAAAACAAAATAATCCAAATGCACACAGCACCTTTCCTGCGCATGGCAAGCTTGTTGAAGAGATCTGACATGAAGTCTCCTCCAGTCATGGCCGACCCCACTGCTGAAAAAGAGGCGGGGGAGAGAAAGAAGAAGAGAGGGAGGAGAGACAGGCAGGGAGAGAAAGAACAGGATAGAAAGAGGAGAGGGAAGGGTAGAAGAATTATTTAAATGGCTATTTTTGGAGTCGGATTGTCAGACTGAGTCATTCACAGTGCACTAACTCAACGGAACACATCATGTCAACTAGACCCCTGATTTTGGGACAAGGAGAAAGTTGATCTAGAATACATAGTAATGCTTATGATTAAATGCAACAATACAATATATGTACATCAGTGTTGACTAGCTTAATGTTTATAAAAATCTGCCAAATCTTTGACATAAATAAGTAATATATCAAAAATGAATGAATCCCATAGACTCATAATCCCTCTCACACAGTTACCTTGTTCCTGCTCCTTCTGCTTCTTCTTCTCCATCTTCCTCTCCTTCACATTCCGGAGTTTGGCCTTCCCGATCCCGCCAGCGTTACGGATGGACTCCAGCAGACTGGCCCGACCGTCAGAGGGCTGCACCACCTCAGACGGTGCACCAGATACTGGGCCTACACAAAGAAAGGGAGGGGGGAAGTTTACATAGTTTACATGGGATAGGAAGGAGAGGACAAAACTACACATACAACACATTTATGTAAACCAGACACTATTCAACTGTGGTATTCAAGAAGTGATAACAACAGCTAACACTAACCCTTGTTGCAAAGCATATAACCATTGTGAATTTGTACACATGAAAAACATGTGGTGTCTATGAAGCATTCAAATACCCAGAGGTGGGTAGAGAAACCAAAATTTTTACTCAAGTAAGAGTAATGTTACTTCCAAATAATATTATTATTATTATTTATTTAAATATAATTAGAAGTAAATGTAATTGGAAGAACACAACTTTTATTACTGAACAGAATCTAGTATTTTCAAAGGATAAATAAACAAAATAAAATCTAAAGAAACATAAATAATCAAATCCTTTAAGATCATTAATTTAATATTGCCAAATCCTTTGTCTCCCAAGCATCATGACACCAGCTTATTAGACATTTTAACAGTTCAAATAAACAATAACTGCATGTGCTGAAAAAGAACTTCGGCACATTGCAAGTTTGATTTTAGATGGATACCTGAGGGAGGCGTGCGTGAGGCTTCAGGGGGCAGGTCTGCAGGTGGAGGGGGTGGGGGAGGTGGAGGAGGGGGTGGGGCTCCAGCAGGAACAGCAGGAGAGGAGGCAGGCTCAGGAGGGGGAGGGGGAGGAGGGGGCGGTGGAGGATGGACACTCGGCTGCAGTGAAAAATCTGAAATACAAAAGTACAAAAATACTATGATGATAATAAAGAAAAACACTTCATTTGTCTTTAGACAATAGAATGTGATTTTCACTTTCTACAAATCGTAGAACTTTCTATTATATTACCATGTCATTTTATATCTCTTTAATCCCGGAGTCATCCAGGTAGGTTACATAGTGGTCCGTACTAGTCTATGACCATATACGTGTTCTGATTTAGCTGAAGATCATTCTAAAGCTATTCAGGAAAGGTTCATTTCTTTCCTGTGAATAAACTTTTTTTTAAAAGCCGGCTCAAATCAGTATCTACTTTTGATGTCAGTTATTAGTATCCATGAGTATTTCAATATTTTCAACAACTCTAGTCTGATACCAAACTGATGAATTATGATACATACAGTAGTGACTAAGAACATCTAAAAAAGTAATAAATATTCAATACATTTGTAGCAGGGGTGTTCACACATTCTAAAACAAAAGGTAAATGTTGTGCTGTAGTTGAATGCTGTTTACCAGGCAAATCGGCGTCCACAGAGAAGGAAGGCAGCTCTGGGATGTTGTGGGTGTTCCCAGACGGTGCGAAGCCGGGGCCCAGATCTGCACTATAGGATAGATCGTCTGCAATGCCAGGCAGGTCAGGCAGGTACATGGGTACCACGAGCTCTGGCACCTGGCCCAGGTTTGGCACATAGAAGTAGCTCTCTGCAGCCTGGGTACAGAGAACAGTTATACAGATGAAAAATATCAGAAATATATGAAATGACACAATTTTTTATTTTTTTTTTCTACCATGTTATAACATTGTTCCTTCGTCAAAAATATGCCTGAAGAGGTTTTAGATATCATCCATGCATGTTTTTTAAGCAATTTCTCCCAGACCCTGTTTGAGCCTCCCTTCCTAAGATACAAAACTGAGAATGACGTTATGAGTTATTACCCCATAGAAGTAAAATACCTCTTCTTTAAAATAACATAGCACTGAAGTAACAACAAACATGTGACTATATTGGACCTCTGTTTAAGGTCACTGGAGGCAGTGACAGAATGGACAAAATGCATCCTTTTCTACCACTCCGCTGGCAGGAGCAGAGGACTCACGCACCTGCCGCTCCAGCTGCTCTCGCTTGGTGATAGACAGAGGAGCGTCAAATGGCTTTTCCTCTTTCTCAGTTTCCAGAGCTGTGTGAGTCTTTGTCACTGCTCCAGCCAGAGGGTCCAGCAGAACATACTTCTTGTATCTGCAACATACAGAGAAAGTAGGAATGAGAGGAAGAAGGGAGGCAACACACAGAGAGAGAGAGACTGCGAGAGAGAGGTTGACAAGTGAGAGAAAGACCAGAGGGTATAGCAACACGTAATTCTTATACCTATAACACACAGAAAAAGAAGGAAGTGATGAAAGAGAGATGGAGGGATAGACAAACAAACAGAGAGATAAAGCACAGAGATAGGCTGGGCATGTACTTCTTACACCTATAACACAGAAGGAAAGAAAGGAAAATGAAAGGAGAGATGGAGGAAAAGAGCAAAAGAGAGGTGAGGGGTAGGCCAGAGGCTCCAGCAACACACACTTCTTATACCTATAACACGCAGAGAAAAAAGGGACGGAATAAGATGGAGGGATAAATAAGAAATGGAGAAAGAGAGGAGAGAAGAGAAGAGACAGCGCAAAAGAAGTGAGACCAAAACATGCTTATTATACCAGCAACATAATGGAAGAAAAGCGAGATGAAAGGAGAGATGGAGGGAGGGAGACCAGAAGTTCCATCAACACATACTTGTTACACGAACAATACACAAGGAAAAAAAGGAAGTTGATAGGTGAGATGGAGGGAGGGAGAGAGAGAGAGAGAGAGAGACTAACAAAGAGATAGAGAGAGATCAAGAGACAGAGTCAGATAGAAGGAGAGAGAGACAGGTGACAACAACATATAATTCTTATAGGGAGACGAACAGAGAGAGATGGAGAGAGATAGAAACCAGAAATAGAGAAAAAAAGAAATGTGATTAGTGTGCTGTTTGTCTCACAGGTTCTCGGTGGTGTTGAAGAGCAGGAGCGAACTGACCGAGGAGATGTTGCGTGGCAGACTGCCCAGCCCCTCCTCTGTCTCATCCTCAGACCTCTTCTTATTGTTCACACACACAGGGAAATACATGAGCCGCTCCTGGGACAGAGGGGAAGAGAGAGACAGAGAGAGGGCGATAGAGATAAAGATGCGAGAGTGCAAGAAAAAGAGACAGAAAGGGAGAGGGTGGGAGGGACAGAGACATAGAAAGCAAGAATGGAGATAAGAAAGAGAAAGATGTGTTTGTGTGTGTGAGAGAGAGAAAGATAGAAATATGAAAGTGAGAGACAGAGAGAAATAGAGATACAGAGAGAGAGAGATGGGCAAAATGTCAGCAAATGTTGAAAAAGACACGTCCGAAATGCCACCAAAGTGCTCTCCTAACACAGAGACAATATTTGATAGTCTGGAAAAGAGCGCCTGGGAGTGGTGAATAATGCATTTCTGTGCCGGAGGAAAATGGACTTGTTTGTTTCAGGTTTTAGAAAATATGTACACAGGAAAATGTACAAGCTTCTCCTAGGTTTGATCAAATAGTGAAGGTAAAAGGAATCCTAAGTGATGTAGGGACAAAAATGTGAAGATTGTGTTAAGATTAGATTAGATACAGAGCAAGGGCCTATAGAACTCTATGGGAGATTCACTGTTTTTGAAAGAAATATCCAAACTTATGATATTAAGCTGAACCTTATCATTATATGTTTGGGATTGGCTCCACAACTTAATCCTTAATTAAAGTAAAGTAAAGTCCTTAAGTAAAATGCTGTCAACTAAGCATGAGTTTTATGAAGCTAATATGTAAATATAATTTGACTATTGTTTATTGTACTGACAGAGAAGATGTTGAACAGTTTCATGTGAATAGGCATACTAATTGGAGAGATATTAACCATAAAACAAGGTAAAAAATATCTGCAATCTCCAATTCAATTTTAAAGCTACAAAACATATGGTAGCACTTTCAAGCACAATAATAATAGTAATATGTAAATAGCTTAATGTCATGGTATTTAAATGGTATTTACTCAGTCAAACAGGACATGTCATTTTCTGGAGATATAATTGATCCTAAGCCAGTATGAAGACTGAAAATGACCAGGACACAGATCTGAAAAATGCCACTAGCTCAGTTATCCTATTTCCAATGCAATGTTCTTCCTATTGCCATGGTAATGTATTGTAAAGGTAACTGTGGTAATCATATGCTATCAAGCTTAAGAAATTGAGCGTTATTAAGAAAATTTACTAAACTAATTATGCACATGAAATATTGTAATAAATAATATTATTTATAAATGTCTTTACCAAACATTGTGATTTAAAACTTACTTGAAGGGCTTTCTCATCAAATGGTCTGATCTTGGATTGTATTCGGTGTCTTGGGCGAGGCTGTGAGGAGGGGTCTGTTGCTCCACTAAAGATGGAGGAGTAATCGGCTAATCGATCTGGAGCAGGGTATTTGGCACTGGAGAACACCTAAAAACAAGGTCAAATTAAACAGAGCTATCAGTCTGTACAGGGCTAATGCAGTATACAGTGTGCAAAGCCACCACAGTGTAGTGTGCAGGTGTAGTAGTGCAGTGTGTAGAGGGTTACCTTAGTGGCCTTCTTACTGCCTTTGATCTTGTCGACTCGGGCCTGGGCCAGTCTGATGCGGTCCGTGACGCTCTGCAGCTGCTGCCTGTTCTTCTCCACACTCTCAGACACTCTACAAAGAGGAGACATGTTTAAACAGGATGTTGATGGGCAGGACAGCCAGACAACCCTGGCAAATTTGGCTACAGAAGTAATCCAAAAATGCTGATTTGTCTTCTTATGTACATTAATTTCTTGAGTCCTTTTTAAAACCAATACAGTAGAAGGTGTATTTACCTTGTTGACATGTTTCAGTTGCTATCAGCAAGTTATTTTCAGAACTGTCACTGGTGTTGGTAGTGACGTGCTGCTCCTTTCACACACCTCCAGAGACAACTGGGTGATGAAGCGTGGTCAGTCTGAGTGACCTGTTAGGTCCATCAGGCTGACTATGCCTACAGGAAGTAACAACAGCTGACACCACCAACACGTCACCATGAACACCAGTGAAGATGGCTTGCAGCTAGCAGCCGAAACATGTCAACAAGATAAATACACCTCCTACTTTATTGTCTTTAAAAAGAACCCAAGATGTTAAGCCTATACAAGTAGTTTATAACCACCACTTTTGAGTGAATGAATAATGCAATGATAATATCAAAAATGTGCTATTTTAAGTGAGAGAAAATGTGTATTGTTTTTTTTAGAGGGACTCTTTGGCCCAAAACAGAACCTGTTGTTTTTAGAAGGGAAAACTGTGCAGTAGGTCATCTAAGTGTCTTGACAATCACAGCGAAGGGGAAAGAACAGACAGCAGACCATAGGAAAGCATGGCACGACTGGAGGAGAACCTCAAATACTGAAGTCTAACAATTACTGTGAGGAGGAGTGTAAATATAAAGGCACGGTATTCCTATATTAGACTTATCACAAATGCATGCAATGATAACTAATGGTACCTTTGAAAAATGTCTGTGGATATGTTCTCCAGGTATACTAATGCATCTGCTATCTGCAGTATAGCCTCCTCTCTTCTCACATCCGGCTGGATAAGTGGCACAGAGTACACCTGGCCCTCCAGGGAGCGCTTCTCACTCATCCTGAAACAGAACAGTGCATGCTTTTTATTGCAAGATACAAGCATGCTTTAAGTAGAGATAACACAGAGGTAGAGAGCTCAGAGAGGCTCATGCTCCATCACACCAAAGGGATTACATATAGAATCATGGAATATATATTAACTATTAAATTTGTATTCTGTATCACACACAGTACACACACAGTACATACACAGTACACAAACAACAAGGACAAGAACAATAATAATAATAATAATAATAATAATAATAATAATACATGACACTTGTATAACGCTTTTCCTGACATTCAAAGACTTCAAAGTTTCACACAATACAAGAGAGACAAAAGACAAATGAATAATAAAAATGAGATGCAGTTATTTGAAGGCAGTTTTGAACAGATGACTTACACACACAGTACATACACATTACACACACTATAATCATCGCAGGAGTGCAGATGCAAAGCCACAATCCTGATGCACAGACTATCTCACATCAGCATCTGACCATCACATGACTCGTGTCAAGTACACGCTAAATAATTCTTAAAAGACTAGAATGCCAAAATAGGTCAGACAATTTACGAGTAAATACGACAATCAAATAACGATGACAACACAAAATATGAGGGCACTGCTATCCCTTTCATGTTTTACCCAATTCTTTTTCATAATCCACAGTCCAAAACGTTCACTACTTGAAGACAAAATTAAGTGTCATGTTCAGACACTTTTTCAGATGAAAACTCACCTGACCATGAAGAGAACTCAGGTATAATGGCAATTTAAACAGCTTAGTTTAGAAAATCCAGGCCCCGCTTCCCTTCTATCAACAAAGCTGTGAAAACATCGGCGCTGACTTCCGCGTTGATCTGACACGTGACCACGTCTGATGCGTTTAAGTGCTTACACAATACTCGTATGTTTTGTGAGTAACTCCTTCGTTCAGTAATATCGTATAAAACGGTATTGTACACTTGTGTAACGTCACATATTTTGATTCACACATGGTTATTACCAGTTTTGGCTCGATATAAGCACATAAACTAATTATGTTTGACGCTTTAGTTTTTAGTTGTTTTTTGTTTGTTTGTTTTTTTCACAAACCATAGACCATGAATGCACCCCAGTGGCGCCACTGACCTGTGGATGTCATTTGCAAACTCTTTGTTGTTTTTTTTGTTAGTGTTGTGTAAGTATGTAACAAATATACATTATTTTTATTTATAATTTCTGCTTTATATTTGTGTTCTGTTTTTAGTACTTAGTACGCGTTATACCTTATGGAACTTTGTGCATGTAGCTGCCTAGCTTGTTTTAGGCTAACCAGGTTTTTGCGTGCACTTTTAATCATTTTTTTCCCGCCGACCATGGGAAGACAGTTCGACTACAAAGTCGTCAGTAGAGCGCGCTGTTGCTTTGAACATGCCTCTGCTCTTGGCTCGCCACCTCCTCCATCCCTGTACCTCCCTCCTCCTCCCGGGCACATCTGGATCGGGCTTCGCTCCTCAGCACCGTTCAGCGCAGTGAGAGAGAGAGAGGCTGGGCGGGAAGGAACGGAGGGCATCGGCTCCTTCATCATCCACAACCGACTGAGCAGCACCGCGGAGAAGCACCGGAGGACACCCCACCTCACCCCGCATTTCCTCTGCGCGCCCGAACCAAGCTGTCGGTCCACCTTTACCCCCTCTCCCCTCTCTGTTCTAGGCTATGATGAGCTCCAGTCTGTTGGAAAACCCGGTGCAGGCGATTCTGTACCTGCGGGAGCTTACGACCATCGTGCAGAACCAGCAGAGCCTTATCCAAACCCAGCGCGCTCGGATTGAGGAGTTAGACCGGCGAGTGGACGAGCTGATCGGCGAGAACAGGCACCTCCGGGACGTGAGAGTCCAGCAACAGCTCCCTTACTACCACCACCATCTGCATCACCATCACCCAGACTCGAGCTGTCATCACCACCAAGAGAACCAGGATAAGGCGAGTCCAGCGGCGGAAAATGCAGCCTCTCCAGCCTTGGATGCGGCTCCTGCTGTCCAAGCACCCCCTCAACAACCTCTGGACCCCGGAGACATGCAGCTTGTTCCCGCAGACCCCTCCACTGTATCCCCCGTGGAGAGTGACCCAGAAAATGGAAGCAACTGTCCGAGCTGTCGTTCCTTGGTGCCCATGACCCCTACCACCCTGTGTCGTTCTTTGGCTTTGGCGAGGAAATCTGAGTAAGTAGGCTGTGCTTTTTTACACATTTCACGTAGGGGTCTAAATAGAATATCCATCTGATACTTAATTCATGTTTAGCAATTTCCTAAAAAAAAAAACAGAAGAAAGAAAAAATATAATTAAATAAAAAAATAAGTCGTTTGTGAAGTTCAAATTTTCAGTGGTCTGTGCCAAAAAACTGTGGATTATTTCTGATCATAATCACTTGGTCATTACATAACAAACAGCTGTAGGCCCACCGTATGTACGTGTGTGTGCGCGCGTGCATAGTAATGACTTTACGCATGGAGGTTACGGCGTTAGCGGGACACAGATGCAACACTTAGTAGCTGTCCATGGTGCTGCTTGTCATACAGCAGAGACCTGAGTGCTCTGCCGGGACCCGTGAAGGCTCTGATGTTGCAGCTTTACATTTCTCACAAACAGGGACGTTTCTGCCTCGTGAGGGCCCTATGGAAGATAAGAGGCGGTTTGGGGAGCCTTCAGTTTGACCACAATGGGGAAATCTTGACTCCACATACCCCAGCCATGCTTATCCCTTCTATTAAAATTCAGTGCAATTTGAGTCATCACTCATACTAATAAAATAATGGACACAAATAATAAATATAGAAACATAAAAGTCCATGCTTAATTTCTAAGATAATCAGCAGAGATCAACTGATATGTTTTTTTCAGGGCTAATACTGATTGTTAAGAATTCAAAGAAACAGATTGTTGGGCCAATATGTAGGACCAGTTTTGGTGATTTTCCCTAAACTGTCTGTTTGAATTTAGTGCAAATTCACCCCCAACCTTGTTTTACAACAAACTGGATAGAGCTGTGTAGTCATATTTTTGCAGTACCCTCATTGGACTTAAGTGATCAATAAAGCTTTATGCACGTATTGGTCATGCATATTTTGGCAGCTGGGTGCCAAAATATTAAACTCACCCCGAAGCATTCATATTTGAGAGAAGACTTACACAAGGATCACATGCATTTCAGAACATGTTTGTAGAGGTCTACATCTAACTATGAGATCAGCAGGTAATATACCTCATATTCATTCAGAGTACATTTTAGTTTTACCAAAACCCAAGATTTGTGATTTATTATTTATTTATTGTTATTTTGGCTCAGTTTGCAGCCCTACTATGTATAAAACCTAGCCTGATTCATCAGCCGGTTTCACTTCATGGAAGTGCGAGAAGAACATGCGTATTAAAGGTGCGATAAAAAATGCGAAGTTTGTATTTGACAAAGGAAGGATAGTGTAGGCAGGTATGCAGTCTGCTATCGCAACTCAGGTTGGTTTACCACTTCGCTGATTGGCCGGTGCACAGTCTTCAACTTCCAAGGTTCTTGCAAACCATCTAGTGTATTCCAATTCCTGAACTAGTCGCTGGAGAGAAATGAAATTGAGTGGAGGCACTAGGTGGCGGCAAACTAGCTATTTAAAATCTGCTCCTCATGTAGTTTGCGATTTGCTTTTATTTAGAAACATCCCTGGTCACAAAGGCACTCAGACATTAATACGCACCTGAGCACCAACCTTCCTTGGCACCAGAGCTTCATAGTACATCACTTAATGACACAGCAGCATGCCTTGTGTCTCTGGATGTCTGTGCGTGGACATGTATATATGTGCATGTGCGTGTGTGCGTGTGTGTGACATTATAGGGACTGAAATCTTTGTATAGTCACAGGATGAACTTTGCGTGTTTTAATTGACAAAATAATACTTTGGAAAACCTGCATTCTTCAGTTTGAGAGAAGAACACAGCATATTGAATGTAACAAAACACTACTACAGGTATGTTTTTCATGCGGACATACATTACAACATAAATCAGAAAATACTGTAATATGGGTCCTTTTTGATTTGTCAAGCAGTATTTTTGGTTAAGTTTACGATCAGAAATGTATCTTAGTCAGTGTAATGTGTCCACAAAACCTAAGATTAGTGTGTGTGTTTGTCCCAGCTGTGTCAGTTGTGATTGGTCTCTCCGGGACTCCACCCCCACAGAGCAGGACAAGACAACACTCAAAGAAAAGGCAAAAGGAGGCAGAGTAAATAAAAAAAAAAAAAAAACCAATAAAATCACAGATAGCAGCACCCTTCGTTCTCTAAGATGTAGTGATGAATCAGCTAAGGCAGAAGGAAGAATTGTTTGAAAATACTATTTGAATGGACCAAATCTCCTTGTGTCTTCATATGGTCTTATGGTAGTTTAGATGTCAACAAACATGTTTGTATGGGATTCTTGTATTAGTTTCGCAGTTCACATTTCCACCTTTTATCTAATGTGAATGTCTCTGGACGCAGTTCAAATGTGTACTGAGAATACAACCTTGATTAAAACATAAGCACTTTGTAATGTTGTCAAAAGTATTGAAAGTCAGATACTAATCAATACTAAAACTAGTGTCAAAACTAGATCATTTAAGCAAGTATTGATACTGAAAAAAAAAAAAAATCATCACAAAAAATTACCTTTCATCTTGATTTTTATCAGAAGACCACATGGTATAATACGTAAATACTATTATTTGTGTTGGAAAATCTACAATATTGACTACAAAAGAGCTTTTAAAATAGTAATTTGGTTATCAAAATCAGTACTGAGTATCAAGTCTGTTCTTTACTGTTAAAACTGAGTTTGAAATTTTAGCATCGTGTCACTAAGTCTTTGTAAATATTTTGGTAAAGGGCTTGTCACCTGCATGTCTTGATGTAATTACTTTGCCTGGAATTGTTCCACACTAAAGCATTAAACTTATCTATCTTACATTTAGACAATATCAACAGTTTGTATTGTTGAGAAAATTGTCATATGAAAAAACATACTTTCATACACTGCATGGGGTTACTTTTCTTGCAACATGACCTAATGATGGCACCTTCTTGTCTCCATGGAGATAAATAAATTCAAGTTAAAAAAATGTGGAGCATTTCAGGCAAAGCAATAACAGCTCCATGGAGGCGAGTAGGTGGCAGACTCTTCACCAGAAAAGTTACATAGTACACCTTTAAGGCAATCATAATATTTATCTGAAACATAAATCTTCCTTTACGCATCAAAGCCTGTGGCAACTACTCCATGTTTGTTGTGTCATAATCACTTTTGCACCATTTGGTTTCAATGTCAGACAGGGTACAACTTTGGCAGAGCGGCTGTATGCAGTGGCCTTGGTATGAGAGGAGTATATCTGTGTAGAGGTTGACAAATATGAGCTTTAAAATGGCCCATAAACTTCACTTAATATGATATAATTGAATTCTGTGTCACTGACTTGATCTGATCTTGGGTCTGACTTCTGCCGCTTATACACCCACTTCCTTTTCCATCTGATTGCTTCATTAGTTACACAATGTTGGAGTTGCTATATTGCTTCAAGTACTGTATTATTAACATTAAATCGTAGTACTTTTATATTACCATGTGGCCTTACATCTGTGTATTCCCTTAGATGTCCAGGTAGGTTCCATAGTGGTCCATGGGCGTATACTATGTTCATGTGCTTTTATACGTGTTCTGATACAGCTCAAGATCATTCTAAAACTATTCAGAAAAGGTTAATTCTGTCGCGTGAATGTGCCTTTTTCCTTTTCGGCCATTTTTCTCCTTACATTTTAGTATAGTTTTGTATCTGATTTTTTTTATACTTTTCACAGTCCTACTACAGTCC